AGTACTGGTACTCAGGGATGGCCAATATCAATCAGAGGAGGAAGAAGAGGAAGAACCAAAAGCGAATGAGAGTGATTCAGACCCAGAAATTGAAGCTGTTAAGGGTCCGTTGTTCGTGGTTCAGCGGGCAATGACAAGCGAGAAGCAGGATTCCTCTGAGATGGATCAAAGGTGCAACCTTTTACACACTAGGTGCCAAGTTAATGGAAAAAATTTGACGATAATCATTGATGGTGGAAGCTGCGCAAATGTAGCGAGCCTTGACGTAGTCAAGAGACTTGGGTTGCCTATGATTCCATGATCTGAACCATATTCTCTTCACTGGCTCAGTGACCACGCTGCAATCAAGGTTAATAAGCAGGTCAAAATCCCGTTCTCAATCGGCAAGTACCACGACGAACTGCTCTTCGATGTCATTCCGATGCAGGCAGCACATTTGGTCCTGGGGAGACCGTGGCAGTTCGACCGAAAGGCATCCCATCATGGTCGAACCAATTACTACACATTTGAGCACGGTGGAAAGAAGTTGACACTCAAGCCGTTGACGCCGGCAGAAGTCCGAGAAGACCAGCATCATATGTCGACAAGAAAAGCTAAGAGTGGGGTGGAATTGAGTACAAGAGCTTCGGGGCAATCCCATGAAACCCAGCTAATGGATCGACGTTATTTGTTGACTGTGCTCGCTGGCAGAACAGTTCCGCGAAGAAGCAGAGATCATCGGCCCTGTTTTCCGGCGGCCCTAAAGTACACCGAATTGGGTGGAGCAGCTGGTGCGAAGTCTGGGAAAGAGACCAACGTCGGTACGTCCCAAAGTTGCCCAGAAACGCGTAAATTCGACAAACTCATGCCACCGCGGACTCAATCGACGAACTCCGAAAGTAAAATTTTGTTCCTGAACGTGAAGAACAAAGAGGGAAAAAGGGGTGAATCGGTTGCGGGGTTCGGGAACGAATTGAAGCAATCCGTCGCTTGGGATCCACCTCTGGGGTCGCAGGGAAGGTGTCGGGATCAAGAAATTAGATCGGCAAGGGCTATGGAAGAAACCCCCAATTTTCAATTCGCCTCACCGGAATCTGGAAACTCATCGCCGGAAACTGGAAATTTCGAATTCTCCGGTGGCGGGAAAAATTCGAGACTCGATTCAAGATGGCTCGGGCAACCTAAACGCAAGAGAATGACTGAATTCGCTTCGTGGGAGCAAGAAGAACTGAATCTGAGCAAGAAATTGGTCTGAGGAGTCGTTAAACGGAGAGCTTCAAATTTTAAGGGGTCACCGGCAAATCGGGTCTCGCCGGAAAAGGAAGTTCTGGCACTAACTTTTCATGATCATGTTTGGGACGATTTTCTCTATCGTTATGATTGCAGGATGACCCAAGCTTTGAGGTCAAAGCTTTTAAAAGAAGGGTGGCCTGATATGATCTCAATCCCACCATCATATCAGCTCAAACGAATCGTTCAAAGATCGGGTCAAGTTAATACGAGCCAAGCTGGAAATTTTCTAAGTGTTGAGGCTGTTTTGGAAAGGCAACTTTGGAGGGACGTTTCTCTCAAACCGTTCAATGGAAATGCCAGGTTAGGGTCTTATTTTGAACCTGGGATGTTCCTTTATAACTTGGTACACTTGGATTGTGGAAAGGAAGCCAGGAAGGTGGTGTTTCGAGGCCTTCAAAATGCTATCCTGCAACTGGAAATCTGCCAGTTTTTTACTAAGGCAGAAAGGGTGTTCAAGATGCCAACTTTGGAGCTCAGTTTCAGGATTATGGAGGAGAGTCGAGTTCGAGACATCATACCACATGAAAGTACGCTTGTTACTCTACAACGACGGGGCATTGGCTAAGGGAAAGCTTACCTGGAAGGCTTCCATCTATGGGCGTGAAGATGGGAGGAAGGGCTGTTTCCTGGGCAGCTTGCTTGGAGAAGAAGAAGAGTTTCGTGGGTTAAAAGTTTCCTTGTTAAAACTGAATTCCTTTCCTTGTTTGATTGTAATTGGTTTCCTTGTTCTTTTAGAATTATGATAGGAATCTCGTAACTATAAATAGCTTAGCTTGGTGTTTGTAAAAGACACGTTTTGAGTTCAATCAAAGTACTCCCTGGAGTTTCCATAGCTTGCGAGCTTTTGTTCTTGGTTGTTTAAATCGAGAATTGCAGACCTAAGGATCGAGCTAGTCACTCTCTATCCTGTGGTAAATTCTACCCTAACCAGTCTCTTCCCTTCGTGTTGAAGTTGCTTGTTAGGTTTGCACCATTCATCCATTCATTCCTCTCTGTCTCCATCCGAGTTCATCATCACATCACAGTCAATTCCCTAGTTGCGCGCTCTGGTTGTTCGAGTTCTCCCTTGGACTCATCACTTGCCAATGAAGGAAGGTGGGTTGGGGATTCGTGATTTTAAGACATAGAATCAGGCTTGTGTCATCAGACATCTGTGGAATCTTCTGGCAAAGGCAGGTTCTATATGGGTAGCCTGGATTTACAAGTACAGGGTTAAGCAGCGGGATGTCTGGGATATTCATTCTTATGCTAGTGGCTATTGGGTGTGGAGGAAGATACTCAAATGCAGATCCAGAGCGCAAGCCTTTATGACAAGCAGTGGTGATACTTTGCATGGAATGGAGCCTCTCTTACGAGGTATTCAGTCAAGGCGATCTTAAACACTATTCGCTTCCCTCAGCAGGTTGTTCCTTGGAGCAAAGTTGTTTGGGGCAAGCCATTTTATCCTAAGCACTCTCTGTTATTATGGCTTGTGATATTGGTTCGAATCAATACTAAAGACAAAATGCTGGCTTGGAAATTGGCTTTTGACGATTTGTGTGTCTTATGTCCTGGAGGATCAGAATCTCGAGTACATTTGTTTTGCTCCTGTTCTTATACTCTGTGGCTTTTGCAACACATTATGCAGCAAATCAACTATTTGGTTCCTGTTTTCACTAGCCGGGAGGATCACCTCAAGTGGGGGATGGATTGTTGGAGTGGATCAAGTGACAGGGCAGTTGCAGGTCGCTTCCTATGGATTTTGACACTCAGCCATCTATGGCGCGAGCGATGCAGAAGAGTTGCAAGGGATGGGGATTGATGTGTTCCTTTTACTTTGTTGAACAAAATTACAAATGAAGCTCGTTACTTTATAGCAGGGAATGTACAGCTTCAAAATAGTTTTAGCCGAGCCTCACAAAGGGTTGGATAGTTTGTTTGCTGAAATGTATAGAGGATAGGATGCTTGATTTGAACCTTGAGAGGAGCTTAATGCCTATTGGCAACTCCTGTGGTTAATGACAATTTTGATTAACCATAAAAAAAAAGTTATAAAAATCCCCAAATCATCTTAATCGCTCCGTTGATTCTGCTCCTAAGTCAACATCAAGTTGACCACCGTCTGGTCAACCTTTAACTATAACGGTTAACGAAATCGTCAGAACATAAATAACACATAACTATCATACGTTAGGACATAAATGTCATATTGAATAGTTCGGGACATAAGTGACACTTTCCTGATAATTCGGGTTTTCCAGTGGTATTAGCCCTTAACATTAAGATACAATTTGAAATTATACTTTAAAGGATCAATGCTTTAAACCATAGTAAAATTGCAGAAAAAATCCAAATTTACCAATATTTAAAAAAAAATTACAAAACTACCACCCATACCGAAAAAACCCTTAATTGAAAACCGCACCACGCAGGGGCGGTTACAATAAAAACCGCACTACAAGGTGGCGGTTTACCATGGAACTGCATGCCAGAGGAGCGTTTTTTGTTTTTTGGGAAAATCGCTCTTCGAAGGAGCGGTTCCCATGGCTGCCCTATCACAAACCGCATGCTCTGGATGCGGTAATGCGTCGACAACATAAACCGCCCCTCTAACAAGTGGTTTATTATGTCGATGCACAAACCGCACCCCCCCCCAGCGGTTTGTGCCTCAGCCCCATTCCCCCGACATCCGACATGTCGGCATGCAGGAGGTTGCAGGGGTGGGGGTTGCATGCCAGACTAAAACAGCTCCCCCTGCGGTTTTCAGTGTAAAATTTTTCTATAAAAGGCAGCCCCAAAAAACTCAAAATCTTCATTCCTCTCCTCCTCCTCCTCCTCCTCCTCCTTCTTCTTCTTCTTCTTCTTCTTCTTCTTCTTCTTCTTCTTCTTCTTCTTCTTCTTCTTCTTCTTCTTCTTCAAATTTCAGTTGTGCACCTTAAATTTGTTTACTTTTTGCGATTAACGTTAATTCGTAAGTTTTTTTGTATTACTTTTCATTGTCATTCATGATTTTTATGGTAGTAACTTAATTACGGTTTTATTGTAGATGGCATTCCAAAAATTCACGCTTGGGTTACGGTGGATGGTTACACGGAAGAGACCGGAAAGGGGGTACGTTACGTTGAAATTTTTATAAAATGAAGGTTGCTACGAGACCGATGCTTGAAGAGATCCATCAAATGTGTGCTGAAGTTACCTGCATGAATGGCACTAGAAGAGTTGATCGTATGGTGTAGCGATATCCAAACAGACATGGAGGGTCGTTGTGGAATGAGGAATTCTCATTACCACTCAGAAGGACGTTGATTCCATGGTCCAATGTTTTACCACCAATAACATTAAACAAGCGGAGATGTTCGTTTACACCGAGGCGGTCGAAGGCGGTGTGGGTCATTCTGGAGATAGGCAAACATCTGGTATCCACGGTGGGGGTGGATTATACGAAGATCATCCCCACCAGGAATACCAAGACCCGAGTTGGTGCTAGGAGTATCATGATGGAACTGGAGGTCATCATCAATCCTTCCCAACGTATGAAGACGAAGCTCAACAGGCGGATGGGAACCAACAAGAAGGCTACCAGTACCAACCCGAGTACAACTTCTACCAAGGCGACGTAGTTACAACAACTACCATTACGGAGCTGATGAAGGTGTCTTTCATGATCTTGGTCAGATGGAAGATGTCAATCCAAGTCCAGTTAGTGACCCTGAGGTTGAAGAAGAGGAAAGCGATGTCAGTGCGGATAGCTACGATCCTCTTGAAGGTGTTGATGATTCCAGTCCAAATTCAGACGCAGACAGTGATGAGGCCCCTCCGACCTCAGGGTTGTGCTTACGCCTGATATCCGCTGTCAACCAAGTGATGGATACTTGGCCCTTGGACAATGGTGGATTACCATCCGCATCGTGATCTCCCTTTTCTGGCGGTACCAACCCTGTGACGCTCCATATGAAATGCTGCGAACCACTCATATTGGCAACAACTTTAGCTAGTGGAGTAGAGTCCACACAAATAACATCGCCATCAATGGGAAAATCGGTTAGGATGGTGATGTCCTTAAGTGTGATGGTGCACTCGACTTCACGAAAATTGAAGCAATGTGTCTCCTTTCGCCATCTCTCTACCAATGCCATCATGAGTTGGCTGTCAATCTTTATTCCATTAAAGTAACTAATGAGATCCAATCTTGCCCATCTCTCTACCAATGTCGTGATGAATTGATGTCGTTCCATTCAAGCACATTCGTCGTACCCCTGTAGCGGACAATATGGTTTGCATCCTAGGGAAGAATTTTTTTCTTCTTTTCGTTGAATCAGTTGCAATTGTATTACCAAATCTATATGCAATGTACGTATAGGGTCTGATACAACGAAAAGGGCCACTCGAGGTGAATAACCCTGCAGAAAACAAACTCCCAAAAAACTCCCACCTGACTACTCAATACCCCCAACTCAACCTACAGGAACCCATCAGCAACTAAGTCTGCCTGTAAATCACTATCCTCACTACCCAGATACAATAAGTCCGAAACAATCAATCTGCCAAGAGTTGCAGCATCTCTGGGTGGCATTTGGTGTTGTCTGATGCATCTCTCACGCCATAGGTAAGCAATGCAAGCACACCAGAAGATCCCTGCAAGTCTTCCTGCCGAAGTCCCCCTCTTGTTCAAGGCAACAGCAGCCTGCACACTTCCCTGCCAACTCGGTCTATATAACAAATTACCCTCTCTCCAGCATGAAACAACCTGCAAAGAATAAGAACACTGAAAGAACAGATGCTCTCTGGTCTCAACCGATCCCCTGCAAAGCAAACAGGAACCATCCATTGTCTTGCCCCATCTTACCAGCTTATCATTAGTAATGATACCATCCAGTAGGACTAGCCACGCAAGCAAGCTATTGTTAGGAAGATGCTTCTTCCCCCATACCAGTTTTGCCCACTCCACCTTTTGATGTTCAGTTCTCAAAGAATTCCACACAGTGGACACTTTATATACAGGCATCAACTTACCATCCCAACTAGGGGTATCACCAGACATTGTCAAATGAGCCTGAAGCAATGGTCGAAGTTTGAGGACCCTTCTCCACGCCCACGAACTACTTGGACTCACATTCATAGTCCAAACACTACCCTCTAGGGAAGAATTTAACTTTCACTATAAGTTTATGATTTATACATAAATAAATCTATTATAACAAACAATATCAATGAAAGAAATCAAGGTTGTTTTCCAAGAAATATACATAATTTAAAAAAACATTAATATTAAGCTAACTAAAATAATTAACTAAAATGAATACCATTTTCAAAATTTAAGTAAAATTATTTTTGTACACATACACATAAAATCAAATATATTATTTTGTACTTCATATTGATTATTTTCAGTAATTTAAAGCAATACAAGTACACTCGTACGACTCTTAGGAGAGGTATACATCTCCTTAGTAACACAGCATGTTTGACAGAAAAAAGGGGGGATCTGAGGTTCGCTTAGAGCCCGATTTTCCTAGAAAATGGGAGGATCACGATGATCGTTTAAGACCCCATTTCCTTAGACATGCATTTCTTTATAAAGAGTCTAAATAAGTGATGTATTGTATTGATTTAAATTATTGAAAATAATCGATACGATTAACAATTAAGAAATTTATTTTACAAACCAATAGATTACGTTAACAAAATAAAATTACAAGTGATGATAAAAAATATGTATCTTGTGGTCGTTCCAAACGTCCCTAGAATGATGATCATCTTGGTCGTGTAACATAGTCGGATCAATTGGTCCTTGATCAACATAATATCGTTGATTGTATATATCAACATCCTCCCGACCTACGATAGCATAACAACAACATAACTCAATTAGTATATAGATTAAATAAAATCATTACAACAACAACAACAACAACAACAAAAAATTAGGTAAAATGAGTACGTACCACTTGATAGTCATCATAGTAAATACCCTCTTCTTTGAAAAAATCGGTCATATTTTCAGGAACTGGACATAAATTCGACAGTTTTTAATGAAAACCAAAGAAAAGTTTTTTAGGGCAGTTCGAACTTAGCCGCAACCAACAAATTACTATTTCCAAGGTTTTTGGGTGGAGGGGGGATGTGTAGAGTGATAAACTGAGAGAGAGGAGATTGGTTTTAGTGTGAAGAAAATGAGAGGAAGGGGGTGGGTATTTATAGGTGGAGGACCGCATTGTGTGTGTATGTGGGGGGTTGGTATTTTTACCCCACCAAAAATCGCGCCTCCAGCACACGGTTTCCTTTTTCCGACGCGAAAACCGCGCCCTTGGGGAACAGTTATCAGCGGTGGACGCAGATCGCTCCGCTAGCAGGCGGTCAGCCGTCGGATCGCCTGCCCATCGCCCGGTTGCATGGACCGCCACCTGGAGGAGCGGTTTTACAGCTGCCCAATGAAAAACCGCCTGTTTCCCGTGCGATTTGAAGGAGAACCGCGCCTTCGAGGCGCTGTTTTTTATTAATGGTGGTAGTTTTGGAATTTTGTTTGATTGGATGGTACTTTTGGATTTTTTTTTTAAGGATGGTAGTTTGGGAAAAAATCCTAAAATTTATATATTTATAAGAAAGGATATATCAAAGCTTGCAGCTACCATAATGCATGGAACGCGTAAATGCAGAGGAGGGATAGTCATTATAAGCAGCAGGCCACAGAAAAGCCGCCGCCACTTGGTTCATTTGGGCGGAGCAGCCACTGGATTATGAATTATGATTATCTTAGCCACCCGAAACTTCAATCTAATTCCGCCGGCAGCGGTTTCCTTTGAATTTGAATCTATAATTGCTCCTAATTCTATTCTATCGCGTTTCCCTTCGCCCAACTGGAACGCTGAAACAATTTCTCTGCTATAAATTCCCCCTTTTCGTTTTCACTTGACATCACACCTTCCCCAAGTCAACCCATCTCTCTCACTTCCTCCTCTGTATCGTTACCTGTTCTTCCATCTCTTTACTTCCCAAAATTTATCTTAGTCGTTTGGCCATGGAGCTCGAGCGTCCAGCGTTAGCTGCTGCGCACATGGACAACTCCAATGTGCGCTCCAACAACCGCTCAGGGACCAGAACTGCAGTACCCGCTCCTCCTCCTGCAACACGCTACAGCCAAATCAGCAGCGGCAGCGACGAGGACAGCTCCGCTCCATCTTCCAAGGACCTTTACGCGGGCTCTGAATCTTTCCGAAACCTGGATGTGGGTGTCCTCAAAGACAGCTCCGCCGCCAACCGACTAGCCTGGGTCCGCTCTCAGATCATCGGCAGTGACGCGGAATTCGATTCTCCGTTCGGGAAGCGCAGGATTACTTACGCTGATCATACTGCCTCCGGGAAGTCGCTCCACTACATCGAGAATTTCATAATCAAGAATGTTCTTCCTTACTACGGTACTACTGGCATAGAGGGTGGCGAATTTCGGTTTCGATTCAATGGCATCTTTTTCAGATCTTCGGATGGAGAGCAGGATTGAAAAAGTGAAATTTGATTTTGATTAGTCGGGTTTCTCGTGGGTTTGCAGGCAACACCCACACTTCGGACAGCTACGTAGGCGGCAGGACGACGAAAATGGTGGAAGAGGCCGCGGCGTACATCAAGAGATGCTTGGGCGGTGGAGCGGAGGATGTGATCCTGTTCTGCGGCTCCGGGAGCACGGCGGCGATCAAGCGGTTGCAGGAAGTGATGGGAATCGCCGTCCCGTCGACATTGCGGGAAAGGTGCTTGAAGAAATGTCTGACCGGGGAAGAAAACAGATGGGTTGTTTTCGTAGGACCTTACGAGCACCATTCCAACCTACTTTCCTGGCGCCAGAGCTTAGCCGAAGTGGTCGAAATTGGACTGGATGAGAATGGGTTAATCGATATCAAGGAACTCCAGAGGGAACTGCAGTCGGGTAAATTTGCAAACAGACCAATTCTGGGTTCATTTTCAGCTTGCAGTAACGTGACCGGGATTCATTCTGATACTCGAGCGATCGCCAAGCTTCTTCACCAGCATGGAGGTTTTGCCTGCTTTGACTATGCAGCAAGGTAGTTTATGAATCTCATACATCCCAAAAAATCGTCTTCTATCCAGTCTTCATTATTGCTAACTTAACCTTGTTTTGACGTGAGTTGATTTAGTGGCCCGTATGTGGAAATTGACATGAGATCCGGGACGATCGATGGCTATGATGCTGTATTCCTCAGCCCGCATAAGTTTCTGGGTGGCCCTGGAACTCCTGGAATACTGTTGATGAACAAAATTCTGTACCAGCTCGGCTCAGCTCCTCCTTCAACCTGCGGCGGTGGAACTGTTGATTATGTCAATGGACTAAACGAGAAGGTAAAGACTTTCCTCCAATACCTGACGGAAACAATGTCAACTTTCTGTACTTGAGACGGGTATCCATCTAGTCGAGCTGATTTCATTTGCTCTTACAACCATCTTTTTTCAGGACACATTGTATTCAGAGGCAATTGAGTCTCGAGAGAATGGTGGAACTCCTCCAATCATTCAGACAATTCGAGCTTCATTGACATTCTGGATTAAGGAATACATCAACTATTCAGTCATTCAAAACCATGAAGACTACTTTATTGACAAAGCACTAAAGAGGCTTCTCCCAAACAAGAACATTCTCGTGTTGGGAAATACAACAGCAAGGAGGCAAGCAATTCTGTCCTTCCTCATATTCTCGACTAGCGTCCAGGAAGGAAGCCTGAACATGTGGGCAGAGATGGGAAACAAGCTCGATAAGCCTCTGCACGGGCCTTTCGTGGCTGTTCTTCTCAATGACCTGTTCGGCATTCAGGCTCGTGGTGGTTGTGCCTGTGCTGGGCCTTATGGCCACCAGCTCCTCGATGTGGATGAAACTACATCCCTAGCAATCAGATCAGCCATACAGAAGGTAAAAGATTAACATAGTTGAAACAACTATTTTGATTTACTGTTGGCAGCTTCAATCATTTATAGTGAGTTTATCGATTTAATGGGTAAGACAACTGAATGCAGGGCTACTCTGGAATCAAGCCAGGATGGGCAAGAATCAGCTTCCCTTACTACATGTCTAATCAAGAATTTGAGTTCATTCTGGCGGCTTTGGAGTTCTTATCCATATATGGCCAGAGGTTTCTTTCCTTGTATCGATTCCATTTCAAAAAGGGTACATGGGCCTTTAACAAAAGGGCATTTAAGGAGCTGGTAGGGAAGGCAAGCAATGGGAATGGTGATGCATTGTCGACTGTAATTACAACTGTGCCTGGACTGAAGATTCATGAGGATGGAACAGAAGATCTGGAAGACGGAGATCTCGAACACCCTGTAATGGTTAACAAGTTTGCTTCATATCTTATCATTGCCAAAAACATTGCCAATTTACTACCCAAGTTCCCTTCGAAACAAGAAATTCCTCATGATTTGGATCCTAGCATCGTGCATTTTCGAGTGTAGATGTTACTTCAACATCAACATCAAATATACAAGTTGTGATTTCAAGATTGTAATGGAGTTTAATTGTTCATTGTTTAATTGTTCAACATTTGACAAACCACCTTGCCCATCACGAGTCAACCCCCTCGCCAACCTTTTTTATAAATAATTTTGTATCTGTATTAATAAATACACAAAATTAAGAGCTCATACTTGGTTACAACTCAGTATAACTTGAGAGAAGAGAACATTACAACATTAATGGGTCGTTTGCTTCAAGGATTTGGTACATGGATTTGGCACCTTTTTTGGAGACCAAATCCGTGAGGCACATGGATTTTAAGGATCCAAATCCGTGGACCCCACGGACTTATAAATCTCACATGTTGATGTGGGATTTGGAATATGGCATAAATCCTTGATGAGATTTTACCCATATACCCTCATGCACTTTTAATATTCCAAGGTTGCCCTCAAATTTAACTATTATACATTATAATTAACAATAAATGAATAATATAAACATTCAATTAATGTGCAAACATGAGTTAGATTTTGTATATCATTTCTTGTGTTCTAGTTTTCTTTGACCTTTTCATGGAACGTGTAATTCTTTGTTCTCCCGATTCTAATATATGTTGTTATATGTCACTTTTGAAAAGGAGGACAAAAAATTGGTAATTGATTATGTTACGTTAAAAGTTAAAACGAAATTTTCTCGTTTATTATTATTGTCCATGTGGCAACATTATGCTTATTAGTATGTATAGTCCTTGTTTTGTGTACATATCATAAACATGTCAAACGTATAGAAAAGGGCAGTAATGTAATTTTTGACTTCAAGTAGTAAATCCCACACCTTTAAATCCATGATAAAAACATCCCAACAAACAAAGGATTGTTATAAATCCATGATGCCTCAAATCCTTGATAAATCCTTGGGTTTTTAAATTACAAAACCCTCATTTTTAAATCCATGAAGCAAACGACCCCTAAATTAAAGGAAATTATCAAATTATATCAGGAGTTCACGAGGTTGCATAGTCAGTAATCGTCCCTCCTATTGATTCAGAATAAATTTCACCACACTCCAATTTATGCACTTGCTCACCACTTTGTGCATTACTCAGTCCCATGAGTATGGTCGGGGAGCCATATTTATCAAGCCAAAATGAAATCAAAGAACAATGTCCATGGCGAATGACCTCATGTTTCCACAAATTCACACCATTAATTACAATTACCTTCCAAATTGACTTCCACAATGGCAGGTGTGGAGAACCGGCATTCAAACCATTAGCCGGGTAGTCGAATTTGCAACATATGAGATATCTCCACCACTAATTTGGTCCATTATAGAATCACCACACCCATTAAGCCAAGAGAGCCATATTTAGTGTTTTCGGCTCCTTTAGCCCTAGCCCACCATGATCTTTGCAAATTTTGTTCGCTCCCAATGTACCAAAGCGGTCTCTCATATCTCTTTCTGCTTTAGATCATATAAATCTTCTAATAATTTTCTCCATTTTTCAATAATATGTGCAGGGGCAAGTAATATTGAAAGATAGTAGATGGATATACTTGCGAATTTGCTCTTGATTAGGGCTATTTTACCTCCCAATGAAAGGGATCTTCCTTTCCAAGAGGAGAGAAGTCTAATTAGGGCATCAAGAATAGGTTTCCACGTCGTCTTAGATTTAGGAGTAGTACCCAAAGGGTCCTTCCACATTTTATGCATTGTCGATAGCGAGCGGTGTATATTTGGACAAGTTGATCTTCAACCTTGAGATGACTTGGAAGCATAAAAGAGCAACTCTCGTATGCATAATCTGGTACAAATTGGCGTCGCGGAAGATTAACATGCCATCTGCGTACAAGAGAACGCGTTACTTGGCCAGCGTAGGAGGTTGCATTCATGGTGAAACCAGTTATCAGTTTGGCTTCCTTGAAGTCTTAAGTTTTACACTTAACATTGACCAGATGAATAATTCCCCTTTTGATTCACTTATTGGCAGGTCATATGCTCTATATAATCTTTGAGAGTGATCTGCAGCTAATTGAATATGATTTTATTCACAATTAGACATCTTAAGTTTTGTTTTGGTTGCTTTTGTGTTTGTGCTTTCAGATCACTGGCAACCAGAATTGTGAACTGCAACAAATGGGTTATCTGGTATATACAATCTTAAAATTCCCAGTGTTCTGGTGCATTTAGTTGATGATTGAATCCATTGGAATATTGATATGAAAATAACAAATCTTGCTGACAAGTCTTTTGCCTCCTTAATTGCATTTTGATATTTTACCATCTTTGCCTATTCTTCTTATTTAATGTTTCCCTTCTTTCACATTTAACATCATTCCATCTAAGCGTGATCCTCTGCATATATTCTTTTCATGAGGACTCCAAATGCCATTAATTACTGGGATTTGGCTTTTGAGTTTTCTGATTCATTCATTCAACAAAAGCCAGAGAGCTCATGCGCTCTGCTGATATTCACTGAATTCTTTCACTCACTTGGACCAAAAACAACAACATGGTTGCCGCTGCAGCGTGGCGGCTGTTCTTATTCTTCCTCGTCACTGCCTATAATCTGTACGACCCTTTCGTCTTCATTTTTTGTTCTCTTTAGCAAAATGATTGGCCTCTGAATTTACTGATTTCTGTAGGGAGTGTACAGAGAGTGCCAACAGATTGCACCCAGCTGTCAAGCTGTTCAGGAAGACAAATGGAAAGGTCCGTATGACTCAGTCATTCATTCTGTAAAAAAATTCCTGCTACATTTTCTCGACATGTTTACGGAATTCTTGAGGTTCCTTCTTCTGAAGCTAAGAGCTTTAATTTGTTTTCAGGTTGTGATGGACAATGGCATCGTTCGAATAACGTTCCTGCGACCAGCCGGTGACGTTACTGAGATTCAGTACAATGGAGTTGAGAATGTGCTTGAAACCCATAATGGAGAATGTAACAGAGCGTATGTTATGCCTTTATTTCATTCAGTTCCAGTGAGAATCCCTGTCAGGTATTTCTTTAGGCAATGAAACTGATGGGGATGTTTTTATTTTATTTTATCAGGTACTGGGATGTTGTTTGGAATAGGCCAGGGGAGCATATTCGACTTGACAGGTATTCCTATTCTAGAGGATTAAAATTTTTACATGATTTCATTTTGACATGTGATCAATTTTCCCTAGGTAAAAAAAATGATAACATTGTGCGTAACAATTTTCGAAATGTTAAATTAGCGATACTATGTGAAGGAATAAGTGTTTATTTTCGCCCTGCAGATTGAGAGGGACCAAGTTTAGTATCGTAGGGAAGGACAAAAACCAGATAGAAATTTCCTTCTCCAGAAAATGGCACCACTCCGCCTGGAACTCCACAGTTCCCTTAAACGTCGACAAAAGGTACATCCTCCGTCGTGGCAGTGCCGGATTTTACACCTATACCATACTAGAAAGACCGGAAGGATGGCCGGATTTCGAAATGGACCAAGTCAGGATAGTTCTGAAGCCTGACAGTGAGATGTAAGCCAACCCCCACCCATTGCATTTGCATTGCATCCATCCCTCCTTGCGTAAAACGACACCTTATTGAACGCAGCTCGCTGTTGTCAGGTTTCATTTCATGGCGATATCGGATAAGATTCAGCGGGTTATGCCCACAGCAGAAGATCGCAAGCTTGGCAGGCAGTTGGCGTACTCTGAAGCGGTTCTCCTTACACATCCCGGCAACCCAGCACTCAAAGGAGAGGTAATATCAACATAGAGTGACGCTCGTACTGATTCTAGTTTGTCGCGAATCGATAAAAATGCAGCGGATTGTAAGTGTGTTGGGTTGGGCAGGTTGATGATAAGTACGAATACTCGATCGAGAATAGAGACGACAAGGTCCATGGCTGGATGTCAAAGAAGCTGGGAGTTGGAATATGGGTGATTAGCCCAAGTGATGAATATGTTGCTGGAGGGCCTCTGAAGCAGGACCTCACTTCTCACGTTGGTCCAATTCTACTCTCTGTAAGTCAACAAAGGAAAGCACTTTTTTTTTACATGGACAGAAACTCACATAAACTAGTGAAATACTTTTTTTTGTTGAATGTGCAGATGTTCACTAGCACTCACTATACCGGAAAGGATTTGAACACCCGGTATCGAGATGGGAAGCCTTGGAGGAAGGTTTACGGTCCTGTGTTTGTCTATCTCAACTCTGTTTCAGGGCGACCTAGAAGAAGTTACAGAAAGCTCTGGCGGGACGCCAAATCTCATGTAGGATGTTTCATTGTTTGCTTAGAGCACTCGAAACGAATTCTTCCAACACTCATTCTGTCATATATCGATCGGAATTTTCGTGCTATTGATTTTGTTTCCAGATGAAGAAAGAAGTCAGAAAATGGCCGTATGGCTTTCTGCAATCGGAGCACTTCCCTTGTGCAGATCAAAGGGGAAGTGTTGCAGGTCAATTGCTAGTCGGCGACAAGTAATGTCAACTTCCCGATCACTTTTGACATGAAAAAAATGTTACAGGATTGAATCTATTGAATGTTATAGAATATGAAAATGATGTCACATTTCTTCAATTTAAGGTATGTCAACCAGACGTTGATGACAGCCAACAATGCTTATGTGGGGCTAGCAGCACCAGGAAAAGCCGGATCCTGGCAGACTGACGCCAAGGTTTCGACTCGGAGCACAGACAAACAAACAATCGAAATTGTTGATCCTCATAATTTATCCTCTTCATTTGCAGGGCTACCAATTCTGGACTCGAGCAAACGAAGAAGGTTATTTCCTGATAAAAAATGTTAGGCCAGGAAACTATAACCTATATGCCTTTGTTCCTGGCATCATCGGTGATTACAAGTTTGAAGCTAATATCACCATCAAACCAGGTAAAAAGAGTGAACTGATCGAGTGATTTGGTGTTGTGGAATCGTGTGAACAAGGGATCTCATGTTTAGATTCGCAGGATCGGAGACCGACTTGGGTGCAATTGTGTACCACCCACCAAGAAATGGTCCTACCCTTTGGGAAATCGGGGTTCCTGACAGAACAGCTTCCGAATTCTTCATCCCAGATCCTAAACCCTTCCTCACCAACAAGTTGTATACACATATACTGTCAGACAAGTAAGGAAACTGTCATTGTACCTTCACTAAAGGGCAAAAAAAAAAACTCAAACTTTTAATAGTTCTAATTCAGAGGTTGGTTTGTTTCCAGGTTCAGACAATATGGATTGTGGGATAGGTACACAGAACTGTACCCACACCATGATCTGGTTTACAGAATCGGCAATAGCAAATGCCATCAGGATTGGTTCTTCGCTCACGTTCCGAGGTAGATCGAATATATTCCATCTCCTCTTTACTTCCTCATTTCCAATTATGGACCTCGTATTCGTTCACACTCGAAACGACATGGTTGATTCAGGAAAACTGGGAACAAGACATATACAGCGGCAACCTGGCAGATCGTTTTCAAACTGAGGAAACCGAGCTTCGCTGGAAACTACACTTTGCATCTGGCGCTTGCATCTGCCCATGCCTCTGAACTACAGGTACCGTTACAAACACATTGCAATGGATTAAGACTAGCGATTCTCGAAACCGGTTCGATTAAAAAAAAATTTCCTGAATAAATTCTGTTTTTAAAGGTTCGTTTCAACGATAAGAGTGTGAAGAAGCCGCATTTCTCAACTGGGTTGATCGGGAAGGACAATGCCGTTGCGAGACATGGAATTCACGGGCTGTACAGGCTGTACAGCATTCCTGTACCGCGGCGGCTTCTGAGGAGAGGGAGCAATAGGATATATCTGACTCAGTCGCGAAGTAACGACGCTTTCAGGGGGATCATGTATGATTATGTTCGTTTCGAAGGGCCTCGTGAATTGCTAGTAGATAGAGAGGGATGATGACAGGAACATGCTTCAAAGTATATGCATTAAGTATACTAACACCCTCGCCCATTGGCATTAGTGTTATGTAGTCCGTCAGTTAATTTAACCAAATGCTGTTTTTATAGGAATTGAAACTTTTTACAGTTTCGAACAACAACATGAAAAATAAACATGCAATTAAAGTGATTTGCTTAGATCAGAAAGAGGGAAAGATGGAAAAGGAAGGAAGAAAGATGCAGGAAGACGAAATGAAAACTAAGACACAATAGCAAGACTATTCCGTATCTGGCTTCGTTGTAAATGTACCCAAAGATGGAATTTAGACGCTGTAAAACTTGATAAACGCGGAAAGTAGAAGACACTTTGATTTACGTGGTTCGTGTCGATCGGTGTGACAAATCTTCCTCCATGGAGAACTATTTCAAATCTACATCTATCTATACAATCTAGAGATTAATTAATGCTGGAGTTTTACAGCCTTTTCTCCATTCAAAAAATGCAGCTCTCTCCTTAATTTTCGCCAGGGGTAATTTTGTCCTTTTATTCCATAATTTTTCCCACTTCCCGCCCAAAAACAATAATCCGCCGTTGACAGTTTACGCCCTCTTGCTTTAGCCTTCTGTTAAGCCCATTACAAAAGCCCATCTGACCTGTTACAATAATTATACGGGCTGCTTTGATTTTAACCCATTGTGGCATCAAAGGAATCATCAAAAACAACTTACGGCTGGTTTCCACCTGCTGTGCATCGGCGGATCGGCCAACCTAGAGAAGCCGCCACCAAGTTACCAAAACTAGAGAATTTCGGCCTGGGCAAAGGTGGAAAACCCCCGAACATCATCTCGTCATCCGAGTGGCGACGGCGACAACGACAAACAGTGGGCACCACCCAGCGACGCCAGTGACATCGGCACATAAATATCGGTGGCAGCGATCTTGGCTTCCCACTTGTAATAGCACAAAAGCAGCTGAACTCAAAACCCATATCTAGCTTGGTCCCTGATTAGCGGACTGCCTGCGTTCCAAATTTGTTTGTCTCCTTGCATTTCAATCACCAACCCCAGGTATGTAATTGTATTATTCTTTTCGCCTTTTGTTCATTTGGATTGAGGTAGATTTTCCTCTACCAAACAAATGAGAGCCTTCTCTGTCCAAAACCATAAAGCTAGCTTTTTTGCACCCTCAATATTCCAATTGAGCCACCAGCGCCTAGGTAATGTTGTTGTCTTCTCCATTTCCCTTTTGTCCATTCCCAATTCCCATGGTTATGGTTTGTGGTGTACCCGACTAATTAGGACTGCTCACATGATGTTCTTCCAAGCAGCTCATGGCAACTGGGATGTCGCCAGGGGAATCATCATCTTCAACAACTCAGCCCACTATGGCAGTGCCCTGTAATTATCATAGCAGAAACTTTGTCTGAATTCCGATACAATTATGCAACCCTGCTCCCTATTTCTAACCGTTGAAAATTTGGTCTCTGAAGGGAAAGGTAGAGCTATTCTACCTCAACACTGCGAGACTGAACCACGAGGTTGCGCTGCCGTTGAGAGCATACATAACTGAATTCGACGAGGTCATTATCTTATATCTCTATCCATAGGGTACCGGTATGTAAGCATCAAATCAAATCAAAATCAAAAGAATTATTAATGGTGGAGTTTTGTAAACTTTCCACCATTCAAAAAATGTTGGCCTCCCCTTAATTTCCGCTAGGGGTATTATAGTCCATTAATTACTTTAGTTTTATGTCTTCCCGCCCAAATTCTTCACTGCACCTGCGCATGGCTCCTCAATTAATATTATTCCATTAAGCTCACACATAAAGCCCATCAATTTAATTATTTGGACGATAGTTATACATTTTGAAGCCTTTAGACCTGCTGATTAAAACAAAAAAACTTCTAGACCTGAGTTTGGAGTTTTTAATGTAATTGTTTGGGCCAATCTCCAAAATAAAACTAGATTCCACTATCACATACACCCATCACAAAATATGAATTTTGTTGGACTCTTGGTAAGACATTACTATGTATTCTATTAACCCCACATTACAGTCAATTAATGGTATGTAATCATATATAATTCATGTCTTATACATTGCCAGGTCTACATATATTCAGTGTTAGGGAATCATGTGTTTTCTCAATTTCGATTGGCCTTGGTCAAACTGAGGGTTGACATGATTTGACCAATGCTGAACCGAAAAATGGTTTTGGTTTACCCCTGGTCAACGAGGTTAATCTTTGTTTGACCGCATGTCAAAATGAAATTAATTTTTGGTTTGATTCGTAACCGGATCAAAATTTTATCGCAGTTTGGTCTGTGTTTTAAATTATTTCCAATAGTTTAAATATTCTTTATTATTATTGAATTTATTTTAGTATTGTAAAACCACATCGGAGATTCTATAAAAAAAAGTGTCCGGATATGAAAAGAGCACTCCACAACACAAGTTGGGAATGTATTTTAATAGGTTCTAGCTAAGGTTCTCTTGATATTTTAAATAAGGATCTCAAAATTAATTATATTTCTTTGATTTTATTTGTAACTCATAGTTCCTTTTATGAGCATGGAGTTTGCTACCTATCCACTTCCCTAACACATGATATTTTAGGACAAAGTTGGTTTTCACTTCGATTTTTGTTACAAATTTTATGTTTCTTATTTAACGAAAAAATCAGTTTTGTTGTAATCTTTTGAAGCTTTTCGCACTAGCCTACCAAATAGCCAGAAAAGAGTCTCACAACACGATGTATTCATATTCATTAATTAGATAGTGATATTGTTTAATTGTCGTAGTTTTGGACTTTCATTGACAAAAGATGCACCAAATCTCACTTATACTATATATATACACTTATCTAAACTCATATCACATTTCTCATAACCACATTTACTCCACTTGGTTGAAACAAAATTATAATAGGTTAAGGATTGAATTCATAAATGTGAAGTGATAGAAAATCTTGATAAGTATGTAAATCAAGTACAAAAAAGATTTCAACAAATGATTAAATAGAATGATTGTGAAACATTCATAATTTATAGCAATATTTGGAGATTTTCACTATATTTAACCAATAAAAATCTCTAAAAAAATAGGAATTGAAATATTTTCCCCAAATAAATGTGAATATTCCGGCCAACTGGCCGGGTCCAAGCTAGTAAATAAAAGCCAAATGAGAAAACTTGAAGCCCCATTTTAAATTTCCTGCATCCAGAGTGAAAGTAGGAAGGACATTTTAGTCTTCACAATTACTTTTTTTTATTCATTAAAAAGACACTTACTAGGATTTGAACCTTGATCACTTTAAAGAAAAGCAAAGATCATAACCAATCACACTAAGTACATTTGTTGTATCTTTTTAAATTAAAAACATATAATCGCAGAGAGGAAAAAACTCTTCCCCCATTTCAAATTCCCTGCTCTAGGAGCGTTTGTAGGAAGGGTAGAATAGGGAGTGTCAATTTTTTTTTCTTTTTTCCTTTGTGGAACGGGCCAACATACCATACACATGAGGATTTAAACGAGTCCAGGAGTGTCAATTTTTTTCTTTAAGTCCTTTTATTTCTCCGTGGTGGTAAAATATATATGAAAAGGCAAAAACAATACTCTTTTTTATTGCTACAAAGGAAAAAATTTAAGAATAAACAAATGCATGGATTTTGATGGGCTAACTGCTAATAATAAAATAAAAGAGTTGAATGGGTCTGACCTACACGGGATTTGCCCATCAAGTAAAACAAATAAAATCATGGGTTCGCCATTCTAAAACAAGCTATTTTCTCTAGCATAATATATATTATGCTATTATTTTATATCTTAGTGGTTAAAATATAATGTATTTTAAAGTTATTCAATGGTTCAACCTCGACCAACCCAATTAGTCCAATTTTTATCATTTCAAATATATATTATGTAATTATTTGATATCATAATGATTAAATTATAGTGTATATTATAGGGAATCGTTTGGTTTTTGTTAGTAAAAAACTAAACAGAAAGATCTATTTGGTTATTTTTAACATTAAAACGATCCTAAACATTTTCAGTTTCCTTTCGAAATTCTATAGTTTTATTCCCGAATCAGTGATGTGCAAATGGCGAGTTGCAGTCATCTCTTTTCTTTCATTATTTTTTATTTTCAAATAGAAAGTTTAAAAGTAAAGAATAATTAGAGTTTGACATGGGTCGGTCAAACAGGCTGAATTTCAAGTTTTGGCCCGTTTTGATCAAGTCTAATTTATAATCACATGGTTCCCTGATACCCGATAAAAATCTCAATCCAAATCAGTTTGGGAGGTGAGTACGTGTTTACCACCATTTTTTAGGGATACAAGAACGGTGGTTCCTATCCCAAATCGTGTTGTTTATTCTTGATTTCTTTAGATTTTATCATGACTTGGTAAAAAAACCAGAAGCACAATGATGACAAGATGAAAGTTTTATAAAGCAAATTAATCGGTCAACGGGCCGAGTAAAAGCTAGCAACGATTGTGAGATGCTCATTTCCCGAAAACAAGCGGGATAGGCGATTTTTTATTCGATTTTCTTGAATTCGGTTTCTATGAAACTTACTCCACCTCATCATATTACCAGAATCATTATTGTTTCACAAGGTAACATGTACTTGATTTTGGTTCATAAGGCTGGTTTTTGATTCGTTGCATCATTCATGTCTCTTTCCTACTAAAATTCACTATTTTTATCACGTGTTTCCCAAAAAAAAAACTATATAACAATAAGCTATACACCAGTGTCCATGAAACCGTACCGTACAGACGGTTCAACCACGAAATACCAGTATCGGAGGCTAAACCGATAGGCGGTATTTAATGGTATAACAGTTGAACTACGACTAAACCACAGTTTTACCATAAAATACCCTAACGCTGACTTTTCCGGTACAATTTCATGGACCATACTATACACCCCATTACATTATCAAATTTCATATCTCATCTTCCTCCAGCCAAATGGCCGGGGCTCACGCTAGTTTTATTATACTGTAGTTCCTAGTGCTGCGGCTCTTACTTTGCTACTGCTACTAAAACTCTTATATATACACTTCTCCTCTACGGGTAGGGTTATGTAGCATAATTAAAAATAAATCACCAAATAATAAAACTAGTTAAAATCAGGTCCAATAGGCGTCTTCTTCCTTAAGTTGTTTTGTAATCAAAATGCAGCTAGCAACAAAAAAAACAGAGCAAAACAAAAATAGGGCTATCAGAAAGATAAAGAGCAGAAGAGAAAAAGGAGAAAAAGAACACGCAGATAATATGTTGGAATTTTGAATGGTATAAATGGAAATGAAAGGGTAAGGAGTCAAGAGAATCTTTTGAAATAGGCAAAATACATTTGAATAGCCATAACTTTTGCGTTTGTGACAATAATAGCCACTTTTGGAGAAATACACAAAATAGCCAGAATTTCAAATGTTGTTTGACAAATATAGCCATTTCCGTTACAAACTTTAACGGTGTTAGAAATTCCGTCAATTAAGTTGACATTATGCTGATTAGGATGCTACCTTGACGCACACATAAGTAACAACTAGACTTGACTTGCCACGTAGATGCCATGTCAGCCACATAAAACCTAAAAAAACAAACAAAAATCCCCCAAAAAATCCCATCCCCACTACCCAGCACCACGTCTCAAACCCTTCCCTGACCGGCGACCATTTCCTCAATTATTGTCTTGAATTGATTCGTTCCAAATCTCCAAAACTTTTCCATTCACATATCTAGTCTGTGCATTATCCTCACCACCTGGTTTACTCAAATAAAACTCGCAATCGAGAAATGGCTAAGTTCAAGCGTCGATCTACTGCGGAACGACAGATCTGTCCCTCGTCTCTGTATCTACAACCCATGGTTTCGAAGAAATCAAAACTGGAGCTCCATCGACACAACCTTCAGAATATCCAGATCCTGGCGTCGCCGTCGAGCACTAGTCGATTCCAGATCGAGAAACTGAAGACCCTAAAACATCGTTCGTCGGGAAAGCTAAATCGTCTCAGTCCACCCAGGTCAAGCATCGATCTGATTCCCGACCCCAAATCCCTTTCTCCTACGCGAATCGAGGGTCAGAGTTTCGTCGCTCCACCCCTGCTCCGACGCAAATCGAGGGTCAGAGTACCTTTCCTCCCGTCCGTTGTCACCTATGTGTCTACTTAGATCTGGTGTGGCCTCAGAGCAGTACGACGAGCCTGCTCCATTGGAATGGATCTTCGCCATAGATTTCAAATCTCCGTCCCTTCTTCCCGACTTGGGTAGTCGACGCGAACTTCACTGCTGACGGAGAGAGATCTAGTTTAGCGACAAGTGGGACGGTTGGGCGATGGTGACCGCTAGCGCCAGCTGTGGAATCGTCTTGGCGGGCCTGTGAATTTCGTAGTCTAGGTGGAGGGGTGGGGGGTAGTGGCGGTGAGGGAGATCCGCTGGTGGAGATATGGAGATAATCGGCAACGGAGAACAGATGGGAAAAGCAGAGAGAGGGGAGGAGAAAATCTAAAATGTTTTATTGATTTATTTTTATTTTTCAATTAATTCCACATCACATTATTATTGACAAAACTGTCGCCAAATCAGCTTTTTCGTTAGCCTAGTCAGCACGTTTGTTAACACCGTCAAAGAATTGGATGGAAGTGGCTATTTTGTGCATTTCTCCAAAAGTGGCTATTTTTGACAAAAACGCAATAATTATGGCTATACAAGTGTATTTTGCCTTTGAAATATCATATTAGTTATATATGGCAAGGAGGTATTGGATTCGGTCAATTGATTTGATTAAATCTTTTGATAATTGGTCAAATTGGTTTGTTCAACCAAATCGATTTGAACTGAATCGATGTGACGGTTGGAGTGAACCAATCTATCCAAGAACATGGGCCAAATGGATGCAAATGTAATGGTTCATAATTTTAAAATGAACCGATGTGTTGGTTGGGGTGTAACCAATCACCCGAAGGGTCACATCCCTTCACCCACACCTTTTCATTTTCTATAAATAACACCAACCTCCTTTGTTTTAATACACGAATTTTTCCCAAGATAATTTCGTTTGAAAGAAAGAAAGAAAAATTCTTCTTCGTTAAATTTTCTTCTCTACAAATGCATAAAGAAAAATAGAATTGTGTGACTTCTTTCGCGCTGTTCGATGCGTTCGTTGATTTTTTGAAGTTTCAAGTACCGGTAAGCTAAAAAATGTATGTTTGTTCTATCCTTCAAAGCCCAAACTACTCTGCTAAAACAAATAAACCAGATTTAAGGCAAAAAGTGGTGGGCTAGGTCACACAGCCCAACCAAATCGATTTATTTGAATAGACCCAAAGATGGGATTTAGACGTTGTAAAACCTGATAAACGCGGAAAGTAGAAGACACTTTGACTTGCGTTGTTCGTTTCGATCGGTGTGATCGATCTTACTCCACGGAGAACTATCTCAAGTTGTATTATAGTGCAGTTCTTAGTGTTGCGGCTCTTACTTCACAATTGATTTAATCACTATATACCTTGGATCGTCGCAAACTTCAACCCTATGAATTAACTTCTGTTTGAGAAAACGTATAATAGAATGATATAAAAATTTTAATAAAAATTTTTCCAACTACTCGAATTATTACACTACACCCGTTTAAAAAAGTATCTACTTTCAAACACAATATTCTACTCAAATCTTACTTTCAAATTAACTGATTTTTTTTAAAAAAAAACATGGGAAATATAAATTTTATTCTGTGTGCGAGCCAAACCTCTAACAGGTATCCGTACAGTATATTTTATGGGGTGTATAAAATGAGATAACTTATTAACGTTGCGGAACATCGTACAACACAAAATTCGGAAAATGGAAATAAAATCTCTCTCTCCAACAAAGGCATGGACCAAAACTTGGGAGAAAACGAAAGGCATGTGACATTCTGTCTTCGATCGAAGGCCAAGTACATCATAAAGTCGCATCCAAAAGAGGCCAAGTCCCAGGTGTCGCCGCCGCAATGGGCAAATGACGGCTGCTACTCAAAGAAAACCTAAAAATTACTTAATTTAGGAACAAGATCGAGTTTGAGGTCGCAGTGTACAGTAATTCAACCTTTTAACTCCCTCCTTTAATTTTTTTTCTTTTTGTACCACAGATCCCTGCAAATGGAGGAGTGACTTTCACTTCAAGACCATTTCAGCAACCCAAAAAAATTATATATTCTAAAATCTAAACCATCTCTTTATAGAGCTTGGTCAAGTAAGTAAACCCAGATCTTCTTCTACTTCTTCTTATGCTTTAGTTGAAGAAAACCCTAGCTAGCTTAGGTGGACAGAGAGAGAGAGAGATGGGGAGAGGGAAGATTGTGATTCGGAGGATCGATGATACGACGAGCAGGCAGGTGACTTTCTCAAAGAGAAGAAAGGGGCTGATGAAGAAGGCGAAAGAGCTGGCCATTCTCTGTGATGCTGAGGTTGGGCTCGTCATCTTCTCCAGCACTGCCAAGCTTTACGACTTCGCCAGCACCAGGTAAATTCAATTCGTTCATTAATTTGATTTGCCTGCTATGCCTTCATTTTCCCTTATTGGGAAATTAATTCCCAATCCTTAAAACTACGTAGATAGATGGGAGATTAAGGAAATTTATCTGTTGACCAGCCATTTGATAACTATGGTGACCAGCCATTCGATAACTAACTACGTACATACGACTAAATTGTATCACAAGAGTAATTATCTTGGCTTTTTTTAATATTCTTGCCTAGACCCATTTTGCTGGTTAATTTGATCCGTTCGTAATGAAATTCACTCAACTATACCAAAAGCGTTTTTGGACAGACACACAAGAAAGATTTTTCAGGTAATTACTTAATCATGATATAGGATAAGAAGATGATTTGTATTTAGTTCGTTATAGAGTGTGATAATACTGTGCAGACGGTTAGATTTGTGAATCATCGCTCTCCTACAGATTGACCTATTCATTCTTGCCTAGACATAGTAACTGGTAGACTCTTTGGGTAATTGGACTCATATGCACTTTTAGTGATTTTGGATTTGTGTTGGATTTTAATTGCCTCGTATTTTAGTCAATTCATTTGGTTAGATCTAAAAATGGGTCTAGATGATTCTATACACAAAAAATATATATATACTAATAATTTCATTCACTAAAAATAAGACCAAAATTACATTATAATTGAGTACACATCTTCTTTTGAACTTGCAATATAATGGGTCCAATTTAGAGCTAAAATGAAAATTTGGGTATGCGTGAGCCCCAAAAGTAAAATTACCTAAACTTGATTTGACCCCTAATAAGTTGGGTTTAGCAATACCCAAATATTGGTTCCTTTTTGCCATGCATTTACATGTAAAAATTCAAATAAACTCTGAACTAGTTTGTAAAGCTTTAGTTCTTCTCTCCAATGGTCATGGTTCAAATCTCTCAAGTCTAGATTTATTTAGCTTGTTTCATTAAGATTTCAGGCTCCAGCACTAGCTATGAGTAGACGTGTTCAAATGGTTACTATCGTAACTATCAAACTAATTAACCCTAAATTTTACTAACCATGAATTACAATGCCTTAACCAAATCAATCAAATTCATTAACTGAAAGCTCATTGGTTAATTGGGTTAACCCATATAACCGAACATTAAAACTCTTCTTAATTCATCAATCCATAATATATATATATATATAGTGAATAAAAATAGCATGAGCTTATTGTTAACCCTTAACATAAATACACATAACTGATATAATTAGCCTACAATCATTAGAAGTAGCCATCTATAAAAAGTATATATCAATGATATGAGGTAATGAATTGAGTATATTTGTGTGAGTTGGTTTAGTCTCTCAGTCGTTATAAGAGTCTGAAAATATCTTCTCTTTCATCATTTCATCCAACATAATGTTTTTTTTATCTAAATTATGAGCCATATGTGGTTGCTTACATTCTAAAGAACAAAAATAGCATAGGAACACTCATTATTTTTTTTTTTTTTTTTTTTGTATGGGTCCATAAGGGATGGACATTTGACTTTTGAGTATTAATGCGTAGTATTAGAGTACGAGATATTAAATATACAAGTAATCGCCTAATTGATAAAGTGGTTTGATTGATTAGCAATGTCATGAACCAAAGAAGCTAAAATCCAATCAAACCAACATAACCAAATATCCAAATTAACTAAACTAAATTATCCAAATGCTGCCAATAAAATGATTATCCTGATAACCACTCCATTTGAATTTTTTCAAATACCACAATTCATCACAATAAACTCATGCTATTAATTAAAAAATTGATGGAGTTTAAAATCTATTTTTTTTTTTAATTCATCTTCTTCCTAACATCCATCCGCCAAACGACCCATATATGGTATTTTGGTGCTATTAGTGATTGATTGCCCTATAACAATAACAAGCAAAATCAGACGGAAACAATCTCCCTCTTCTTGCCAAATGGAAGCACAAATTACTTGAAGAGAGACCTTGTAGGCTAACAAGTAGTAGCTCTAAAAGGCATCTTCTGCCATGTCTCTCAGTGTCTTGGTAACAAATATGTTAGCATTATTTTTTCACCCTGGGACAGGACAGAGGGCAAGTAAGCCGAAATGCAGACTCTGCAAAACCCTAACATTTACCCAATATGATTTCTGGGTTCTTCATGCATATATGGCAGCACATGTACAATGAAACTTGTATGCCATGTTTTGACCATCAGCAACTTAATTACTCTGAGCTAAATTTCAGGTAGAACTATAATTATACGTGTTTCGTCATCAGTCCTTTAATAGCATTTAAAAACCCTAGATGCAGTCTGTTTCTTTCTGAGATCTCAGTGATCAGATCGGTCCAAGGCAATTTGGTTAACTTACTGTCTGTCACAATATTTCCAGCTTGAAATCGGTCATTGAAAGGTACAACAAAGCCAAAGAGGAACAACAACACCAACTGTCAAATTTAACTTCACAATTCCAGGTATGCATGCACTATCTATAGTACTAATTATTGATTAGTTCACTCCATGGCAACAACTGGAAGCTTATTGTGTTGTAGTAATTAAAATTTATCACGGTTAGTAAACGGTATATGATACACGATTGAACCTCTCCCAACAGCTCGAGTTATTGGGATCAATTGGTTCTTGACATGATATCAGAGCCTTCTGTTCGATTCCTGATGATCCCATCTGTTTTTGTTAAGCACATGGTGTCCGGACCTGTGTCTGTCCAAACTCCAAACCTATCTGAATGGCTTGAGTTTGAAGGGGGGTATTAGTAAACGGTATATGATCAACGATTGAATCTCTCCCAACAACTCGAGTTATTGGGATCAACTGGTTCTTGACAATCACACCCTAAATTGAGACTATAATCTCTTTCTTTTTTTCTCTCTCTCTTTTTCTTACAACGTTACTAGCTACTATACTGGTATAGTGGGGATAAGATGCAGTCTTTTCTTTTCGTGGAGACGTATATACATACTGACTTTATTATATTTTAAAATATTGAACAATATCTTCCAGTTTTGGCAAAAGGAGGTCGAAATTTTGAGGCAACAACTGTACACTTTGCAGGAGAATCATCGGTATGATATTTTGTTCTTTTTGAATGCTAAAAAAGAGTGATATTATTTTCTATGAACCCATGCATGCACATGTCTGTCTTACTGTCTATTGGCAGCAAATTTATGGGCCAACATCTTTCTGGATTGAGTTTCAAAGACCTCCAAAGTCTAGAGAAGCAGTTGGAGACAAGCCTGAGGGGCATTCGAACAAAAAAGGTCAGCAGCTAGCCTGGCAGCAGCTTTCTACATTTTACGAGTTCAAGCACGTACGTGAATTATTTGTATACGTGACAATTTCCAATGTGGCAGGAACAAGTTTTAACAGGAGAAATACAAGAGCTAAGGCGAAAGGTGCACCACCAAATTTAATTAAGGCTTTTTTCACACTCTCTTTTCCTATTAGACACGATTGGTTATTATGATCAGCAGAAGTCTCTGCTGCAATTATCTCTCTGCTCATTATCATGCATATTAATTCTGCTACCTGATTTGCAATTAAGCACAGGGAAACCTCATTCATCAAGATAATTTAGAGCTCTATAAGAAGGTCAGCCTCATAGGCCAAGAAAACTTGGAGTTGTACAAGCAGGTAGCTAGCTAGTCCTCCAAACTGTACTAATACATATCCTGGCCAGAAACCAAATTAAGGATATGATGCAGTACTGATCATCATCCTTAAACTTTGTTTTGGAGGAATGATAATTAGGCCTTTTGTCTTTGTTATTTCAGGCATATGGCACAAGAGATAATGATGGAACTCAAACAACTCCCAACTCAGTTATCTCGTTTAGTTTAAGTAATGGAGAAAACTCGCGCGCGCATCCCCACTGGTCTGCAATTACGCCAACCAGATGAGCAGATTTACAATACTAGCGCACACATGGCATCTAGCTAGTGGGAAATCTGGAAATTTGAGACTTTATGGTGTAAACCTGATCAGGTGGTATATCGTGATGATCATGAATTATTGTATTTAGGGATGGCAATTACTCACCTATTAATAATTATACCCAAACTCAAGTAGAGTCATTGATAATGGGTAGGGTGTGGGTGAAGTATGTATGGGTTACAGGCTTTTTTATAATAATAAAAAGTATATATGGGTTGGGGGTTTGTAAATGGGTTTGGGTTATATATGGATATTCCTTCCATAATCTAAATGGGTATGAGTAGGTAGGGGAGGGAAACGGGACGGGACGGGATACCCGTCCCGTTTGGAGACCAAAGTCCATCCCATATCCCAAACTCATATGGGAAACGGGTACCCATTTCCCGTACGGGACAGATAACGGGTACCCATACTACCCATAAATACCCAAAGTTTAAACCACTAAAATTTTAACAAAAGTTTAGACTTAACTTGTATTTGTTTAACAATCACAAGACACAAAATACATCCCAATCACAAATACTCGGTTTGCAAATAACACATTCATGAACAATCACAACACATAGAAATAAATCATTCCAAGCACCAAATTATCAAATAAGAAATTTCATTCAACACAACCAAATGGGAGGCATGCTGCTACTTTTCTTGTGTTGCAGAATGCAGAAAGTGTCCAAATTTTTAGGTTAATGGGAAGCTAAATCTATAGCAGAGAAGCTGAGTCTCACTGAAAGGGTAAGGGTCCTGGGCCCAAATGGTAAATGAAATTGAAATTGCAAAGGTGAGGGCCGAAATGGCCAATGGGTTATGAATTGGGCTGGACTGCCTTTGTATTGAATGGGTATAACGGGTACCCATATTACCCAAACGGGTATTCGCGGGTAACCCGCGGGTACCCATATTAGGAATGTACAATCCCAAGTCACATCCGTTTATAATATTACGGGTAATATGGGTACTTGTAACCCTTAAAAAATGGGACGGGTACGGGTATACCCAAATACCCGTTTCCCGTTGACCACCCCTATGAGTAGGGCATGGATATCCATTTACTTGAAGATTTTTTTTTAAACTGCACATACAAAAATTGGACCTATATGTAAAACTTTAAAAAGTTCAGGTATCAAAATATAAGGCCAAAAAAATTAGATACCAAAACCTAATTTTCCGTCGATATTTTGAGAACTTAAATGCAAAAAAAAAATTTAGGTACTAAATTTGTAGATCAATTAAGTTTAGGTAACAAACTGTAATTTGCATTTGGACATAGGTACAAAACCCAAATATATGGGTGTGGATATATACCCATCAAACTCTAGGAAATTTTCCGGATATACCACACAAAAACTAAATATTCCAAATATACCACCAATTTTCGAAAAAAATCCAAAAATACTAACCTTTTTTAAAAAAGACGCGGCCCCTATGGCGGTTGGAAGATAATTGATCCGGACTTTGCTGGCGCAATGGATCAGGTGCTTCAGTTCATATCTGGGAAGACACATGACTGCCGACGAGCCCGCCTTCTCGACATGTATTTCTGCCTAATGTCTCTTTACCTGGGGCCATGTATATTCTTTGATTGATCATGGATCTGGCAGTTGGAAGGTAACTCTCCTCACCTCTTTATTTGATGTGTATATGGTCCAAATTATCATATTTATTCCTCTTTCCATCTTTCCCGTGTCTGACCATCTTGTGTGGCACTACAAGAAACCAGGTGAGTGCATTGTTACGTCAGGGTATAGGGTGACCTTTGCTAATTATATTCATAATTTTTCCACCATTCCTCCGATTCTTTATTCTTCGGCTTATAATTTGCTATGGTCCTTGAATGTTCCTCCTAAATTAAGTTTAATTCTCTTGCGTGTCATTAAAGGGTATCTTCTCTTAAGAGATACACTTAGAGAGAAAGAATTAATTGATGATGAAGATTTTTCAGGCGGTAAAGTGCCCTGTTTGTGAGTAAGCTCATGAGACTTTATTGCATTCGTTTATGCACTGCAGGGTGGCTATGGATTTTTGGAACCATGTTGGTTTTAATCATTTACGGATGCAGTTTTACAAAATGCATGTATCTATGGGCTGGCGGTGGTTCTTTTTTCATGCAGGTATTCCCAAGGAAGTTCGCAGTCGTCTAGTCTTTGCATACTGGCACATTTGGAAGGCTCGGTGCTCTACAACTTAAGATCATGTCCAATATCTCTCAACCATCATGGTGTGACATTTCCAATCTCAAGTGGGAGAATGGTCCTCTACTCAAGCAGCTTTAGCCTCAAATAATCGTCGTGCTACTGTTCCTCCTGGGATTCACAATCACACTCCACTTCCAATTACGTCGAGTTCCTTCTTTGTCCACTTTGATGGCGCTACGAAAACCACTATTAGGGGAGGAGTTGGGTTCGTTGGTTATACATGACCAACCGATATTCACTTTGCGTTTGGGAAGTTTTACGACTGTTTGGATGACGCATTCATCATTGAGCTCATGGCCCTCCGGGATGTCCTCCGGTGGTGTCTTTCTAAATCGATCTCTAATGTCTCATTCTGTGGTGACACACAAGTGATCATTCAAATGATTAAGCGTAAGGAATTAAGCCATGCTTTGGGTGGTAGCCTCCTTTTAGAGATTCAGGTACTCCATTTCTCCATGCAACTTGCATCGTTCCACTTCGCTCCGCATAAGTACAATAGACCAGTCCATATCGTGGTGAAACAAACCCTCTCATCGTGCGATCGTTGGTTGGTCGACCACCGGCTCTTCCTTATTTCTTCTTTGAAAATTCATATGAGTTCATATCAACTCATACCAATATCATATTAGTTCATCCCAAGTTCATGTCATTCATATTAAGAGTTTTGAAGAGTTCCTTTTTCTTTACTCAAAACATAGCAAAATGGATATCAATGTGTAGATCGTAATTAATGCGTTCTTTATATGCTAAATTTTTTAAATTCAGAGTTAAAACGAATTCTGTAGAATTGGATTAAGAAAAATAGAAGATTAGAAAAAAATGCATTCTCGCCTCTCTGGGATATGTGTCAGGGTATCAGCAAAAAGAAACCCAGGAATGGTGGAGTTACCAGTCAACTCTCCTTTTTGTTTGTTCTGGATTAATGGGGACCATCAGATCTTCTATGGATCGGATGGATGAGGATTGAGTTTTGTAGAGTTTTGTATGTTATGATTTTGTACAAAAATCGCTCCCACTTTATAACATGTTTCACTCCGCTTTGTTTTTTACAACTGTACAATTAATATCTATCAAAATATTTTAGTAGAAATAGTGTCTAACTAGCCTAGGATGTTACAGAGTAGAGGAAAAATCTTTTTTTTTTTAAATGTATCACCACACTAGGGTCTAGGCTACTGTCTGAGAAATTTAGTACGAGGGAGAAAAAAAATAAGAAGAGGAAAAAAAAATAAAAAGATGAATAACAAAATGGGGCCCGGTGGGAGCCATGAGCCGAAAAAGGAGTGCGGCGTTAGAAAGCGCGCGCAAAGAGTTGAGCAGTGGAGTGGTGGTAAGCGATAAGAAGCGCATCATCATCATCATCGACAAAGCCAAACAGCACAACCCACCAAAAACCTGAAGCGCACAGCAAAATCGGAACCCAAATCCAACCGAATCCACAAGTTTCAAATCACCTTCCGCCACCCAAAAAACCCTTTGCCTCTATCTCCTTGCTTCCTCGCTTGGCGCTGCTGCCAAGTGCAAAACTAAAGAGCAATGGCGATGGCTATGGCGCTACTTCGCCGCCTCTCCTCTCCTCTCAACCACCCTACCCGCCCTTTCATCACTCCTCTCTGTTACAAGGTTTCCCCTCCACTTCACTCTCGCCGCTCCCCAGATTATGCGTATTTCAAGCGGCTGATGCTTTTCCTTCTCTGTGTGAATTTTTTTTTTTTTTTTTTTTGTCAGTCTTCGTTGCCCGATGAAGCTGTTTACGAGAAGGAGAAGCCCGGCGTCACCGTAAGCCTCCCGCTGTTTCGAATTCTGCTTTTTATGCTTCCATTTGGCGATTGGATCCGTCAACTTCTTCAACCGTCTTCTGTTGTTTGCTGTGTTTTTTTCCCCTTGTTCGGCAGTGGCCGAAGCAGCTCAATGCGCCGTTGGAAGTCGTGGATCCTGAGATTGCTGACATTATTGAGCACGAGAAAGCTCGTCAATGGAAGGTGCATATTGCTTTGCTTAGCTCGTTCTGCGCGTACAACTAGAATTGAGCTGTGCTGCTGCTGATGCCATTTCATTGCATCAGTTATTTTTTTCGATGTAGTTAATTCGGCCAACGTACTAGCTATTTCAGCCATCAATTTCGGATTATTCACTTGATTAGGGATTGAAGCGTCCTACTGTTCTTCGTTGATTCCGGATTATGTATCTTGCTCTCTCTTTTTGTTTGCCTTCTTGTATGTTCATTTCTCGGCGTTATGTTTACTTTCTACTTTTCATTAGCCGCAATGCGTGATAGTAACTTGTGTATGCATTTCTGTGAAGGGTCTGGAACTCATACCCTCGGAGAACTTCACTTCTGTGTCAGTGATGCAAGCAGTTGGATCGGTCATGACCAACAAGTATAGTGAAGGGTACCCTGGTGCTAGATACTACGGAGGAAACGAGTGAGTCCTCACACTCTCTTGTTTTAATGTTGTGTTATCCTACCAGAAGTATTGTGGTTGGCTGCTAATGTCACTATCATTAGTAACTTTTCATGGTGTTATGCACAAACATATTCAACTTCAATAGGTCTTCTAGTTTGTATTTTCTGTGGGACTTAGCATGATGATACCTCTGATTGTCAGGTACATTGACATGGCAGAGTCCTTGTGTCAGAAGCGTGCACTCGAAGCATTCAGGTTGGATCCTGCAAAATGGGGAGGTATGTGCAGCTGTTGAAATAGGAGTTCTATGAGGGTTGAGACCATAAATGGACATGAGTTGTATCTTTAAGCCATGTGGAATGCTCAATCAACTGGGTTTTCTCAACAATTATGTTATCAGTGTTTGTGACTTCCATCTCCCCTTCCATCTTGTAGTCAATGTGCAGCCTCTATCTGGTTCTCCTGCCAACTTCCAAGTCTACACTGCCTTGTTGAAACCTCACGACAGAATAATGGCTCTTGATCTTCCTCATGGTGGGCATCTTTCGCATGGTTACCAGGTATTAACATTTCCATCATACTTTAGTTGTCGTAATTCTATTTCAACCTTACATCTGTAATAGTTGATTTGGTTTGAGCATGTTGTCGCATTATGTTATGCATATAAGGGAGAGCTGACTTATTTCCTTCTCTTCCTTTTTGCAGACAGACACCAAAAAGATATCTGCAGTGTCAATATTTTTTGAGACAATGCCATACAGACTGAATGAGAGCACTGGTTACATTGACTATGAACAGGTATCTAATTTCTACTCCAAATTAATATCGTGCGATCTCCATATGCGTTGGTTCCTGGGTAGAATAATATTTGCAGACATTTACCTAACTTTATAAAATTATGATTGGAATCTCACATGAAAAGTTATTCACTGCAGATGGAGAAGAGTGCCACTCTTTTCAGACCAAAATTGATAGTGGCGGGTGCTAGCGCATATTCTCGTCTTTATGATTATGCATTCATTCGGAAGGTAACCTCTTTCACTTGATTGCTGGTATCCAATTTAGATTTGCAAGATCTTGTAGTTCTTACATGCCATTCTCAACGTGATCTTATATGTGTTTCCAATTGAATATTGGCAGGTTTGTGACAAACAAAAGGCCGTCTTGTTGGCGGACATGGCTCACATTAGTGGGCTGGTTGCAGCTGGTGTGGTCCCATCACCATTTGATTATGCAGATGTGGTGACCACCACAACTCACAAGTCCCTTCGTGGCCCACGTGGAGCCATGATTTTCTTCAGGAAGGGAGTTAAAGAGGTCAACAAACAAGGAAAGGAGGTATGCATCTGAACATCATTTTTGCAAGATTATCTGACGAGCTAATGTGTTTTTATGTTTATTTTTATCATGAACTAACTGACATGTTTACTTTGTTTCCATCAAGGTGTTGTATGACTATGAAGACAAAATTAACCAAGCTGTCTTTCCTGGACTTCAAGGTGGTCCGCACAATCACACAATCACTGGTTTAGCAGTCGCACTGAAACAGGTGAGCACTCCATAAGCATATCAAATGTCAAGACCCCAAAACATTCTCAGAATGTATTTCATATCTGCATTTCCTTATCTGGTTTTGCTAAATGTTGAAGGGGAATGGACTCACCAGGAGTGCAAAGACTGACCAGTAATGACACAAGCATTCTTATTTAATCTACTCGTTCACATTTTATGCAGGCTACAACTCCAGAGTACAGAGCTTATCAGGAACAAGTGCTTAGAAACTGCTTCAAGTTTGCTGAGGTACAACCAAATGGAATCGGGGGAAATAGTCACCGAAAGATTCTCATGAAAACATATACTTCGTCTGCATGCGACCTGAAATTTTGAAAAATGATGTTTCGTCATTGTGCATTAATGTTTTCGTTTCCTCCATGCTTTGTGTTTCTTATTTTCCAGGCTTTAGGGGAGATGGGATATGACCTAGTTTCTGGGGGGACTGAAAACCACTTAGTTTTGGTGAATTTGAAGAACAAGGTAATATAACTTTGCTTTTTTTGTTTCGATATTGCGAATACAGTTAGTTAAGTTCAAGTAGACAATCTGGTCTATGACATTTCTGGTTTTGTTATAATCCCCAGACCCACGCAAATGGCAGTGTACTAACTGCATCTTTCGGTGTTTCTGTTTATACAGGGTATTGATGGCTCCAGGGTTGAAAAAGTGCTGGAGGCTGTTCATATTGCTTCAAACAAGAACACGGTTCCTGGGGATGTGTCTGCCATGGTTCCTGGTGGCATCAGGATGGGTAACAGCTTTCTCTTTTCTCAATTTTGTGCTCTTTTCCTTTTCGGGTTTGAGATGGTTAAGGGTCTTAATTGTTAACAGGGATGCCTGTTTTTACTTCACATAGCGTAAGGTTCATATGAAACCATTCTCTTCACAGGAACCCCAGCTCTTACGTCTAGGGGATTTGTTGAGGAGGATTTCGTGAAGGTTGCTTACTTCTTCGATCTTGCTGTTAAGATTGCAGTGAATATTAAGACTGCAAGCACAGGTCTGTAAACTCCCCCCATCGATCTTACACTACATTGTTCAATGGCTTTCAGTTCACTTGGGTAACATCCATGGTCTGGCTTGGCTGTGTAATATTCTTTTGAGCAATGTGCGCTATTTCATTCAAGATCTTGACTCTTCGCATTCATATTATTCCTGTGACTTCTGGAAAAACCAGGGACAAAGCTGAAGGACTTTGTAGCGACAATGCAGACCGCCAATTTCCAATCTGAGATTGCCAAGCTCCGTCTTGATGTTGAAGAATACGCGAAGCAGTTCCCAACAATCGGCTTTGAGAAAGAAACCATGAAATACAAAAGCTAAACAAGGCGCAGGTTAGAAGGGTTTGCCATGAGGTTCTTATCTTCAATGGAAGTAAAACAAAGGGATCTTACATCGAAGTCATGAAGCATTATGTATGAAGATGTAAATGCTGGCCTTTCTTGTATTACAAATGCCTGTAAATCCCCGAAACCGACCTCGGTTTTATGTCTATACTACTAAATACATACAAATGAAAAGCTAATTGGTTGGTGCCGAATCGCAAGAAAGAATAAACGTGTGCAAGTGCAACCCTTACTTCACTCTGAGAAAGTTTTAGTTCTTCGTCTTATTATTCTGATCTAGTAGGTGATGGGTGTTGGCGGCAAAAGTACCGTCGAAGTAATCGAAACGATTTTGTTCGGGATTCAGTTTACCGGAGGTGGCGGGTCAAAGTGTCGAGATCAAGGTTGTCAAACCGGTTTGTGCCAGTGTGCCGGTTTAGCAAGTGGAATGGTTCGACCGGTTGTACATACCGGTTTGTGCCGGTTCATGCCGGTTAATATATATTACAAATAATTTACAAATACTCATATTTAAGCACGACATTTAACGTCAATACCTAAATATTTGTACTTGAATCTAACAAATAACATCAACATTTAACTTTTTAACACATAAAATAAATAATAAATTACTTTTTATCAAATAAATTCACTAATATAAGATCATTTTACTTAGAGATTCGTATATCGATCATGCCGGTCATACCGGTGGGTGTCATACCGATTTTATGACCGGTACAGGTTGAACCAGTGGCACGCCGGCCGGCGTGACAACCATGGTCGAGATAAGTAGGGGTGTGCAACGGTTCGGTCCGGACCGGATCAAACTCATGAGAACCGCGGTCCATTAGTGAAAGACATGTTAGGACCAAGGACCGGATCATTCTTGCATTTGGTCCGGTTCGGCCCGGTCCAAATATGAGCTCGATCCATCATTTCTTCAGTAATTATAAAAATTAGGAGGACCAAGGGCCGGACCGCATTTTACTCGGTCTGGTCCGGTCCGGTCTTAACAACGGTTTGGTCCGATGTGGTCCGATACGAACCGGACCATTGCACACCCCTAGAGATAAGTACACTTGTGTTTCAATGTGCAAGATACCATGATATGTGAGAATTGAAAGTTGAGATTACTTTTATGATAAATATTAAAATATCCTTAAGCCTGGGTGAATTGCAAGTTTGGTCACTCATATTACCTATTTATAACAAGTTAGCCACCCGAATCACTTTTGCTTCAATTTAGCCACTGATACTACTTGTTTGTGTCATCTTTAGTCACTCGCAGTTTAATTCTGTTAAATCTGTCCTACGTGGCAGTCAACAGTTAGGTTTGACTGTTAAAAATGCTGATGTGGCAATTAAAAAATAATTAATTAATAAATTTAAATTTTTATAATTTTACAACTTATAATTTTCAATCAAAAATATTATCTAAAAAAAATAATAATTCCCTTTCTCCGTGGTCAGTCTCCCAGCTCCCCAGTTCGCCAATTACCCCATATCTGTCCCCACCAACCCTTCCTCTACCACGATCCCATCCCAAACCTACTTCATTCCGCCCAATGCCGCTGCAAACCGAAACTCCTCCACCATAGCTTCCTCCGGCACCGCCAAACCCAGTTTCTCCTTTATACCCGACCCGTTGACCAAATTCAACGCTTGCCCACCCGTCGAGTAAACCCTCTCCTACGTCGCCGCCCAGATCGAGAGAGGAGATGCATGCTCGATGGCCGACAATAGATCGACGGATCGAGAGAGGCAGAGGCGGTCTGGAGATTCAGTGGCATGAACTCGCCATTTCGGCAGCGGTGGCGACGAATGAGAAAGGAGAGGCTTGGAGAAGATGAAGTCCGGATTGGTGGGGATTCCGTTGGGGCGGTGAAGATGGTGCCAACAGGGAGAGAGAAGAGGAGATTTTGGGGCTGGCGATTGAAATCTCTCTCTCTCTCAATCTGCATCTTCTTCCCCTATCCATAAGAACACACTAAGAAAAAAGATCCCTAAATTGACGAAAAAATCATGCTTTCCAATAATTGGTGTAGTTAATAATTAATTTAACCGAGGGAATGAACAAATCCCTTCTCCTTCTTCTTTCACTTTCTTGTCTCAGTTGTCTGATGGTAGTGCAGTACGGCGGGTTGTTGTTGCAGCGACGATTAGGTGGTGCGGCGGTGGCCTAGCGAGAAAGCTGCAGCAACGACAGGCGTGGAGCGGGTTGATGGCTGAGAGGCGCGGATCGAAGACAGTAGAGGTACAATGATCACGGAGAAAGTGATTCCATGATCGGCAACGGGGAAGGTGCGATCTCCGGTACATATGCTCGGTTGACGCGGCGGAGATAAGGTAGGAGAGGGGGCCGATTTGATGGATGGATTCTCAGGGAGAGTGACCACGAGAATTGTTAATTTTTTTAAATAATCTTTTTTAAATTGAAAATTGTGAGCTATTAAGGTATAAAATGTTAATCTTATTAATTAATTAATTTTCAATTGCCACGTCAGTATTTTAACGATCAAGCTTAACTATTGACCGCCACATAGGACAGATTTAACGGAACTAGACGGCGAGTGACCAAAGATGATATAAACGAGTAGTATCAGTGGCTAAATTGCATGGTAAAGGAAACCGTACCGGACATCATACCGGATTACTTTCTGGTAGGGTATTTTGTGGTACAACCGTGGTTCAACCGTTTCGTACCGGTAAATACCGTTTTTGTAATAATAAAATATATTTTTTGTCAAAAAACCGTGTCGGCAAAATCAGAGTACCGTCTCGGAGTAATACCGGATGTATCGGGATATACCGGACAATAAATGAAAAAAATACAAGTAGTTAGCAAATAATAGAAAGAAAAAGAAATTTTAAACAATAATTATTGTTTATATGTTTATAAAAAACTTTCCAATCATTTAAATATTTAACAAAATGAAGGTGGCAAGGGGTAATTATGCAGAAACAAGTGGGTCATTTGGTTATTTTCTTAAATTCAATATAAGGATAGTGAGAGGGTGAGCAGGGAAACCCTAGCCGCCTCTTGGGTCTTCACCAGTTCACCTCGTTCTCTTCTAGTCTTCTTCCTCTCTCATTCTGCAACTGCAAGACAAAAATACAAAGAAACAAAGCCCAGACCTTCCATCTTTTATCCCTTTTTTTGTGCATGTCTAACAAAAACGACGGAGGAAGAATAGAACATTCTTCTCCTTCTCCTTCCTTGCTCGATTTGCTCCTCCCCTCCCTTTCTTCTGCCTCTTCTCTCGATTTACTCCGCCAACTTACATCGTCGATGAGAATTGAGAAATAGAACCAGATCCACCAAACCGACCATAAAAGCATCGATCTATGTTCATCTCCTTCCTCCCTCTTCCTCTATTGATTTACTCATCCCTGTCTCCAAGAAATCGAATCAGGCCCTTGTGAGCCAAGGACCATACCGCGGCGTTTCAAAACTGGCTATTTTTTTCTCAATATGCTTCACTGACCGGTCAGACCAATACCGGCCGGTATTTCGCGGTTTGACGGTTTGACAACAAAAACCGGCCGGTGTGGTATTTTGGGCACTGTGACTCTACCGTTCCGGCCAGGCTCCGGTTTCCGGTATGTCGGGTTCGACCGGCCGGCACGGCACGGTTTCCTGTACCATGCTAAATTGAAGGGAAAGTGATTTGGGTGGCTAACTTGTTACAAATAGATAATATGAGTGACCAAACTTGCAATTCACCCCCTAAGCCTGTTTGGATAGACAAAAAAAATTAAAGAATTGTTCCATTTCCATATACTATGTTTGGAATGATGAGAAGATTGAGAACCAAATTTCATTTGGTTTAAAATTTGGGAATGTAATTCCTATCAAAAGTGATAGGAATTGAGTCAATGAAGATGGAATTAATGAGACTCATTAATATTTAATACTATTTTATTGATCCACTATCATTTTACTCTCTTTCTCTCTCATTCATATTTCATTTCCCAAAACAAACATATTACATTATTTATTATTGTTAAAAGTGCAATTCATTTCCATTTATTATGAAATTGTATCCAAACAGGTTGTTTTATGTGAAAACGATGTCAATCATTACTTGTGATATGATAGACAGGAAACCTCATGAATTTACAAAAAAAATCATTAAGTATTCAAAATCGCTATTATGAGGCGGGTGCATTCAAAGTGAGTACACCGAAGACACCACCATTTAAAGATATATATATGGTGGCGTCTTCGGTGCACTCACTTTTTTGGGTGCATTCAGTGCACTCACTTCATAACCTTCATTTTAAACATGCGATTTATGTCAAAATTAGGGCTGGGAAACAGTCCGGTTCGGTTTAAACCGGACCGGATTGACCCGGTTTTTTTATAACCGGATTGGTCATATACCCAACCGTAGACGGGATTGGATTGGTACACGGTTTTAACCGTGACCGGACTGGATTGATCCGGTTTCAACCCAAAAACCGGATCTCCTTTCTTCAATCCCAAAACACAGCCGTTTTCATAAAAAAAAAAAAAAAGACAGATGTTTGAATAATAAAAAATCCCATTATCCTTCTCCTACCAACCACACAACCCCTAATCTATCCCTACTTCACGATTCTTCTTCTCCCTCTCCCTCTTCTAGATCAAACAAAACACAACACAAGCATCGACTTCTTATCCCTCAAGCACTACTCTGGCTCGCCCTATCGATGAGCTCGATTGAAGTTAGAGAGGCGAGAAGAGTTGGATCTGGAGAATCGATTGGAGCCGCGAGAGCCGGGAAGGTGAGATCGAGCGAGAGAGGGAGCATGCAAGCTCTGTATAGAAGAGGCATGTCGTCGCGGCCGTTGCGTGTTAATCGACCAGATCGCCTCGTCGTCACGGTCGTCGCGTGCCGATCGATCACATCTCCTAGCCCTCGTCGTCGCTGTCATGCGAGTTCTGGTGGCGGAGTGGCTACGGTCGGCGAAGTGCTGGAGGGAGCCAATTGAGGAGCTTGGATTTTCTTTCTCCTTCCCCTCTTCGTGTGTGTGGGTCTGTGATTGGGAATGAGAGAAGTTTGAGGGTCAGGAGGGGAGAGAAGAACAAAGAAGCTTGAATCAATTAGGGTTTGGGAAAGGGACCGTGGGCTGGGCTATGATATAAGTGGAGTGGGCTGTGAGATTAGTGGGGTGGGCTGGGGGATGGGTTGTGAATTGTGATATTAGCGGGCTGGGCTGGGGCTGAGATTTATTTATTTTTTTTCTATCCGGTTTTTCCGGTTTTAACCGGATTGGACCGGACCTGTGGGCACTACAACCGGCAACTGGATTGGATTGGTTGGGATCCGGTTTCCAGTTTCAACCGACACGGTTTTAACTGGCCGGTTTCCGGTTTGACCGGAAAACCGGGACCGGATTCCCAGCCCTAGTCAAAATGATGTCAATCACTTATGATGTGTAGGGCTGGCTATTTGGTCTGGACTGTTTGGTTTTACCCAAAATCGGACCGTATAACTCGGACTGGGACCGGATAACAAACAATCCAATCTCATATTCGGGTTTAGATTTGAGGTAAAAAACCGAATAAAGACCAGATAAGAGACCCCCAACACCTAAAATCAAGATCAAATTGGGACCGGACCGGGTCAAAACCGGACCGGATCAAGACCGGACTGTATCCAATCCAATCTCTGGTCCTTATATTCCCGAAAATACCGGACTGGGACCAGATCAATTTGGTCCAATTTAACCGGACCGGACCGTATAGCCACCCCCAATGATGTGATGAACAATAACACACATGAATTTGCACAACAACCATTGAAGATTTACTTTAATTTGAAGGATTTAGAGTTTAGAAATTTAGGGTTAGGATTTACAATTTAGGGTTTCGGGATAAAACTCAAAATTGGAGATCTAGAACTCAGAATAATTCACTAATTAGTTGTTATCATATGGTATACCATCGTATTACACTAATTCTACAAATTAAATTAAAATTCTACTAGTTCTTAAAAAATAACATATTTGAAACTCGGTCGAGATGCTCACCCAATCTACTTCCACCTCGCAAAAAGTAAAAAACTCTCTATTCGTTTAACGGTGCAGATGACCTGTCCTCGGCACGATGCAAACCCATTTTTCTTCACGGAACACCCACAATTATCTCCCCGTCAAAAAAAATCTAAAGCGGCCGAAGGGGGAAAAATGCGAGGAACACGAGCAGCAGTACAAAACGTTTTAAGAGTCCTCTTGCTGCTCAACGCTCTAATGGCGTCACGTTTCTCGCTCTCTCGCTCCGTTCACCCAATCCTCAAGCGCCCGACTCGCTTCCTGACTCACTCTCCCCATTTTGCCCCCACTCCTCCTCTTAAATCCCGTCCCTGTCCCCTCTGGTCCGCTTCCTTCTCCTTCTGCCTCGCTTCCTCTTCTTCTTCCTCCTTCTCCCCGACTTCTCTCCCCGTCTTCTCTCCTTCCCACTCCCCTCGCCGCTACGCTTCATTCTCTCCCCCTCCTTCCCCGCCGTCTGCCATGGCCGCCGCCGTCGCTGCTGCCGGCGATGTCGAGAATCCTCTTCTGAAGAACTTCGAGTTCCCTCCGTTTGATTCCGTCGAGGCCGATCATGTCCGTCCAGGGGTTCGCGCTCTGCTCAAGCAGCTCGTAAGCGTCGTCTCACTCTTTTATTCCTGTTTTTTTTTTTTTTTCATGTTTGAGCGATTGTTCGATTTATTTGTTTATTTTTTGAGCTGCGCGAATGTGCGTTCAGGAGGATGATCTGGACGAACTGGAGAGGACCGTGGAGCCGACTTGGTCGAAGCTGGTGGAGCCGTTGGAGAAGATTGTCGATAAATTGAGTGTTGTTTGGGGCATGGTTAATCACCTTAAGGCGGTCAAGGATACCGCTGAGCTCCGGGCTGCTATCGAGGAAGTTCAGGTGAAGTGGGAATTGAAGATGTACCCAAATGAATGATGATCAATCCGAAACAAATTCAAAAAATTTTAAATTTTATTCTGTTTGGTAAATTGTTCTTACTGAATATTGTTTTGAATATTCCTCCGCAGCCCGAAAAGGTGAAGTTTCAGCTCAGGTTGGGTCAGAGTAAACCGATTTACAATGCTTTTAAGGCCATTCAGGAATCTCCCGAGTGGCAGCATCTCAGTGATGCTCGGAAGCGGATAGTTGAGGGTGAGTTTCTTTAGCTTGCGTCATCTGTACAAGAATGCATCTTTCTACCCTTTTTCAATGGTGTTGTTTTCTACTTTCCATTGGCGTTTGAGTGTTTATGCTCTGCTTGTTTCTTATTTGATTTTTATTCTCTATTCTCTTACCCTAGAACTGGTTATTCCTTCTGTTCTTCATTCTTGGAGACAGGTGGATTGTGTTCTTCTTACTAGTTTATTTGCTTAACCCTTGACGCCATTTGTTGTCTATGTGCAGGCCAAATAAAGGAGGCTGTCCTCGGTGGTGTTGCTCTAGACGACGAGAAAAGAGAAGAGTTCAATAAAGTTGAGCAGGTACAGTTCTTCTGTCGCATGTTTAAGTTTTTTCTCCCCCCTTTTTGCCTCCCCAGTAGGGTGTAGTCTTATTCAGTTGAAAACAGGAATAATTTTGGATTAGGGTATTTCTAATGAGATATAAATTAGTTACATGTGAGGACTATAAGGTTTGTTGCTGATAACTTCCTATGAACTCTGGTTTATTTTTAGGAATTGGAAAGATTGTCTCAAAAGTTTGGCGAGAATGTGCTTGATGCCACAAAGAAGTTTGAAAGGCTTGTCACGGATAAGAAAGAAATTGAAGGATTGCCTCCTACTGCACTTGGGTTGGCTGCACAGACGGCTGTATCGAAGGTATTATCAGCTGTTAATGTAAACTCTGCTTGTACGTTTGATGTCACGCATTGGAATCTTGGGTGCCGTGACTCTGTTTTTCCTTCAAACTTACTTACCGAATACCATGATGATGTTTGACTGGTTTATATATGCTTTCTATCAGGGTCACCCTGGAGCAACTTCTGAGGATGGGCCATGGATAATTACATTGGATGGCCCTAGTTTTATGTCTGTCATGCAACACTGTCGAAACCGTGGTTTGCGTGAAGAAGTTTATCGTGCCTACATTACTCGTGCTTCAAGTGGAGATCTTGATAATACACCAATTATTGATCAAATACTTAAGCTTAGGCTGGAAAAGGCTAGGCTCCTTAACTACAACAACTATGCTGAGGTACAATACTTTCATTTGTTGGTCCACAGCAATGATATATAAACGCTAGCTGTCCTTAATTGCCTGCTTATTACAGGTAAGCATGGCGACCAAAATGGCTACCGTTGAGAAAGCTCAAGAGCTTCTGGAAAAGCTGCGATCAGCTTCTTGGGATGCTGCAGTTAAAGGTAATGTGCCAGCATCCATAATATACCTGGTAGTGAGGCGATGTCAATTTAAGCATTATTCATCTGACCAAGTTTAGCTTTTACATTGTTAAACAATGAAGTTTAAACCTTCCTCTGAATCTTTTACTTTGCTTCTAGATTCTTTGCATTACCATTTTACAATTTTGATCTGGCTGGAAGTGACCTTTAATGGCCTTGACCTGAGTGCTTTTTTCTTGTCATTGTAGACTTGGAAGAGCTTAAGTATTTTGCCAAAAGTCAAGGTGCTGCAGAAGCAGATGACTTGAGACACTGGGACATTAGCTTTTGGGCAGAGAGGCTACGCGAGGCAAAATATGATATCAACGAGGTGGCTTACCTTTCAAGTCTTTCCTTATACGTTTAAGCTGTGGTTTGACGTTTGAATTTACCCATTTGTGTTAAATAAGTAATCCACAGGATTTCTACCTGTGAAAGTTTCCTGCTGAGCAAGGCTTATCCCTTGTGTTTAATGTCAATTGTTCCCATTTGGCCTCTGTTCACCCTTTTTATCTGGATGCAAACAGCTGACTTCATACTTGAGTTGATGTTTACAGGAGGAATTGAGGCCTTATTTCTCATTGCCAAAGGTTATGAATGGCCTTTTCAATCTTGCGAAAAAACTTTTTGACATCAATATTGAAGCAGCTGATGGCCAGGCTCCGGTAATCCTCTTTGCGTCATTTTCTGCTTTCCCTTATACAATGTTTCTTTGTATGTAACATGTAAGTAAATAACTATCCTGACCTTTGGTGTCTTTTAGGTTTGGAATTCTGATGTTCGGTTCTATTGCATCAAGGATTCCTCAGGCTCACCCACTGCATACTTCTATTTTGATCCTTATTCCCGTCCATCTGAAAAAAGGGGAGGTGCATGGATGGATGAGGTCGTTGGACGAAGTCGTGTTCTGTCACGCAATGGTACTAGTCCAAGGTTACCGGTTGCTCATATGGTATGCAATCAAACACCACCGGTTGGTGACAAACCAAGCCTTATGACATTCCGTGAGGTACTTTCTTCTGACATAGTTGCTCAAATCCACCTTCAAGCACTTATATATTTTTGTGTAATAATTTTTGTTAATCTGGCTCTTGGGGATATGATCTTCGATTCTTAGAAGAACTACTGACAATGATAAGATTTAAACTCACTGCCTTTTGCACTTAGCCTCGCTGGGTGTATGGCTGTGATAATCATGTCCCAATTGAGGGTTTTCGTTATGGAGTGTGTTAAGCAAGCTCGGCATGGCTTCTTATGGATCATAAGGTGCTTAGTACCAGCTTGTTTATAAGGAAAAGTGAAAAAAACATATATTTTTATGTGAGATCAATTGCTTAGTATTTTGCCTGCTACTGCTGCTGCTCTGGGGAAATAGTACATCAAGATGAGAAATTGTGACAAGCTTTAGTTCAATGGTTGTGATGTGCTTTCATAGGTTGAAACTGTCTTCCATGAGTTTGGCCATGCTCTTCAGCACATGCTTACCAAGGTGGACGAGGGCCTTGTTGCTGGAATCAGAGGAATAGAATGGGATGCTGTGGAACTACCTTCTCAATTTATGGAAAATTGGTGCTATCACAGGTTCGATAGGCACTTACAATTTTTCATTATAATGCTGACTTTATTTTATGTGGAACAACCTGTCATTTCTGTAACAAAAAAGAAGGCAAGGCGATTTGTTGTGGTACTGATCTGTGCTGTAATAACGAAATCTTTTGAGAATGCATGTTGAGCATTGCAGTGATTGATAGTTAGGGTAATAGCAATTCAATGATTCAAAATTTGTAAAAACTGCAAGAATGATACAAGCTTATGGCGATCCGCAATGTTTTATGGTTTTCTGCAGAGAAACCTTGATGGGCATTGCGAAACACTACGAAACTGGTGAGAACCTGCCAGAAGAGGTGTTCTTGAAGCTTGTCGCTGCACGAACATATCGAGCGGGTACCCTTAGTCTACGACAGGTAGTCATAATGTTGTTTGCTTGTCATTTTATTTCTTACTTGTCAACATTTATGGCCAGGTGGCGGTGGTGAATTTATTATGGTTTGTGGTGAATGTAAATTATAATGTGTAGCAATTTAGTGGATCTTTATTTCATTTACATTAATAAGATATACCTACATTTCTGGTGGCTGGTGATTTAAGATGTAGGATAGTTTCTATTTGTAGGGAGTATCAAATTTTTTTTTTTTTTGACAATCTATATGGTGGCAATGTTTTGGCTCACTTGTGCCTTCGTTATGTTTGCAGTTAAAATTTGCAACCACAGATTTGGAATTGCACTTAAATTATGTGCCAGGAGGTTCGGCATCTATCTATGATGTGGACCAGAGAGTCTCAAAGCGTACACAAATCATCCCACCTTTGCCAGAAGATAGATTCCTTTGTGGTTTCAGTCATATTTTTGCAGGCTAGTTTTCTTTTGTGTTTTAGTGTTGAATTTTTCAATTCCAATCGTTCGCTGTAATTAGTTCCCCGGTTCATTTATTAATGTGAAGCTTTTGTTGACTTCAGGTGGATATGCTGCGGGATACTACAGTTACAAGGTAAATTCTCATCTAGTTTTCGTCCTGATTCTTCTCCCTAATGAAAATGTCCTCTTTTTAATTCTAGTTATGACTGCTGAACATGAGTGCCATAAGATTTTGAATATGCCGTGCAAATTATCCACATCCCATCTCCCTGGATTGAGCTTGTTATTCTATATTGCACTTCAACACAAGGAAATCAGACACAAACTATAACCATCTTCCTAAACTCCAAGCAGAGCTGTCAATATTGAGATGACGTTTCTAACTGCCAAATCTTGATTGCAGTGGGCTGAGGTACTATCTGCAGATGCTTTCTCAGCTTTTGAAGATGCTGGATTGGATGACAACAAGGTATTGGTTTTCATTCCTCAGAAAGCTCTACCCATTTCATATCCATGGGTTAGAACTTAGAAGATACCAATAAACAATGAGACGAATGTGGTCATTGTAATTTTCCTACCACAATGAATCGCTAAAAATCATTGGCAACAAGATTTAGTGTGTGCCATCATTAGGCGATGGATGTTATTGTTACCCAGATTTTCCTACCACCACACGTCTACCATGAAAAGCACAGTGATACTAACTTGTGACTGTCTCGTGGGCAACAGGCTGTTGAAGAGACGGGACACAAGTTCCGGGAAACCATTCTCGCGCTTGGTGGTGGCAAAGCGCCGTTAGAGGTCAGATACTGAGAACTTATAACATTGTTGGCCGATCGCAGGGATGCAGTTATGTAAATGTCATTGTTGGGCTGGTTTATACCTACTGTTGGGTTGTTTTGGTGACGCAGGTGTTTGTGGAGTTCCGGGGGCGGGAACCTTCTCCGGAGGCACTACTGCGCCACAATGGCCTGTTGGCAGCAACTGCCTCTGCATGAGGTTTCATATCGAACCGAGTTGGTAGTTGTGTCTATGGAACCGGCGGGGAGTTGGACGAGAGGAAAACAGGCTATTTTTGGGTGCTTGATTCTGATTGATGGACCGTTGGACCTTCCCCCGCAACAGGAGGCTCCCTCTTCCCTGGAAATGCTCATGTTTTTGTTTTGTTATGTTCTCTAGAACACGAGAACCCCGGGCGGGCATGGAATAAGACTAGTTTCATATCGATATTAGTTGAAGATGTTTTCCAGATTTCACTCAGTTTGAAAAGAAAAGATTAAGAATTAATGCAGGTAGTACACACCACAGTTAGTATTGGTCTACTTGGGTTATTTAAAGACGAGTGAATTTGGTGACTGCTTGACAGACTGTACTCCTAATGATTTGGGTTTTACTGGCTATCCATCCGTTTGTGTGGCGCAACGAGCGGGATGGCTATGGCTCGATTGCACGCCAATGAGTGCCAAAAAAAATATTCTTATTGATGATTCTACGTAGCCACTAGATGATAGGCCTTTGCAAGAGAAGGGGTTGGTTCCATTGAAAGTATTTACCTCTTTGATTGTTGAAAAAAAACTTCATCTAAGCACATGAGAAAATCAAAGATTTGCTCGTTTTCTTTGTCTTCTTGTACTCTCTGCTTGACCGTGCAAAGTAGAAAGTCTACATAAGCTGTTAATAAACCACTACTTATGATTGAAGTCAAGTGCCATCATGAGCACTTGGTGAGTATCACGATTTTGAGTTATGTTTGCTTCGGGGGCGAGGAAAAACTAAAGTGCGGGTTTATTTGATGTGACTGAAAATTATTATATTTTGTTACCTATTCTTAGCGACATTTCCACCATTTTGATGCATCTTTAATCATTGTATTAATATTTTGGTTCATATTTTGTACTGACTAGGAGTATTTGTATACTTTTTTATACATTTTTTTTTGTAGGTTTTCATAATTTTCAGGCTAAGTGAGAAAGAAGGACGTATCACGTATGTAAATTTGTATCAGAAGAGTTAAGCCATGGACCAAGAAAAGATGTCAGTTTTCAAACGTTCAAAAGTTAGGGCAGCCCAAAAGAGTTCTCGACAGGTCCATACTTCCTTATCCCATGATCATGAAGTTGGCTTGGAACCTATTTTTGATAATCACAAGTCCACTTACACTTCTCAATAGCATTGTGGATGCAAAAGACTCCAAAATGAGAGTTTTTTTTCCTAAAACTCTCACCCGAGGGCTAAAATATATTATCCCAAAGCCTATAAATACCCCTCTAAGTATTCAAACACACACATACACACTCTTAATGCCACGACCAAAATATCACTTTACCTCTCAAAACTCGTTTAGAAGCTACGTAGGAAGAATGAGGCGGGTCTGACCCTCCCAAAAACAAGTTCTCTTTCTCGTTTCTTATGCTTATGTGTATATCTTTCATCATGATTTTCAAAAACACCTTTGTTGTTTAGATTTGTGGAACCTATAGTAATTTCAGTACTCGTTTCATGATTTGAATACATATCTATTGAGTATTCTTCTTCTATCTCTCATATTTCTTTCTTGATTATAAATTATTTATACAAGTATGATTGAAAAATACTTGTATGATCAATTTATTTGCATATGTATGATTGCAAACTACGACCAAGTGATTGTCAATGTTTGCATGAGTTTGACTGGAGATGACACTTATGCAAATATAAAATAACTGAGTAAGGAAACGGCGTGATTCAAATGCACATAGTTTCTATCGATGATATCTTGTTCTTAGGACTACATGTATGGCAGACAACGAATCACACACATCTAACATGGTTTTGCTTGATTTGAAACGGCTAGCAAAGTAAACTAGAGGAATTGAGATATGACGAGAGTAAATGAAACTCAATTTTGTGTATATTTTGATTGATTTATGCTGAAGACATCTTCACTCTCATGTTGTACCAGATCTCTAACCACTGATCCATCCTACTATCATACTTCCGTGGGAGCCCAAGCAAGTCTTCTCGCAATACTTTAGCTTCCTCGTCAATGATTCTGAGACTCTCTCCACACTATCCCGCCAATTCAAAGTTCTAGTTTGCTTGTTCTGAGGATGGTTTAGTAGCTATTTATCTTCACAAATTCTTATGTAAGTGACATTTCCAACTCTACATCAATTGCGTAGAAAGCTTGTGTCTTATGGTCTTTTACCAAAATCGAGTAAGATATAGAGGAAATGCAACTCATTATCAACATGATCCATCGTTCTAGAAAGCCATTTTCTCCATTACTTTTTTCAGCAAGCTCCACTTCACTCGATCATATGCTTTTGCCATCTCAGCTTGCTGCGAAGTAACTGTTGAATGGTAATTTGCAATCAACCTATCACTAAACATCACACATGGTAGGTCTCTATGCTATCAATTTGGATTAATTATCAACTTCAAATCATAATAAATATGGAGTGTCAAATGCAACATGGAGTGTTCTCTATCTCTGCCGTATAAGCTCATCAAAGGAAGCCAAATAATGTTGAAGAGACAAAGAAGATTAAATGAATGGAAATAAGTTATATGGGCCAATGGTCAATTATTTCCCCCAACACAGCCACATGCATCGGATGGAGAAGAAGTGATAAGAGTGTTCTTTTTTAATTGAGTTCTATCCCTACAATTATTATGTGTTTCATTATTGATTCCCACTTGTATTTGATTTAGTCTTTCTTTATGCATATATATATGTAACCTGCATGGGCATGAAAAATGGTCAGTGAGTGAGACAAAAAGAAAAGAAGTCTCTGCATGTATGTTTTGTAAAAGCAAGAGCCAAAAGTTAAGGCCTTGTTTGGTTAAGTGTATTTCTATACATTGAGTGAATCCTAAATTGAGTGATTAAACACCAATTGTTTCCTTTGTCTTGATCCTATTTTCTACCACAATTCCGCTAATTCCCAACAAATTTGGTATCAGAGCTAATACCCTTTTATCCTCTCAAAAATCCCTACTTTCTAGCCTACACAAATTTTCTCCAAAAGCCATGGCAACAAATTCATCACACACCATGTTTGCTACCTCATCAAATCAAATTCCCATTTTCGATGGAGAATTGTACGAGTACTGGAGTGCCCAAATGGAGCCTATTTTCATCTCTCAAGATCTTTGGGATATCGTCCAAGAAGGCTACGAAGATCCACAAGACGAGGATGAAGATTCCAAGAAACGAGCAGGCAAACAGACAAAGGAGTACAAGGAGAATGCCAAGCAAAATGCCAGCGCCTTGAGAATAATTCAGCAAGCAGTGAGCAAATCGATTTACCCGAGAATCTATGGCATCAAAAAGGCCAAAGAAGCTTGGGATGTCTTGCGTGAACAATTTCAAGGTTCTGAAAAGGCAATCTCTATCAGGCGCCAAAGTTTATGGCGACAGTTCGACAACTTGATGATGAAGGAAACCGACATCATCAAAGACTTCCATTCACGTGTGGCAGAGACAGTCAACCAGATCAAAGCCACCGGTGACGTCATGGAAGAGAGGAAGGTCGTGGAGAGAATTCTCCGGAGTTTATCATCAAAGTTCGGGCATATTGTTGCTGTCATTGAAGAAACCAAAGATTTGGCAAATTTATCAATGAGCGAGTTGATGGGCTCCCTTGTAGCACATGAGCAAAGAATGAGCCGATTCACCAAACTGCCATTGGTGCAAGCTTTCTCGTCAAAAGTCAACATGACGGAAAGTAAATATGTCAAATCGGAGCAAGGCCAGAGAGGGGGAAACTCACAAGGAAGAGGAAGAGGAAGATCCAATTACAGAGGAAACAACAGACAAAATTATCAACAACAAAGATCGGGCTACACCGGCTCGAGTTGCATAATTTGCAAAAAGGCGGGTCATGCAACAAAAGACTGCAGATTAAAGTGCACCAAGTGCAGAATTCAAAACCATTCCCAGAGAGATTGCTGGTTCCAGAACAAGCAAGAAGAAGGCGAGTCAAGCGGCACAAAAAATGAAGAAAGCAATATGGTGGCCTTGTCATGCTTAAATGGTGAGCAAAAATCACAGCTTCCTGGATGGTGGATAGTGGTTGCAGTAACCACATGACTGGAGATCTGGAGTCCTTCACCGACATCGATGACCAATACCGCTCTCAAGTCAAATTGGGAGACGGGAAGAAGCTAAAAGTAGAAGGAAAAGGCACAGTTGTTGTATGCACAGAAGAAGGTAACAAAACTCTCATCCGAGACGTTTTGTATGTTCCGGAGCTAACTCTCAATCTACTTAGCGTGGGACAACTGATGCTGAAAAACTACAAGCTATTGTTTGATAATGGCGTATGCGAGATTATCAACAAAGCAAACAATTTCATGGTGGCCAAAGTCCCGATGACTTCCAACAGAATTTTCTCTTTTGCTATGTCACAAAATGGTGAAGTAACATTCAAGAGTGAAAATCTGGATCAATCCTTCCTATGACATCTCAGATATGGTCATCTCAACTTCAAAGGTCTCAAATTATTGAGGCAGAAAAATATGGTGGTGGGACTTCCCTAGATCAACAGAGAAGACAAAATCTGTGAAGGATGCATATATGGCAAAATGCATCGTTTACCATTTCCAAAGACATCTTGGAGAGCAAAAGCGCCACTGGAGTTGGTACATGCAGACATATGCGGTCCAACTCGAACACAATCACTCAGCGGTAAAAGATACTTTCTACTATTTGTAGATGACTTCACCAGAATGATGTGGGTATTCTTTCTGGAGCAAAAGTCAGAAGCTTTTCCCAAGTTCCTTCAATTCCAAGCAGTAGCTGAGAAGGAAAGAGGCCATCAAATCAGAACTCTTCGTACAGATCGTGGAGGAGAATTTATTTATACTCCGTTCATGGAGTATTGCCGCAACAACGGGATATAAAGGCAGCTGACGGTCCGTTACACACCACAACAAAATGGCGTGGCAGAACGGAAAAATCGCACGATTGTGGAGATGGCGAGAAGTATGCTCAAAGCAAAGAAGCTACCCAACAACTTATGGGCAAAAGCGGTCAATACAACAATTTACATCCTCAATAGATCACCAACCAAAGCAGTTCGGAACAAGACACCGATACATGCGTGGCACCACAGGAGGCCACAGGTGGATCACCTCAAAGTCTTTGGGTGCATAGCTTATGCACATATTTCTACCCCAAACCGAGACAAGTTTGACCAGAAGGGTGAGAAGCTGATTTTCACCGGCTACAGTGATGAATCCAAAGGCTATCGTCTTTACAACCCAGTAAAGAACAAAGTGGTGGTTTCCCGAGATGTGATCTTTGATGAGATGGCGGAGTGGAATTGGGAAAATCCAATTTCTCAATCTCCACCAAGTTATGAAATTCTGGAGGACTCAGCAACTCCAGAAGACCCCAGCAACGACCCAGATCCAGTTGCTAATCCAGAAAGAAATTCTGCACCTAGCCCAGAAGGAGACAATTTCAGAGACGTCGTAACATACTCGGATTCACCTCCGTTGAGAATAAGGTCTTTGCGAGAAATTTATGAAACAAGTCATGTTGCATATTTTTCTTGTGAGCCTCAAGTCTTTGAAGAAGCAGCCAAAGATGAAGTTTGGAATGTGGCGATGGATGCAGAAATTTCCATGATCGAGAAAAACAAGACATGGGAGCTTGTTGATCAACCGGAGGGCAAGCCGGTTATAGTTCTCAAATGGATCTATAAAATCAAATTCAATGAAGATGGTACTATCCAGAAGTACAAAGCTCGACTGGTGGCAAAGGGCTATTCACAACAGCCCGATATTGATTTTCACGAGACATATGCACCAGTAACGAGGATGGAGACCATCAGAACAGTTCTCGCTCTAGCTGCTCAACTGGAGTTACAGTATACCAGCTGGATGTCAAATCAGCATTTCTGAATGGAGAACTGGAAGAAGAAGTCTATGTGGAACAACCACGAAGCTATGAGAAAAAAGAAGAAGAAGACAAAGTCTATCATCTCCGAAAGGCTTTATACGGGCTAAAGCAAGCACCGAGAGCGTGGAACAGCAGAATCGATCGATATTTTCAGCAGAATGGATTTCAAAGAAGTCCGAGTGAAGCATCTCTCTACATCAAAAAGGGAGAAGGAAAAGATTTTCTAATGGTTTGTTTGTATGTTGATGACTTGATTTACACAGGTACAAATCAACATATGATCGAAGAATTCAAAAGTACCATGATGAAAGAATTCGAAATGACGGACTTGGGAGTCATGAAATATTTTCTTGGGATCCAAGTGACGCAGTCACCTGGAGAAATATTTATTTCACAGGAGAAGTACATCGAAGATATGTTGAAAAGATTTCACATGGCAACGTGCAAACCAATCTCAATACCGATGGCGTTAAACGAGAAATTACAACGCAATGATGGAGCTGAAAAAGTCGATGGAAAGCTGTACAGAAGTCTTGTCGGGTCACTCATTTACCTGACACATACCAGGCCGATATATGTCATTCAGTAAGTCTTATATCAAGATTTATGAATGAACCTAGCAAACTTCATTTTGCAGCAGCCAAAAGAATTTTGCGGTATCTTCAAGGTACTAAAAAATTGGGCCTGACATACAAGAAAGAAGCAGAAAGCAAGCTGACTGGATATACCGATAGTGATTGGGCAGGATCACTAGATGATCGAAAAAGCACATCGGGGTACATATTCTGCCTGGGTTCAAAACCCATTTCCTGGAGTTCAAAGAAGCAGAAGACTGTGGCATTATCCTCAGCGGAAGCAGAATATATCGCAGCTACAGATGCAGCATGCGAAGCGGTATGGCTAAAAAGATTAATTTCTGATTTGCAGCAATGTGAAAATGGTCCAACCATTATTCACTGTGACAACATGTCAGCCATAGCCATGACAAAGAATCCAGTATTTCACGCAAGATCGAAGCATATCGAGTTGCGTCATCATTTCATCCGAGACCTCGTCAACGACGGGCAAATTGTGATGGAATTTATCAACACCGACGACCAGCCAGCAGATATCATGACACAGGTGGTAACCCGTGAGAAATTCGATAAGTTCAAGGAGCTACTCCGAATTGCAAATTAAGAGGGGATGTTGAATGGTAATTTGCAATCAACCTATCACTAAACATCACACATGGTAGGTCTCTATGCTATCAATTTGGATTAATTATCAACTTCAAATCATAATAAATATGGAGTGTCAAATGCAACATGGAGTGTTCTCTATCTCTGCCGTATAAGCTCATCAAAGGAAGCCAAATAATGTTGAAGAGACAAAGAAGATTAAATGAATGGAAATAAGTTATATGGGCCAATGGTCAATTATTTCCCCCAACACAGCCACATGCATCGGATGGAGAAGAAGTGATAAGAGTGTTCTTTTTTAATTGAGTTCTATCCCTACAATTATTATGTGTTTCATTATTGATTCCCACTTGTATTTGATTTAGTCTTTCTTTATGCATATATATGTAACCTGCATGGGCATGAAAAATGGTCAGTGAGTGAGACAAAAAGAAAAGAAGTCTCTGCATGTATGTTTTGTAAAAGCAAGAGCCAAAAGTTAAGGCCTTGTTTAGTTAAGTGTATTTCTATACATTGAGTGAATCCTAAATTGAGTGATTAAACACCAATTGTTTCCTTTGTCTTGATCCTATTTTCTACCACAATTCCGCTAATCCCCAACAGTAACCTTCCTTCCCTGTTTTCCTATGTTAAATTGTATGAAAGCAATCGGAAGCAGCAATGGCTTGAAAAAATTTGATCAACCCGATACAAATGCATGCTGAGTTTTAGAGATTATACCTTCAAGAATCAGCTTCAATTTGTTTGTCAGAATCTTCGAGAGAATTTTGTAGAGTACATTACAAAGACTGATTAGGCAATAATCCTTAGGAGACTTTGGATTTCTTGAGATTCGAAATAAGCCAGTGATGGTATAGTTAAGTTCCACTTGTATGCTTCCAGTCTCCAAAAAATGTAAAAGATCATTGGTGACTTCCAGTCGGAGCGTCTCCCAATCATCCTTGAAGAACAACGCTAGAAAGCCATCATTTCCTCAGGTTTTGAGCAAGCCCATCCAACTTAGTGCTCGATCAACTTCTTCCTCAGTGAAAGAACGACTGAGGCGCATTCATTTCTAGAAAAATTTGGGATTTAATAACATCAATAACCTTCGTCCTGTCAGGGTCCTCTTGGCAGCTAAAGAGAGCTTCAAAATACTCTCATAGACAATTACTAATCTCATGTTGTCCTAGGAAAATCTGGTCGTGCTCATTCTGAAGTTTTTTTATGCCATTTTCTGCCTTCATTTTGCCGCTCTACAATGGAAGAGTTTTGTATTCTGATCCCCATCTCCAAGCCAGGTGATTCTTGATCTTTGATGCCGATGTCATTTAGTAGAATCTCCAATTTTGGTCGGGATTCAGAGAAAGAGTTTAGATTTTGAAAATGGAAATATATAAATTTAGTAAATTAATTATTTTCATTTAATATATTTTTTATAATATCCAAAGTGTCCTTGCCACTTATTAAACACTCTTTCTTTTCTAACCACCACCAGATCTGGAAGGTAATTTATCTAGTTGATAGGGCTGGAAGACGATGCGGTTGGTCCAGACCGAACCATACACACGGTCTATGGTCTAGACCGAGAAGTTAGAGTATAAAACATGGACCATACCAAATACTACTCGGTCTTAATCAGACCCTGCATGTCCGGTCTAGTCAGTTACGGTCTGCATTGAACGAAAAATGAACAGTTGTTTAGTAAAAAACACAAAAAATTGAACTAATAAAAGAGGAAAAAATTGTTTTTTCCTTTAAACATTATTTAAATTTCATACGCTTGCATAATTTTGATACCATGAATCGAAGTAAATAACAAATCGAAAGTCAAAGTAGCCAAACTTGCACCATAACATAATAAACATTAGAATAATGTCATATGGAGGCAAGATTTTATCTACTTTGTGGCAAAGTTTGGTTTTTTAATGAAAGAAGGAACATGATTTGCAATATTAGGGTTGAGACTTGGATCTTCTTGAAGATTTGAAAGAGTGGTCGATTAAGCTACTAACATGAATTGGGAAGTGTGTTGGGTCCAAGTTGATTCAATAAACCACGGTCTAGACAAGACCAAACTAAGAGATCAATGCATCTTATAGTAAAGACAAGGACTAGTCCAGACCATTCTTAAAGGTCTATGGTCCTCACCAAACTGTGCGATCATGGTCAATCTACGAATTTTCGAAGTTATGTGTTGATGTTAATTTGTTGGATTTAAGTATAGATGTTTATCTTATTTGTTGGATTTAAGCATAAATGTTTGAATCTTGGCGTTAAATATTGTATTTAAATATGAAGAATTTTTATTCTGTTTGGAATGATGTATTTTATTTATATATGGAGATTGTTTTCAAATATGTTATGATTAGGGATGACAATCAAACCCATGGTCGCGGGTATCCGACCACCTCCGACCCAGTCAACGCGGGGAATCCCCGTTTTGACCGGGTATGGGTAAAACCCGCAAAAAGTTTGATGGGTATGGGGCGAGTATGGTTTTAGCCTCCCCCGTCCCATACCCATCCCCATACCCGCCCCACCAAGATAATTTCTTCATATATATAAAAAAAAAATATGTGCATCAAATTATAATCTATCAATGATGATGAGGATAACTTGAGAAAATAAATAGTAGAAATGCAATTGAGTGACCACCTTAATCAAAATCTAATTCATTTCTCTCAATTCTCATTTCACTCTTTCACTTTCCCCCTTGTCAACAAGATTATGTTAGTTAATTATTATTTAGTAGATGTATCAGAGTTAGAACATAATAATTTGAAAAATATTATACTCTATATTATGTATAAATGGATATTTTAGGATCATAATCTTTGAACCATATTAAAAAAATGACCTTGTTTTGTTGACTTCATGATATAATATGTTCGTATAGAGTTATAATTAGAACTTTTATTGTAAGTTTAGGTATAATAATGTTGGATGTACGGGTATGGGTATTACCCATGGGTATCCGAAACCCACGGGTATGGGGATGGGTTTGCAAAACATTCCCCCACATGAGTATGGGTATTTGAAGATGGGTATGTGGATGGTTTAAGCAAACCCGCCCCATTGCCATCCCTACTTACGATTTTCTATACACATTTTGCTAAAACCTGCATGAATTGAAATAAATTTATTGTATCGCCGGTCGAATTATACTACTTGTCAAACCAATATAATGATAGAAATCGATTTGACAACGTTGGTAAAATGTCAAAACAAAGAAAGAAAATAGTCGACTGAAATCAGGCAACTTGCCAAGCCGAGGCCAACCAACCAGCCGTTGAAAGCCAATACGAGCGAAGCATGCAGGAATCAAACATCAACAGTCTTCCCGTCTCCCGATTTCGCCTACCATTCAGTGCCCGCCCACTTTCTCCCAAAGAACTAGGAGAGACTGAAACTACAAAGGAAAAAGCCAAATTCAAGAATCGGAAATTCCAATTCCCTCGTTCTCATCCTCGTCTCTTTCCTGTCTCTGATCCCCCAACTCATTAGAGATCTCCGGGGCCTCGAAATCAAGGGTGCTCAGTGGGGCCGCGTTGCTATGGCGAGAGCTGGAGGGATCTCCAATGCAGTCAATGTAGGAATCGCTGTCCAAGCCGATTGGGAGAATCGCGAGTTTATTTCTCACATCTCCCTCAACATCCGTCGCCTCTTCGATTTCCTCCTCCAATTCGGTACCTTTTCTACTCTTCTTCCCCTGCCCTCTTCGCTTCTCCTGCTTCACCTTTCTGGGCTGCGTTTAATTTTCCAGTTTCCGGATTCTCTAGAGGCTACGACTAAAACCAAACTGGCGTCGCTGAACGAGAAGCTCGATTCCCTTGAGCGTCGACTGGAGCTGCTGGAGGTCCAAGTCGGTACTGCAACTGCCAATCCTTCCCTTTTCAATACCTGAACTTTTTTTTCAGTCAGAATCTTCGCTACTTCGGCTACTACTTGTAAGCTTATCTCTCTGTTATCTTCTATGTCTGCTGTGGAAGCTTGAATTTGTAATGTTATGCTACATACGTCTACATTTAGCTTGTTCGTTTATGATCTATATGTGCCTTTTTTTTTTGCACTGTAAACTGAATGGAAATGGAGTGTTTGACGATGGGGAACAATTTGATTAGATTATAACTTAACTCAGTTATTGCCGGTTCCTGACTTTGTAACCCCGATTGCCCTTTGTTCTTCAAGCAAAAAGCCCATCAGAAGACGAGAACCGAGTGTTCTGTGACTGTCTTGCATCACGGAGTGCAGGTAGATAATTAGGTTTCTGTCCTGCATCTCATTGTTCTATGAAGATGTGAGCAGAGTTTTTGACTAAGTAACCAACTAATTATGCACCGTCCTTGGTGATTACTTGGCAAGTCCTTCCACTCTTACAACTACCATGCATCTGGTATGGTATCTGGTCTAGGATGAAAATCTTTCTTAGTTTTGATTTTCTCTTACCTTTAATATATTGCAGCCAGCTTATTGACGGTGATTGCTTGCAATCTAATATGCAAGTAATATTTGACGGTGATGTTAAATTAGCCACTTTATCGTGCTTGAGATCACTGTTTAATTATGCTCTTCTTGTCACTTTATTTGGCTGCACGTTCAGTCTCACATCTGAACTCTTCATCCATGTATTTTGAGAACCATTGCTGCACGAATTGATACTTTTGAACTGTGACGTCCTTCGCATCTTGAAACAAAAGACATTTGTCCGTTAAGTTTGCTGTTGAAGTGACTCTAAGCTATGCACAACTCCAGTTAGATTTTTCCACAATTTTACCAGTAATTATTATGTGATCTGGTCCCTTGAGTGACACAGTTAGTTTTACTCATTACTTTAAATACATATGCAAAACAGAACTGCTAAGATATTTTGACTTTCTTGACATGGTCATATCAATATACAATGAAGACCTCCACTGGAAAATATATGTGGTTATCGAGCATGGTCGTTTTATCACTAGAGTGGCAAGCTCTGGTTTTGGACTAGTTTGATGGAATCTTGAAGAGGTTGAAATCATGGATTCAACAAAACATGTCTGACAATAAGTATGAACATATTGAAAATACGTGTTAATTATCGTATTGATTAGCCTAGTGCTTGAGGATCTTATTTTACAGCCTCTTGGTTCATGGCTGATAAAAGTGTCAATTGATCACGTTTAGAAAGTGAAGGCCTTCTCTTTTATGTCATATATTACATTGGTGAACATTTTCATCTTACAAAAAGACTTGAACTTAAATCCTAAATAATTTTGATGTGTGTTTTCCTGTTCCTTTTTGTTTGTTATGTGAGCTCTACAATAAAGAAGTTGGTATCTTGGCGACACAGTAAGGCTTGTGTTCAATGAATTGTGCTGATGGCTTTGACATGATTATCGTTGCTTTCCAGGTTGAGAAGGCTAACTTGCTAATATCGGCAAATTGTTATATTATCATACTATTTTAGATAGGGAAATCCGGATAGAATCTAATTTAAGGTTTCAGTCTTGTTTCAAAAAAGTGGATCTCTCAACTTGAATACAGAGGAGATGAAATTAACAAATAGGAATGGACTATCTGGTACATGATCTCCTATGAAAGAGCATTGGTCATAAAACCTCAATTACCTTTCATAATCTTTCTTATGGCTCAATGAAACTGATATCATACATGCTAAGCAATATATCCGCATCCATTATCTTGGTGCTACCGAAGCCATTGATTGTGGGTTGATTGGTGAAGGTTCTGGTGGGGTAGGAGGTGGTGTTGGTAGAACAGGAGGCTTTATTGAGAAGCGATTTGACCCTCCCAAGCTGTATCCTCCTATGCTGTCTATGGACTTCATATATTCAGATGCATTGTTCTCTATGATCAAAGCATCTTCCAGCTCCCTCACGATATCAGGCATGCATGGACGATAAGCAGAGAAGGTCTCAATGCATGCTAAAGCCACCTCTACCACTCTCCACATTGCTTCTGCATGGTACCCTCCCTTTATACCTGGATCAACAATTTCATCGATCCTCGATTCCCTTACATAAGGTTTAGCCTGCACAGAAATATATGTTCCCCCCTCTTTTCTGTTAGTTTAGACAATTGGCTTAACCAGTAATCACGATCTTGAGATGCGAGTTGTTGGACTTACCCATTCAACCAAGCTCCACTCGTTCCGAGGCCTTTGTATGTTGAGTGGCTCCCGACCACTTATAATCTCTAGTAATACCACTCCGAAGCTAAAGACATCACTTTTTGCTGATAGATGCTGGGTTGAGTAATACCTGATTGAGAGGTATACAAATAGTTTCTGAGCTTTATTTTTAACTCTTCATAGATATTGGAATAAGCTGATTAATTGAAATTGAGCTGATGAATTAATAACATCTTCTAGTGTTTGCTTACTCGGGGTCCAAGTATCCGGCTGTTCCTCTTACTTCAAGAGAAGCACCACTATCACCCTCTTGAGGAGCATACTTTGAGAATCCAAAGTCTGCTACCTTGGCGTTCATGCTATGGTCTAGAAGAATGTTGCTGGACTTTACATCTCGATGTATAATGCAACGTTCAGCAAATGTGTGCAGAAATGTCAAGCCTGAGCAACAGTGGACAATTAAATATGCACTGTCACCTCGTGATCAGGTGGTAAGTCAAAATTATACTCTATTTATTGCTTAATTACTTGCCTCGAGCAGCTCCAAGAGCAACAGAAAGTCTGGTTGGCCAGTCTAGAGTTTTCCTTTTTGCTGCTTCTCCTGTCACACAAGGTGGTTGTTAGAAAAACGTTAGTCAAATGTCCAACACAATCTAGACCATTGATCCTTCTCCTCCCCTATCCCTCGTTCCCTTCTCTTCCTCTTCTCCTTTTCTTTATAAAGAGGCTTGGTGAAAGTTAAACTTACCATAAAGCCGATCTTGCAGAGATCCATTTGACATAAATGGATAGACCAAGATTTGTTGGTCCCTTTCACTACAGTAACCAATCAGAGGGACTAAGTTCTCGTGCCGAATTGCGGAGAAAAGGTTTAGCTGTGTCATGCAATGGTGTTAGTTTATTTGTGCTGTTTATAACATTAATCACATATCTCCATCTGATGAACAGCTAGAGCAGATGATAGGAGTATGTTCCTGTACCTCGTTCTGGAATTCCTTTGTTCCTTGAGTTGAGGTAGAGGATCGTACCTTCACTGCTACATCCGTACCATCAAATAGTGTGCCACGATAAACAGACCCAAAACCTCCTTCACCTATGAGAGTCTTGTACTTTTGGGTTGCATTCTCTATCTGATTTAGAGTGAACATTTGAATATTAATGGTCCTCAAGGGGTCCTCATCGGTCGTGGCTATGGAGAATACTGCACCTGCAGGGCCACATGTAATACTTGGGATCTCATTTCTTCTAGTAATAACCATTGTTTGATTTGGTAATCAATATGTTTCCTGAAAATTAGCTCTTGCAGTATTTGGGAAACCATGATTGAAGGGTGGGTTACTCATAGGTTGCCGTGATGAATAAGTTCCAACATCTGAAGGCATATGGATGTTATCACGTAGATATGCACGTGTCTTTAGTTTTTTTTTCCCCTCTCTAATTACGGTAACATCTGAAAGAAAAGCTTTCAAGATGGTCGTCGTGTGTGTTCTTTGTTTCAACTTCTTAATACTAGGAGGAAGATGGTTGATATGCTTACCCTTTGACATTATGAGTTGTTTTCCATTAATACATCCCCAAGTTCTGAGTTTTTGTCTGCAGAGCAAGAGGCAAGCAGCTACAACCGCCACTGCCAATATGAAAGATCCACATGCAATAGCAATGACAATACGGTTGTGTTTTTGTGCAGATCCTGGCCTGGCACATTCCCCTGAGCTGAAAAATTTAAATGAAACATGCGAGATTTTCTTTAATCAAATACCTGATGCTAAGTTAAAATAGAGTACTGACTAGAACAGACGAAAGATTTCATACTCTGTTCTGAGTCTTGAGTGATTAAAGGTGGAAGGATCTGCACTGACATGAACATTGCATCCAAAATATCTGGTAAGCATGGAATGGGTAATGGATGAGCTTCCAACAAGTTAACGATTTTTAGATATGCGCTCCTTTTAATGAAAGGAAAGGGCTAACAGTTGATAACATGAACTTACAGGGTTGTCAAATGTGGCAGTGTAATTAAAGTATCTGGAAGACTCCCCGAAAGGTCATTGTAGCTTAGATCCCTGGTGATCATGGATCAATCAGATGATATGGTTGCAAGAATTTAGCTTTTGTTTGACTACAGCTTCCATCTTGACAGCATTTTTTTGTAGTTGCAGTCTTCAATATGTTTATCTCTCTGAACAAATTTTGAAATTGGCTCTCTGTAGACTTACTTACTTAGTAACATAACTTGGAGTAGGAACTTACACTGCTGTCAACGTAGAGGACCTTGCGAACTCTGGAATCTTGCCTGTAAACCCATTGTTGCTAAGGTTCCTGAATACCATAGTAACAGAGGAATGGTTAGAGGCACCGATAAACATGTGGTATTATCCAGAGTTGATATGAAAATCTTACAATTCCTTCAGGTAGGTTAGTTGGGAAATCATGGTGGGAATTTGTCCTTGAAGTTGACTTGAGGAGATATCCCTGATGTTGCACATGGTACGTTTAGTACAAGCTGCTCAAAAGATCTAAATGACAGAAGCAACAACTGCGCAGAAGTTTGTGCAGTCTTTGCTTACTGTGGCAAGACATGGTCTCTGCAATGTAGCAAGTTGAAACTTACAGCTTAGTGATGATAGTAGAACCATTACTGTAGTGGCAGGCAAGACCATCCCAAGACGAAGGCTGACATGGATCTCCTGACCAGCCCTCCAATTTCTTGCTCCCTTTGTTTTGCTGCAGCAGCCCATCTTTCACTCTATCCATCACTCTCACTGCAAGGTAGAAAACGTAAATTACTATTGTGGGAAGGTAAACAATCAACAATAGTATACAATTGGCAGAATGAAATATGGTTCAGCTTGATTTCGTTTGGAGGCTGAGATTAGAACTTTAGTAGAAAGGGTCTACAATGCCAATATCCGCATGTCCAGTTTGCATTTGATAGCAACTTTGAATGTGGAACCACTAAGTCACCTTAAGATGTACGTATCAATAGAAAGAGTGAGTCAAATTTGAATTATAGTAGCTATTGAACATACATACCATCTCTATGGTGAGTTCCTTCGACCCATTGACGAACCTGCATGATCTCATATGCATTTAGGATAGGTCCAAACTTGGATTTGTTCTCGACCCTGGCTAAGGTCAAGTTCAGAGACCCATTTGCTGTAACGTTCAGAGCAAGTTCACTGTAGTTTGACCCATTTTCCTTTATGTCAAAGTTTGCTTGCTGCTTTTCGTTGTTGATGTAGATGTCAAACACTCTTTGGCCAGGTCTAACATTGTCATCTAGCTCAAAAAAGTGGAGAAAGATAGTATAGTTGCAATCCCTAGTTTCAAGATCAATGTACAAGAACTGGAAACTGTATTCATTTGTTATTGCAGTTTCGAGAACTTTGAGAGGCACTTTTGCGACAGTCTTGGAGATGGTATTGTTGATTGTGGTTATGGCAGACAAACTGACTCTTTCTGTATCTTGACTCGTCCAAATTCTGTCATGTGGATCATCTGGGAACCTGTGCCACATTACATGGAGAATGCAAGTTGAATAGTGTTGTATCTTTGTATATATGTATAGACTATAGAGCAGGAACGGAAAGCTGCTAGCAATAGAGTGGAAAAGTTTCCTGTTCTCTTTGTGGAAGGGGGCAAAATGGTTTGAATGCTTAGTATTGTTTGGTTGTATAGGTAAGCAGTGAATCTTGTACACGACTGGTAGTCTGCATAATGGAACTTGCTGAGTCATTGTAGGTGATTTGTGATGCATGCTATGCAATTTTCAATTCTCCAGTTGGATCTCTCTAAATTTTCCTGGCTGTATTAGCATAGGCTTTCAAAAATATGGAGCAGTTTGCAGTCATTGGAGATTCATGAAAGATTATGGTAAGGAAAGTAAAGATCTGATTCTGGAGTCACTGATGGGAAAAATTGCAGACATTGAGAAACGGCAAGGCTGCAATTGCTGCTCTGGAGCTAATGAAACGTTGGCTACGGTTCTATTTACCAATTTTAGGTTGGAACATAAAAATACATTTTGTACTTGTGGCAGATTGCAGGCATCCTAATTGGTGCCTGCATCCTATTTTAACTCTTAAACCTCAATATTTGATGGAATAGTTTCAGAAAAGGATGTTTGTCAGTAGCTTTATCTCTTCAATCAAATGTGCTTAGTTGTTCTGAGTGGGGGGGAAAAAGAAGTGCTCAGAAAGTACCTGATTGGAATCCCATTGTTTCCCAAATCCACTCTGTCCACCAATTTCAGGAGGACAGTAGAATCTTTTCCATCCAGGTAACTTGAATCATCAGACAGTGGCCTCAGTTCAAGCTGTGAAATGTAAGGATCTCCTGTTTCTTGCACCAAACAGAAATCTATGTACTGATCAGTAGCTCTGAAGATGCCTTCAACCTGTGATTCTCCTGAAGAGTCCACCAAATCTATTGGTGTTACACCAACCAAGACATCAAAGGTTGAAGACACCGACCCTACCACTGAGTTGCTGAAAGGGAATGTGCCCCTTATCAAGTAGTCACGGTCCGGAGTTGTTGGCAAGCTATAACATCTCTTCTCAGAGTTACCAAGGTAGAAATATCTAACTTTATCATGGCCTGTTGTATAGTTATCGGATGATGCTCTGGCTATGTTCTGGCAACCTGTTTCATCTGGATACCATTGATCATCTGATATCCAAGTTATCGAGGAGCTATCGGTCTGCCCTTCTCCACCACAGCATTTAATGCTTATGAAACCTGCAGGTCACAAGATTCTCATGTTTTAGTAAATTCTGCTTTCATTGCCTGAAGGCTGAAGCATTATGGCAAGTGGCAACAAAGAGGGGAGCAACTACACAGAAGAATGTGCATCAACTTTGAATTTGGTCAGGGGAGTCCGACATCTCAAGAGTAATGAAAATGAAAATTCCGGTGTTTAGTTCCTTGATCCATATCATGTCGATGAATATCTTGCATTGGTTTATCTGAATTCAGCTAGGGTTAATGAGTTCGACACTTGCATACACCAAGTTCTCAGAATCTATGAAAGTAACAATTACAATTCTGCAGTTACTTCCTGAAATGGATGATTCTTTCAATGCCAAAGTGGCAGTCAAAGAGTTTTCAGGGTCTTGAATATCTGGATTAGATCAATACTCATGAAATGAACCTGATCCAGTATCTTGACACTTTGCAACAAGATCTCTTCTGGAGGATCTTGTCAATGTCAACTGATAAATACAGTATCAATGCTAAAACAGACTTGCCTTGGTGTGTGCAATTGAGATGGTTACCTTCTTGATGTGCAGGAATTGATTGAACAAGTAAGATGAGCAGGCAAAGAATGAAAGAATCAACACTTGTCAACCTCCAATTATGCCTTCCTCCCATCCCAATCATCTTCTCATCTTACAACGAGCTCGCCCCATCCGGTCATCAGATGATGAAGAAACCTGCTTCCCAGTTCATCAAACCCTTGCTCTGACTCCAAACAGTCCTCAATGCTGCAAATATTTTTTCCCCTGAGATTGATGAAAGCTGAACCAAAATTGAGATACTCCCAAAGCAAAAACCAAGGGATACCCTAGCTGGTTAAGCAGCAGGACATGGAGGTTTAAGGGAAGGCCAAAAAAGGTCTGTTCAGAAGGAGCTAATCACAGAGGGCAACAGATGACAAAAAGGAATATCAAAGAAAATGGGGGAAGTTTTCCTTTTCTTGGTGAGGCAGGCGATGATCAAAACAACAGGGTTTGACTTGAAAGCTAGAGGTTGGAATGGGGAAGAAGGTGATTATTAGGGTGGGTCTGGGACTGAATCAGAATAAGTCCAAAGTTTAAAATAATGATTTCCAAGTTAAAGTTTAATTGATTGTTGTTGTGGAGTGGCGTCATAAGAACATTGGTATTTTCTGTTTTGGTGTGGAATTAGGGTACATAATCAATTGAACAAAGGTTTTAATCTATTTGAGGGATAACCTCCCTTCGATTTTCGTCCCTCTTCTTGTCTTCTAGCAGCTGGGATGGAACATCACACATCGCTGACAAACTGCAACTCTGGAGTTCCGACTGCAATTTTCCAAGTCGTGAAAGTTGAAAGTTGAGAGGATTTAGTCAAGAGAACTGGCGAGTTCATTACCTTGTCACCCACGCAATGACTTCCAGGTAGCTCAACTCCCGGATTCTGCTCGAACCTTAGTTTGGTCCCATGTGAAGCATATGCATTTTGCTTTCAGTCTATAGTTTGCACTAGCTATGAATGAGCATTCGTCTCACCAACACTCATCCTCCCCGCTTATACCCCACATTTATCCCCGGATCAAATTGCTTTCTAAACAAAGTCACGTTGTCAAACCGGCTTATACCGTTGCGTTAGTTTAGCAAGTGGTATGGTTTGATCGGTGTTACAATTTGTTGCTGGTTTATGTAGGTTTAATAAAATATGAAAAATCATTAACATCAAATGAATTTAAGCAGATGTATAATATATTTGGGGACAATTTGTTTACAATCTATATTCATATCTAAATACAAGACAACGCAGACCAAAGATTGCACATTGCAGTTTAAGCGTGCTTGCTTTATGCACCGGCAGTCCGACACAACAGAATTCGAATCCGCTGGCTCAGATGAGAGGCTCTTGGCTCACTTCTTGAGCTTGAGAGAGAAGGTTCAAACAAAATCGCAAATGCTGGTATTTAAATATAACATTTAACGTCAAAACACAAACTTTAATACTTGAATCCAAGAAATAACATCATCAACTAACTTTAAAAGTGATGAAATAAATCAAATATTTTATTAATTAAATTAGCTAAAATGACATAATTTCTTTTATAGGCCGAAAATCAATTATGTCGGTCAACTGGTGATATTCACGCTGCTTAACCATCTATTATTGGTTTGGTTACCGGTTAGTTTGACGGTTAACCAATAATCACTAACATATGTTCCAATCCTAACATCTTGTAAAAAAATTAACTAGAATTCTATAAGATTAACATAAAAATACTAGTTATAAGAAATAATATCCATCATGAATTCATATACCAAATCCAAATTCCAACATATAAAATTTAAAATAATCAAACGTCTTCATTAATTAGTGAATACCAACTACAAAGTCATAAAAAACAAGAACCACAAGATCATCATGATTCACAAACATCAAAGAAATAAAGGCACTGAAAGCACACTTGAAACAAAGATTGAAGACTTTGTCAAAACCATCAAGGCACAAAAAGCTCAAGTTTGCAAGTGGTGCCAAAGTCCAAGTTAGATGTTGGAGGAAAATGCACCCCAAGAACAAGTTGACTTAATCTCCAATGCTAGGGGAGGTAATAATATCCCTATAGCAACACCTAGAATCCGTGGTGGCATCAACACACCAACTTCTCTTGGGCATCTTTCTCGAACCGATGACCTCCCAGTTTCCAAGAAAACGAGAGGATATCATATCAACAACAAGCAAGGCATCCATTTCAACCAAGGCCTGCTTACCAACCACAAAACTTCCAACCTTAACCTCTTCAACAACTAGACGAGCAAGGTTTTCATCAACTACAACTACATTAATCAGACAAGCTTGAAAACCTTGTTAACACCTTTGTGACTACAAGCACGTAGAAGTTTGATACAGTTGAGAAGTTTATGGACGTCTCAACAACAAAAAACTTCATATATTGAGATGGGGTTGAGAAGCCACCAAGCATATCTTCAAAATTTGGAGACACAAATAGAGAACCTTGTCGAGATCCCCACCGAAAGACCCCAAGGGGTATTACCGGCTCAGACGATTGTCGACCCCAAGAATCTAAGGTCGAAATTGCATGCCATTTCCCCTCGAAGCGGCAAGGTGACTCAAGATGTTATCCCAAAGAAGATAGTTGAGGTGGAGATCCCTCCACCACCGAGAATGACAAGGATGTCGAGGCTAGGAAGGCAGTGCCTATGCCACCACCCGTGAATGAGCACAAGCCCCTACATCCTTTTCCTACACGGATGTACAAAGACCGACTTGAAGTTGAGTTTGCCAATTTCATGGATGTTCTCAAAAAGTTGAACCTGACCGTACCCTTCTTGGATACTTTAGCTCAAATGCCAAAGTATGCCAAGTTCATGAAGGAGATACCGAAGAAGATGATGAAGCTTACTGATGTTGGCATGGTGGAGTTTGGCGGCAAATGTTCCGCCATCCTTCAAAACAAGCTTACTCATAAACAACAAGATCTTGGTAGTTTCACTATATTTTTCCAAATAGGATAATTGCATGTAGAAAAGTCTTTGACGGACGTAGGGGCAAGCATAAATGTCATACCATATAAGGTTTATCTGAAGCTAGGCCTAGGTGAATTAAGAAGTACCAAAATCAATGTGCATCTTATTGATAGATTGGTAGTTCTACCTAGGGGGATAGTTGAGGACCTTCTAGTCCATCACGCACCTTGAAGGTCTACATGACTCAACTTGAGGGAGCCAGTAATGGAGAAAAAAGAGGAGGGGGATTTGAGGAACTTGGTTTCTCAAAATTAGATCGTTCGGATCTCCTCTATCACCAGCAGTGGAAGGCTATCACTTGACAAGGAGCAAGAGTGGACAACTCCCACCAGGAGCCGAGGTGTTTGAGACAGACAACAAGTTGGAGATTAGGAAGATACACCAGAGGCCCCCCTGTACCATTTCTTCCAGTTTCTCGACGGTAGCTCTATTGCCAAGAAGGTACAATGATGGATATACATGACAGTGGACCCCCAAGGAGAGATAGACAATGAATACTTCGACTAGTATTAAGGATGGGGAGTAGTAATGAAACAAAGATTTGATTATGTGGGTCTCCTATCACGATTCAACATTAGATGAGAGAGCAACGACGTGCTCACGAGTGAGTTCCTTTCCTCTATGAAAGTAGCACCGGCGAGGGACTCAAACCAGAAATGCATTTCATAGCAGCTGGCGCGATGACACTTCAACGACTGCTACGACAGCTTTGCCTTGAAGCTAGGGATCCCACCCTATCATGTGAGAGGATCTCTCTCTGGCGCTATCTTTAGACCCAATTGGTAGCTCATAGCACATCCAATAGTCTTACGAGAGCTACGGTTGACAATCACAATGAAGTAGGAGGCTGAGTTTGCTATTGGCTACTCACCACCAACCCACATTCGGTCGCCATTCCTTAGGTTTGCGCACTAATTTGGCCGAACCAACTTTCACATGAGGCAGAGAGGAGATTTTGCTGAACCAACAAGTGACATGATCCTGTTTCATATTGCTGAACAACTGGTGGCTTCATCCAACATGGTTGGTGGTTGAGAACTTGTTGAGGTACACATCCTTTACTTCTACACGAGAACTATTAGGGAGGGGCTATATTCTAACTATATCCCAACACATAGACGAGCATAGAGAGGAGTACGAATTCGATTTGTGGGATACCCTAGCAAGGGATTGATCGATGCATAGGTAGCCAGCATACACCTTTGGAGTAGAGAAGGTGACGAGCAAAGGAGTAGACCTCGCCAGTAATGTTTGCCCACGCTACTCTGGATGGACGGCGGCAGGGAGATCGATAATGCACCTAGAAAGGATACAAAAGCATGGATATGGAGTTGGCAAAGCACCATCACCATCTCAGCATGGAGACTATGGAGTCTAGCTTGCATAGTTGAAAGCAGCCATGGAGAGGTAGGAGAGTACTTGACTACCTACCAGACCTTGAACGAGCAACACTGTGATGCTTTGGAGTGTGAGAGAATGATGGAGTTTGAGGAGACTCGAGCTTGGCACCAGAGATAGAATGCAGCCATTCAAATCCATAACTTCCTTCATTTCCCTTGCCTCACTTTTTACTTAAAATGCCACTCTTCAAAAATTGCATTTGGCCCTACACTGGATGGTCGTTCGACGAACTACCCTTGATTAATTGTTTTTCATAGAAGCCTAGCATTCGATGGTCTTATCTATGATGATGTGATCCGACCATTCTCATCTTCTCAAACTCTCTTGGCCAGCTTCCTCTGAAGCGGTAGCAGCAGAAGTGCTTAGTGATCGATTTGGAGATTGTTGGTGAAAATGACCATATAGTTCTCAAATTGAAGCTATGTTCCCTCTTATCTCTCCTTCTTGCCCTTTTAAGTGTAATTCCTTCAAACTATATGGGGATGAATTGATTGCAATGTTGGAATGAGCTCTCTTTCTATTATTATCTCGAATTTAATTAGAAAGGTAAACGAATGGAATAAGCTTACTCCATCACCTATCAATTGTCTAGACTGGGTGCTAGCCTAGGAGAGGAAAAGAATGTGATTCACCTCCAAATATCAATCTCCAATCGATGACCGAGACTAAGTGTTGTGGGACAATCCAAGTACCACATCGGAAATACAAGGGAAGGAACCCTTGTATATTAGTGTCCATCTAGCCCAATTAGTACGAGGCCTTTTGGGGAGGACACCCAAGAGTAAAACCGTGCGGGCTTGGCCCAAAGCGGACAATATCGTACTAATTGAGCGGTCCGATTTGTGACAATTGGTATCAGAGCCTGGTTCGGTCTAGGGCGGTGGACATAAGTTTGGTGGGACCCTCATTCGGTGACCTCGAGATTTGAGATATGCATTTGTGTGGCGGGTCAAAGGTGACTAGCGTCCGCGTCTGTTTGGTGGATTCAGGAGAGATCCACGTTTGGGCTTAGCAGATCAAAGAGAGTTCTGCGTCTGGTAAAGTCCTTGTACCGAGAAGCCCATCGATACAAGGCGTCTGGCGGATCAAGATAATCGCTGAGGTGAGGACACGAAGTTCGTGGTCCTTGTCTTGAGGGGAGGATTGTTGTGGGACAATCCAAGTACCACATCGGAAATACAAGGGAAGGGTAGGAACCCTTGTATATTAGTGTCCATCTAGCCCAATTAGTACGAGACCTTTTGGGGAGGACACCCAAGAGTAAAACCGTGCGGGCTTGGCCAAATCGGACAATATCGTACTAATTGAACGGTCCGATTTGTGACATTGAGGAAAGGCTTGGCCCTTCGATTCTCCGACACACTTCACATGAATATCGATCCAATTCGTCATGAACTAGATGAACAATGGATCTTTGAAGTTTGAACTGAGCTCCATCTCCCGCTATCCATCTCCAATACCATCTAGGCCAATCGTGAGGGAATTGACAAAGAGCACAAAGTGGTGGTCATTTCATACTTCGCTTTGGTTCGGACAATATTGGTCTACATAAACATTTGACAACTCTGTTACTCTACAGACGCATCCCTAAAACTTGGCAAATACCGTTTATTCTCGCCTTATTAAGGCAAACACAACAACATCACTATTTGTTATTTTCTTGAAAGTTCCTTACCCCCTGCAACAACTACTGATTAATGATTACAAACAATTCCCCATGTCAACAATTCTGTTCAACTCCAAGCAACTATATGAACACAATCAAAATAGGAAAAACAAAATCTCATAGAACGGAAAAACATTAGAGAGAGAATACAGTCATATATCTCCATCCTTCATGGCTCTTAGTTACGACCTCTGATTCTTGGAGAAGAATCGCAGAACAACATAGAACAAGACCCTGTAAAGAGCAGCCCAACCCAACATTGCCGCAATCCTCTTCCACTTCTCTGATTCTTCCCCGCTGATATTCAGAGAATGCAGGATCCCGAACCCGGTAATCGGCCCTTCTTTCGTGCTCCCGAACACCTCATCCGTCTGATACTGATTCATCAGCAGCCCTTCGTACGGATACGTAATCGTGGAGATCGTGTTCATCCACTTCCAGTACGGCGGAACATCGGCGCTGCTCAAGAAATACCCACAGAACAGGAAGAAGAGAGCCGTGAACGCAATCACCGAAGCGTAACCCAGGATGTAATTCGGCACCACGGAGCTCACGAACACGACAAAGGAATTGGTAGAGAGCAGAGAGACGTAGAGGACCAGCAAGAAGTAGTAAAACGGCCCGCGGAGCTTGAGGGCGTTCCAGACAATGGCGGCGTAGACGGCCGATTGCAGCAGCAGGAAAGGGAGGTAAGTGATTACCCCAGCGATCGTGTAGGATGACGCTCTGTAGGCGTTGTGAGAAGTCTCCCTGACGAAGATGAACCGCTCCTGAATGAAGGCCGGCACGGCGTCGTTCGACGAGAAGAAGAAGAGGCAGACGGTGAAGATGAAGAAGCTGAGGCGGTTGGTTATCCCTTGGAGGTCGGCTTTGGGATTCATGAACATGGTCGCCATCATGAATCCCATCACGGTGAGGACCATCAGCCTGGAGAGGAAGAGCTCGGGAGTGCGGCGGATGTTCTTGAAGTTGCGTCTGATCAGAATCCATGTCTCCAAGAAGAACGAATTTGCGAATTTCGGGCCGTGAGGAGACAGGTAGGAAGCAGCGCCGGGAGTTAAGTAATCGTTCTCGTTTACGGTGTAATCGCTGCTGTGAGGGGTCGGGGTGCTGGCCAGGATCTCGCTCGAGTACGCATAGTATCCCGGGGAAGAAATGCTGAGGCAAAATAACACAGAGGAATTTCATCAAACAGTTGGTGGGCAAGAATCAGTACGACCCTCAGAAATGTTCTGATATTCGTCTTACCTCATTGTGTTGTGTGCTTTTGTTTCTTTCCTCTGACGGGAAGGAGTGAACCTGAGAGTCTGCATGATTCCAGTAGGCGTACCGCTCCAGGAAGGGCTCCTAATACTGCGATCAAAATCATCATCGCCGCCACCTTGCTCGATCCCCGCCGCCTTCAAATGAAGCCGCTGCTTCCCAGAAGCAGCGCTCTGTTTCGCAGCCGCCTTGTTGGCGAGGCGGGATGGAAGTGGGGTTCGCGCCACCGTCGATAACAGATCGCCTCCTCCAGCCAGCGGCGGTGGTTTCATCCCAGTTCTAGTGAACTCAGCCAGAACCTGAACTCCTAAATCAGATTGGTCATACTCCTGAATCACATCGATCAAGTACTCAATCGAGCTCTCCCCTTTGGGCACTTTCCTCCCCATTCTCCCCAAATGGCGAGGCACGTCGGTCGGCGCTCCCTGATACATGAGCTGCCCTCGAGCAAGGATGATGAGATGATCCAGCAGTTGGATGATCCTCGATGAAGGCTGGTGGATTGTCAGGATCACGGTGCTGCCCGATTCCGCTATGCCGCGGACCTTCTCGATCACATTGTTGGCGCTCGTTGAATCCAGCCCTGAAGTGGGTTCGTCGAGGAACAACAGAGACGGGCCATGGATGATGTCAACACCAATGGAAACCCGCCGCCGCTCTCCTCCAGAGACACCTCTGGTTCCTTCATCTCCAATGTAAGTGTTCCTGGTAGACTGCAACCAAATACAAATACAATGGTTGAAGCACAATTCGAAGCCGGAAGAGAAAGAGCTAGAATTGAGCTGTTGGGGGTGTACTTACGGACAAGCCAAGCTGGTCGATCAGCTTCTCGACCCGATCTTTCTTCTCGAAGATGGGGATCGCGCCCAGCCGGAAATCGGCAGCGAAGAGCAGTGTCTCGTAGACAGTGAGCATGGGGAAGAGACGATCATCTTGCATAACGTAAGCCGATGTTCTCTTGATCAATCCAGGGCTCGTCTCTTTACCGTCCAACGAGACTTTGCCTTTCAAGCTCCCACTGGCAATCCTACCAGCCAACCCATCAAGCAGAGTGGATTTCCCAGCTCCACTAGGCCCCATAACAGCAGTAATGCAGCCCTTTGGTGCATACCCTGTGATTCTGTTGAGGAGATCGATTTCCTTGCTGACCCATTTCCCTTCCACTTTCTTCTTCGAGGTGACAGAGTATGTGAGGTCAGTGAACTCAAGCCCGCCAGTGAAACCCGCTGGCTTGCCTATGCTGATCACAGTCTCGTGAGCATTGTGTGCCATCCTGATGGAACAACCCCCCCAAAGAAGCTCTAGCGATAAGAGCCGGAATGTGAGTGCAGGTAGAGAAGTTGGAGAAGTGACAGACTTAATACCGATGAACAGCTAAGGTGAGAAAATGATGGGAGGAAAGCCCGAAGTCGAAAAGGTTGCTGTCGTTGCATTGAGCAATCCGTTAGGTTTGGATCGGGAGGAAGAAGGCAGAAGTTGCTCTCTCGTACTCATCGCCAAGTGGTTTTTGCCGCCTGGCATCAGAATCTTCGGTCAACCCAAGAGTCTTGGTTCTTGGACAGATGCGAACAGCAATCTATGCTGAGGATTTGGCTTTTTGCTAAGCTACGGTTCGAAGAAAACTAATGCGAGCACTTTTCCACCTCATTTTCCGTTTAACTTGCTGGCTGGTTGTCAAGTGAGCAACTACTAGCTTATGCCTTGCAGTCATTCTTGGATGGCCCAAGAGTATCGGTCCGGCTAATCAATGAGTATTCATCTTTTTCCTTTATTTTGTTCGTGTTTAACGAGTGGTCAAAACCTCCTGTAAACCTCGAGCTAGTTAAGGCCAAACAAGGATCAAGGATTATATTAACCTGTGGTTATCTGCAAATAACCACCATTGCTAGTTCCAAAACTCATTGTCTTTTTTTTTTTTTTTATAGAAAGCCCTTGTTGAAATTTTCAATTAAACTCCAAAGTTTTGGGCCTTTTCAGCCGCTAACAGGCTCCTAATGGAGCAGGGTGGACTTTCAGTCCAGATACAAAGCTGGTTCCAATAAGGAGCAGAATGGGCCAACAGATGGGCAACCGAATTTGAGACTCTCGGCACATAAGCCCACTCAATTCTTCTGCCAGATATCCTCGCATTCACCTCGGCCAACTCACTGATCTCTTTGCACCACATACCCAGCTCAGTCCGATCTTCTTCTTCCTTATCCATCATCTTCATCAAGTTTAGACAGTCAGATTCCACCATTAAGGGGCTCCAGCCTCTTCGATTCGCCTCCCTCAACCCAGCAATGATTGCCTTCGCCTCCGCCTCAATTGGTCTGCAACTCCCATCTTCTTTACCAGCAACCGCTCCCATGAAATCCCCCTCCCAATTCCTAAAGACACATCCGACTCCGATTCCAGAAGGCTTCAGGAGCCCAGCGTCACTGTTCATCTCGTAGATCCCTTCCGCCGGTCTCCTCCAACCTCGGACATCAGCTACCTGTCTTTCTCTCTGAGCTGTGAGACCTTGAGCTTGAATGTAGTCCGCTATCCAGTCGAGGGCTTTTGGTATGATCTCCTCTTCTTCCAATTTCTTATTGTTAAACATGTGATTGCATCTTTCCTTCCAAATGAACCAAAGCATGGCACAAAATTTTTGTAGGCTATCCTCTTACTGCGATTCAAATACCTTAAGAAACCAGTCACTCCCTGAAAGTCCTTCTCCTTGGTTAAAAATACCAGTCTGATCACGGGATTGCCAGAGTCTTCTAGTCCATTCACAGTCTCTCAAGCAGTGGAGCTGAGTTTCGGGCAACCCACAGAAAGGGCAGTCCGATGATGCATCTTCAATGCGCTTCTCTATGTTTGCTCCGACAGGTAAGATGTCCCTACTGATCTTCCATAGAAAAACTTTGACTTTCGGTTGAACTGGGAGGTTCCAGATCTTCTTCCAGTAGGATTTCATTCTCTTCGCATCTGGGTTATTGCTTTCCAACCAAGGATTCTTCTTCTTTCTCATCTCCCTGTAGGCCGATTTAACAGTGTAGGTTCCATTTTCCTTCCCTGGCCAAAAAAAAAAAACTCATTGTCTTTAGGCTTATATGCAAGTAACTAATCGAGTCTATCTACAATAGATGGCTAGTTGTTTTTTTTTTCCTTTTACCATGTGTCACTCACTAAGGGATGGCAATGGGTCGGGTCGGGTCGGGAGCGGATAGTGCATATATGTTACCCTATCTAAAGTAGTTCGGGTTTTACCCATACTCATACCCACGTAAGAAATGGGTAGAGAATCTAAATCATGCCCATACCCTTTCGGGTATCCACGGTTATCCATTGATAATAATTTATCTACATAACTCCATCCAATATGTTAACATTCACACGTATTCCCACATTATGTAAGAGGAAAACTATCACAATAATTCAACATAATGAAGAAAATTAATTAAAACAACACAATTTGATAAAAATATTATATTTATATGCTAAATATAAAATATCTTAGAGAAAAATAATGCTTATTTCTAGACAAAATACATATGCATGTGTATGTGTATAATCGGGCGTCTTTGGGTTGGATAGTGAGAAACCCATGCCCGCCCATTACCAGAAATATTCGGGTTCGGGTTTTACCCGTACCCACTAAAAGTCTTTCGGGTTCGCATTTTACCATATCCGATTAGTTCGAAGTCGGGCGAATATCTAAGGTTACGATTATTTTTGTCATCCCTATATTACCCTACCCGATTAGGTCAGATTCGAGCAGATATCCACGGTTACGAATATTTTTGTCATCCCTACTCACTATTAGTGCACTTGTCAATCATGTGGCATCTTCATGAATGTGTTCGTACAAGTACAATGTGATATGTGGCACCAGTTGTGTTACATCACTAAACTACTTCAACGATTTCCGACAGCGAGCATCATTGATTTCTAGCTATTTTTATAACGTCTCGTCGACTTGAGTTACAGGGAGTATCGTTGAGTTGGGTTAGTCCAATCTTCAAGTAGTGTGAACTATATAAAATTCATTTAGTTTGATGTAGTTATGTTATGTGCGAGCAATTGTGAGATACAATTTAGCTATGTTGAGCTTAACTAAACCGCAATAAATCCAGTCTAACTAGGGCTGTCGGGTTAAGCCGAAACCATGACTGCGCCTTCCGCCAACCGATCGCCCTGCAGGCGCGGCTAACCGTCGACCGACCGACCGGTTTTTGGTTTTGGCTCGATTTAACTGTGAAACCGCAAAAAGGAGGTCGGTTTGCTTGCTGCGGCCGCCGGCGGGGGAGGGACGAGGCGATCTTCTTCGCGAAGCCGGCAGACGAAGGCGGAGGGAGACGGCGGGAGACAGCGGGCGGCGCGGCAGGAGACGGAGACGGCTGCGCTGCGTCTGCGTGTCGCGACTCGCGACTGTTGGAGGCGGAGGGAGACGGCGGGGTGCTGGAGGAGGGGCGGCGAGGGTGGCCGATGCACTGGTGAAGGGCGGCGACGGCGAGGGACGAGGGTGGTGACTGGCGGCTCTGCGCGTCACGCGAGAAATGGGGAGGCAGAGGCAGGGGTTGGCGGCTGGGAAGTGGGAAGGAGGAAGGAAGGTCGGCGAATTAGGGTTGGAGAGGGGTCGTTTTGAGTGGGTTGGAGCGGGGTCGTTTTGGCTTTTGGGCGCGGTTACGGGGTCGTTTTGAGTCAAGAGGAAGAGAGTTGGTTAGCTGGTTAACCGGCGGTTACCGACAACAGTTAATTGGCTAGCCTAACCTCTCCCCCGGCAACCGACTGACGACAATAAAGGGCGGTTTTCGGTTAGCCGAAAATCGGTCGGTTTAATAGTAACCGACCAGTTAACTGCTAACTGAAAACCGTTCTGCCCGCCCTAAGTCTAACTAATCAAAGTTCCTCTAGTCCTTCCTAGATTTAACTACTATAAGCTCTCTAGAACTTACAATGTATTATCAAATAACTAAAGTTCTCCTACCAAAAAAAAAGACAACTAAAGTTCCAGCAAAAGCTTCAATGATCTTCCATGGGCTCAATACAACTACTAACTCATGTAAGGATAAATGTAAGATTCTAGTAAATTTTATCTTCTGCACAAATTGAAGTTCTTCAGGACACAAGCTCTGAAACTTCTCATCATAACTATTAATTAGTGTACTTTACCGATTATGATTAATTACATGAAAAGTTTGCAAATTATACGATTGCAGTAACTCAATAATCTAAAAGAATACAAAATTAATTCAGCACTTCGACAAATTTCTTTAACTTTTATATTACATACGAGATAGGAAGAAATTGTTTAAAAATCATTAAATAACGTGTAAATTATAACGAGTAAAAAAATGAGTAGCACAATGTGTTGATTCGAACAACTCACAATCTGATCCACTCACAACCAGTCCGACCCGTAACCCGATGAACACGCAGCCTGACTAACTCATAATCGGCCTTGCCTGTAACACAATGAACTCAAAATTCGACTAACTCGTAACTCGATTGAGCCCATCCCGACCGGGCCAAACGTGCCAGATTGACACCTCTCATTAACACAATTAGAATTATTAAACCACAAGTTTAAAAAAAATTACCAAAAATCGGAATTAAGGTGCTTTAAGAAAAAATCGGAATTTACTGTTCACGGAGGGGTAATCTAATCAGCTGCGGGAGGTTTTAGGTAAGTTTGGGTTCACTGCATTAGGCTGAGAAAGCATAGTCGTTGATTGATTTTAAATTTCTTTGCATTAATGGGTTTATGTACGAACTACCACACCAGATCATAGCAGCCTCTTTTTTCGTGCAGCCCCACCATTCTCTGTCATTCATCCTTTTTTGTTTGTCCCCATTCCACTTTCCTTTCCATTTGTCTTCAAATGGCAATTGAAAACTGAATGGCTAAATCTCGCCCTAATTTATTTTATCGCCCTAACTTAAAACCGCAAAATTACTTAAATAACCTTAAAGAACTAAATACAAAATTAACAAAAACAAACAACCCTATGGGCACTATCTCCTTCATTGCATCAATACACCTCCTCGCTAATCCCTCTGGTGGTGGTGGCTGGCATTATAAAGCTTTTGAGCTTAGACTTTTCCGATTCACCGTTCATCACCTGAGCAACGGAAAAATGAATTAGTCAACAAAATTGAAAAACGAATCCAAATTGATGAGATACTTGAAATCTGCAGGGGGTATAATTTAATTCCGAAACCTACCCAACAGACAATCGAAGCGGCGTGGTTCTAGTGGAAAGCGAAGTGGCTCAGGATGCATTTCTCGAGTTCCTCCACCAGCTTCCCGAACAACGATTTCTCCTCGCCGCCGTCGTTTCTGGAAAAGTAATCATAGATTTTATCCTCGCATCCCTCGATTTTCCTCAGGTAATCGTACGCCAGCTTGCGTAGTTGTCGTCCCTCGCTCGGATTTGAGAACCCTACCTCTCCACCTTCCTGCCGCCACTCCCCGACGCTGCCGCCGCCTCGTCCAGCCTCCCCCGCGACGGCGACGACGACAGCAACAACAGAGCAGATCTCCCGACCATAGCCCTAGTACCCAATTGAATTGAAAATGAGATGCAGGAAGGGAATGCAAAAGCGGAACGAGGGCACGCGTCTCCTTTTATTTCTCTCTGGTTCTCTTCTTTGCTTTGCTTCCGTCGGGATAAACCATTGTTTGAAGAAGATAAGCCGTGGGAGTTGAAATTGCCCTCCTTCCCGGAACGGGAAATGGTGGGGTAATATTTCCAACGGTCAACTATTTTTTATGCGTTGTTTGTTAAAAGTAAACTATTTTTTAATAACAAAAAAGGATGAAAATGTAATTTTTATTTGTATGTTAGGGCGATTAAAGTAAAACACAGGGCGATAATTAGCAATCTCCATTGAAAAACTCCATTCATGAAAGAAAAAAAATCCATTTGTGCCAGAGGGTAGTGATAATTAGTTTGAATCAATTAGGTGTACCAATTATGTATTTTATGGGTAGTCTCAATGTTGTAAATTTCATTTTTAATCAATATATATCAACAACGTAATTCATACTTGCATTACTGTAAGGAATAGTAAAAAAACGTCACTTATGATTGTTTATTGGTGAATTTTTTATTTTGGGGAGTGTGTCATTGTAGAATAGAGGAAGAACTTGAATGTCAATTTGTTAATGTACCTTAGGGGTCGTTTGGATGAGTCTTTCTTATGAGGCAATTTGGCCCAATTGCTTCGAAATGAGACAATTGAAGCAAATTGCTCCGTTTGGCAACACAAAAGCAAAACGAGACATTATGGACTGGAGCAATTACAATTCTTTCATTTTGGGTCAATCTCAAATACCTGGGTAGGGGGAAGACAATTGAAAAAGACGCGTTCTTGCCCTCTCTTTCCAATTGTGACCTTTACTTTTTCGCCTTCCTCTCTCTTCTCGGGACAAACTTTCCTCTTCTCTTTCCTGTCTCTCTCGCCGACTATCTGCAGCGGCGAACTATTCTTCTTTCTTCCCTTGACTCTCTTTTCATCGTCAGATTCCTTCTTCTTCTTCTACCTTCTTTCGACACTAATCCATTGTTCCTCCTAGGTCGTGACGACTCTACCTTCTCCCAATTTCTCATCAATTTTTTTTAATTTCTCCGCTTGATTGGCTTGCATGTAAGTAGCGATGTTCAGATTTGCTCCCGAAGACCAAGATTTTCCCCATAAATCCATGTCTCTCCTGAGTAGTGGCGAGTCTGGGTTCAATCAAGCTTCGGTTCAGATTTTGGATGCTCTGTTGAAAAGTGTTTTTGTTTGATTCAGGGAAAAATCTGACTCCTTGATTGGGGTTGTTTTTCGTTGCTATGTTTTTCAATGGGCGGTCCGTTTGCAATCGGGTCGGCGACCAGCAAGAGGGAGCGATCACTAGGATGGGTATCTCGGGTGAGGGGAGGTGTTTTTTTTTCTGTGATGATTGCTTTGGAGCGAGAGAAAGAGTTAGAAGAGTTATATGATGGGGGGAATGAGAGCAGTACTGGCTGCTCTTAGTGAAGAAGCGAGGGAGGAAGGGGAAGGAGTCTATGGTGAATGGTGACAAAGTGATTTTGGTGGGCTAGGCTACCACTGTAGTGTGTAGTCTCTGGTTCTTTGCCCTCATACGAAAAGAGGAAGATGGAGAAGGAGGTTATGAAAATGAGGGCATAAGGGTATTTTCCATAAATGTTTCACTCCAATTGCCTTATCCTAAATAACAAGCCAAACAGGACAATTTGAGACAAATAACTCATACAATTGGCTCATTTCACAAAATGAGACATTTACCCCAAATTGACTCATTTTGAAAATGTTCCATCCAAACTTTACATTTTTCTCCGTGGTTTTTCATTTTCACATTATAGAATATTTACATACAAATACATTGTGTAAAGTTTATAATTAACTATCATGTTCACCATCTTATCAATTTGCATTACGCAAAAATCCTATGAGATACATAAACGTTTTATTATAGTTTAATTAACTGTTATATACTTTCCATAACTTGATTTTATTATTAGACCAGACACTATGAAAGATTTATATAACGCCATTTTATAAATATTGTGTAAATTTATACATTACACAAAACTTATAGAGGGATAATTATTTCTTATGTATCGATTACCAAAATTGTACAATATAACTCTTAATGAGTAAGAAAAATGAAAAATTTATGGAGGAATAAAATTTTATATGGAATAAAGTTTCATATGTAGCAATTAAACAAACATAACACGCAAGTCTTTCATGATATAAGTTCTAACCAAATGTAAGATATGTAACTAGATTTTATTATTAGACCACACGTTACGGAAGATGATGTAAGACGTTCTATAATAGTTATTAAAATACACTATGTAAAACTTATGAAGGTTGAAGGAACAATTATTTCCTATGTATCAATCAAACAAACGTGTTATATAAGCATTCTGTAATAATTAAGGCACTACGTAAAGCTTATAGAAGTGTCTTACTTGAACTATTTTATGAATAATTTTATTTCAATTAAATCATTAAATTAGTGAATCAAATTTTATTAAAAAAATAATTAATTGATTACCGCGGCAATGCGCAGGCAAAAAAAACTAGTAAGATATGGAGAAAGGATGAGAGAAAACGAAGAAACAGAAAGGGTAAAACAGGAAAGGGGACAAAGGAAAGAAAGAAAGAAAGTGGATGAGGTCTGGTATTGGACAGAGTTTTGTCGGGATTGTGATTGGTGGGTGCCGCTCAACAGCTTCATGCTTTTGGTACGCCATTGACGTACAAGCAAATCATTCATAACTGAAAGTACGTACTACCAAAGCTTTCGTGTTTTCAGAAGCGAAAACCTTGTGTGTAGCGTAGTTAGTAGATTAGTACTACTCTTTTTTCTTTTCTACACATTAAATAACACCCCACTTATTCTCAAAGAACGCCATAGCTGGACTCCGAGACTCTCCAATAGTCAGAAAGGGTCATCCTCTTGCGTGGACTTCCTCACCGGAGGGAGAGTTTTCCCGGCGACCTCTGGGCTCCTCTCTTGGATGATCTGATAGAGATTGCCCCAAACCGCTGCTTAATATCCGGTATGTAATGAACCGTAATTCTATTTCAACGGTTTATCTGCAGGAACATACTTGGGAGTTTGAGCGATCATTTTGCTCTGTTTGATTTTGCAAACTGAATTGCGAGGGGAAACAGTAGAGAGGTTGGAACTCTTGTGCATTTCTCAGATTTCTGGTATCAATTATGAATGATCTGATCCGAGTTTGTATCAACCTTCCTTCCCTCACTTCAGTTTCAATTGGGTTTCTATTTGATGTCCTTTTGATGGGTTTTCTGCCCTCGGATCTTCGTTGTTAGGCGAGTATCAAGAATGGAGGTGAAACAAGAGGCGGAATGGGTTGAAGCACAGAAGATTTTCACCAGCGTTGACCTGTTGGCTGCAGCCAAACAGCAGCTTCGTTTCCTTGATGCCGTTGATAAGAATCGCTGGCTCTATGAAGAACCAGCTCTCGGGAAGGCCATCTACAGGTCACAATGGGTTTTCTTATATTTGTCCCCAAAATTTACGACTTTAAGGTGTTCGACGTGTTGTCTCTGAGAACGGCCCATATCTGTGTGTCCCTTTGACTGGGAAGTTCGGTTTTAGTTAGTCCTGCCGTCGCTTAAATGGGTGCTTAAATGGGTGTTCAATTTTGTTTGCTTAATCTTAGAATTTTTGAGTTTCAGGTATAATGCTTGCTGGCTTCCTTTGCTAGCCAAACATTCTGAATCACCTCTTTTTGAGGGGCTACTTGCTGTCCCGCTTGATTGTGAGTGGATTTGGCATTGCCACAGGCTCAATCCCGTATGTTTCGAACTTCCAGCTCAATGAAATCATTCTTATGTACATATGATTCACTACCATGAAACTATGTTTCTTGTGTGGAGACGGTATACCATGTGTTTAACTTAGACTTCTTGATCAGGTGCGGTATAATTCGGACTGTCTGGATCTATATGGATCAAATTTGGACAACTCCCATGTTGTGTCTTCCATTGAAGGTACCTGCACAAGACAAACTGAGGAAGTTTGGAGCAGGATGTACCCAGATGAGCCTTTCCACTTCGATGTCAGCAGAGCTTTGTCACCACTTGGTAACAGTGACCAATCTGTCACAGTTGTTGAGAAATGCACCAAATATGATTTGGTAGCCGCAGTTAAACGCCAGATTCCTTTCACCTATCAGGTAAGGAGTGGGAAGGAAGTGAATGAGTGAATAAAGCCTGAATAAATTAGTCAAAAGAATCAACTGATTAGCTGTTGTTAGACTTAATCTGGTTAAGGAAACTTAGCTGAATCAGGAGATAAGAAACCATGCTGAGATTCCGAGCTACTGTCTACTTTTTGATGTAGGTGTCCAGGCCTCATATGAGCCATCATGTTTTCCTTGAAGAAGCCGTGGCCAGATACAAAGGGTTTCTTCACCTGATCAAGAGAAACAGGGAAAGGTCCATAAAAGCATTTTGCGTTCCAACTTATGACATTGATCTTATCTGGCACACACACCAGTTGCATCCTGTTTCTTACTGTAAAGATTTGGGTGCATTGCTTGGCAAAATACTGGAGCATGATGACACGGATTCTGACAGAACCAAAGGAAATAAATTAGATGTTGGATTTTCCGGAACTACCAAACAATGGGAAAATACATTTGGCACAAGGTATTGGAAGGCAGGTGGAATGTACAGAGGTGCTGCCCCGTCTCCTGTTACTTCCAGTCATTTCACATCAAATCTTTCGAGCAAAGGAACAGCGCAGCTTAAGGATTATCCGGGGACAATTCATCTCCCACAGAAGAAGACTGTAGAGGTGCTTTAAGTCTAACAACTAGAATCTTCAGCTTCCATTTCTGTTAGTAGATATAGTTCTTATTTTTACTGCTCATTACATTATTTAAGACTCAGAACTTTTTGCTGATTTAACAAAATGATTTGGTTTCCTATTTTCGTAACTAATGCTGCTTGGGTAATTACAAGAACTTCTCTGATAACTTTTATGCTCGTTCACATTCTTCAGGTTATGTTGGAGATTGTGGGGTCTAAAAACTTGCCAGAAGGGCTGAACGGAAAGCTCCATGTCCTGTTTAGCAAAAAACAGCCAGATCAATTCTCAATGTCAAGCGAAAACTGACAATTCTCTCTGAAACCGGGGTGAAACAGGTTGCTTCTTTCGAATGTGAAGCTGAGGGAGATCTGTTACTTGAACTTGTTTCACATTCATCCTCCCAACTGCCATTATCCAAAGAATTCAAGACAGTGGGTTCTGCTTTACTTTCTCTGCAAAATCTTTTGAATCCAATAACCAAACTTGCAGAAGAGAAATGGGTGGAATTGCTGCCTGTTTCTGGAAAATCGAGCCCATGCCCCCTCTGCCTGCGAATTGCTATATCTTACACTGTCCCAACTCAAGCACCTTTTGTATTAGACATGACTCATCCTAGGCTACTGCTAAAAGGATTGTGTTTCTTCCCTCTACCTGGAAGGGTTAATCATTCTAAAAGCTGGACGGATATCACCAGTGAAACTAGTGGTGAAAGGATGAGCTTGCAGATGAGGTAAATACTGTTTGTGATTCTTTGATTTCAATGCATAAAGTAGAATCGTATGTTTCTACTTCCTACTGTGAAACTTCTCTTTTATTTACACGAGACATTCTAATTACTGACCGTGTTACATTTGTTGGATATGAGAATTTTGTGTCTCATATACACCTTCTATTGGCATGTTTAGCTGCCTTTGCTATCCTGTGGCCATTGATTGTGAAGTATTGGTCCATATTACAGGGACTCTAAGAAGTCGAAGGAAAATGACAAAGGGACTCCAATGAAGCAGGTAATTGGGCTCATGGAATCAGGCGAAAGCCGCACACTTGCAGAATTTTCAGATTCCCACTGGTCTTTGATGGATTCTCAGTGGCGCCTTGGTCTTCAAAGGAAGTCCAATGATGATGGTCATCTCGCAGATCTTATTGGCTGCAGGACGGTAATTATCAAAGCTTCTAACTTGGATTTATGAAGTCTACATATTCTTCAAAATGCATCTTTTTGCCTTCAGTTTGTCCTCACGCTTTCACAAAAGGTGAAGAGTCTTAACTGCTGTGTTCCTGGCACAGGTGAGGATTTTCCAAGGAAGAAAGCTAGATTATGAGCCCAAAATCTGTGAGAAATGGAACAGTGAACAGGACTTCATGACTCTGGTTGAATTTTCTGCTGAACATCCATATGGCAAAGCTGTGGGATTGATGGATTTGAAGTCAGGGATCATCAAGGTAGATATATAGCATTCTTATTGCCGCTTATTACCTAGGGCCTGCATCTCTTGCGTCTTTTAACTTATAACGAATTAGCAGGTAACTGAAGAATGGCTGGTGCTGCCTGCAATTGTATCAGCATTCATACTCTTTAAAATTCTTGAGAAGAAGCAATATGAGAGTTTTACTCTGAACTCGGTAAGCTTAAAGGAGATGAACGGGGTACTGAAAGCAACCCCATTGTCGCATAAAGAGAATGAAGTGAAGGGTGGCGGGGGTTGTGGCAGTGGCTGCGGCAGTGGATGCGGAAACATGGTGAAGAGTGGTGGCGGTTGTGGCAGTGGGTGCGGCAGTGGATGTGGAAACATGGTGAAGGGTGGTGGTGGCTGTGGGAGTGGATGCGGCAGTGGATGTGGAAGCGGATGCGGGAACATGGCGAAGAGCGGTGGCTGTGGCAGCGGATGTGGAGGCGGGTGTGGGGGCAGTGGATGTGGAAGCATGTTTAAGAGCAGCAGCGGGTGTGGAACTGGCTGCGGTGGTTGTGGAGTGATGTCCAGAGACTCCATTGTTAACACCTCCGGTGAAGATGGCGCCAGAGAGTTGACAGTGTATGCAAGTTAAGGGATCGGGGTTTTTGTGCTTTTGATGTATAGAATGTGCGTGGGCGTAAAGAATAAGCTTTGTTTTAGCAAATAATGTGCTATATGAACTTTCATCTCCAGATCAGATGAGGCCTGGGGGTGGTTCGATTGGCTGGGATTCTGGTGCTTCAAGTCACTTGTGTATAAGTTGCGCTTCTTTCCCTTCCAAGTGTACGAGTTTATGTTGTTTGTGAGTGTGGTTGCAGCTAAATACGGGTTCACCGAAGCTTACACATATGCATCACATGATGTAGCTGCACTTTTGTTTTCAGTTCTTATCCGTCCATGTCCTGCAACTAGCTTCAGCGTTCCATTTTACAGATTAGATGAGGAAACACGAACACCGAACATCAACTTCATAATTGTACGATCCAATTACGGATAGGGCATAAGATGGTTAGAAACTTAGAATGAGAAGTCTCTATTTCTACTTGTTTAAAGATTAACTAATATCAACAAATCATACCTACTGACATAGGGATCATCATGACCATCATCACCTCTCACTGCTTCCACATTCTCACCAGACTCCATGGGTGATCCAGACTGCACTGCTCGGGAAGATGCTCGATTGTTAGCTGATAGAAACAAAGTTTCTATCGGGTTTGATATTTGGAGATTAGGGTTTATACGAACAAAATTAGGGATTTGAGAAGAAGAAGATAGGGAATCGAGAAAGAAGAACAGAATCGGCCTAGGCCTCAGAGGGATTTAGAATGAGAATTGAGAGGATAGAGATTAGGGTTTGGAAGCTTTTCTTTAATATTCTTCTTATTGATTGAATAGATGAATAACAACGTACATATATAGGAAAAGAACCATAAAACCCTAACAATTAACCTAATACGACTAAAAGACTAATTACTCTAATATAATAATAATTATAGAAACCGAACGGAAGTTGGTTTCTATCATCCCCTTCCCCTTGAGACCAATCTTGCCCTCAAGGTTGACCAACTCGACCCACTTTTCCCTTTCTTCTCGCACAATCCGCGGTTGACTCCTCCATTTGTTACGCTTCCTTTTCTTCCAATTGTGCTCCACCACTCGAATGATCCCAAATCCAGCGACTACGACTTCAATGGCCTCTTCCCAATCCGTGTGGGTCAAGTTGCAACCATTGCCAAATATCCCTCCATCATCATTTTCAAACTCCACAAAATAAGAATCATAGAGTTTTTCTTCTTTGAGCCCATCCTCTAAGCTCATGAATTCCTCTTCTATTTCTTCCAAGCCCACACCACCTAAGAGAGACTCAATTAAACAGCCCGATGGAAGCCCAAGTTCTCCTTGCAACCCTGGCCCATCTCGCCTAGCACCCCACATCAGTCTCTCATTACCTGTTGCTAGCATGCTTCCAATTCCATTAACCCCATGCGAGACACATTCCAGCCCAACCCACAACTTGCTATGATAATCAAATTGGGCCCCCAACAAGCTCAGCGAAGCCTGCCTCACAAACCAGCCAGCTCTTCCCGCATCCAAAAAATGGCCTACTCTGTTGATCCTTAGCATGCTCGGGCCCAGTCGCTTGGCCCAAGGAAAAGGTATGCTGCTGTTGCACTCTGCTGCTTCTAGGGTTTGTGAGAAGAAAGCTCCTGCCTGCCGCCTCCGTCGTCGAGTGCTCCCCCGCGTCGACGTCCACGGCTTCCTTCTCCGCCTCGGTCGACGCTGTCCAGCCACGCGGCGCGTCCTCGAGCGCCACCACCGGCGCAGCCGGCGCAGCCGCCCCGCACCCTGCCGCCAGCACCAATCTCCGCCGACAGTTCGAGCGCCGCCCCTCTCGTGCGCCGCGTCGTGCCCGACGGCTCGGCAACCACCGCGGGCGGATCGGCCGCCTCTTCCGCCGCTGCTGCTGTCCACCCGTGGTCCTGCGCCTCTCACTTGAGTTCAGAGAGCGTGAACTCGATCAACTGTCTCGTCCGAGCCCATGCTGGATCAGTGAGTTTCAAAGGACTCATGTTGGCTCTGATACCAAATGATAGAAACAAAGTTTCTATCGGGTTTGATATTTGGAGATTAGGGTTTATACTAACAGAATTAGGGATTTGAGAAGAAGAAGATAGGGAATCGAGAAAGAAGAACAAAATCGGCCTAGGCCTCAGAGGGATTTAGAATGAGAATTGAGAGGATAGAGATTAGGGTTTGGAAGCTTTTCTTTAATATTCTTCTTATTGATTGAATAGATGAATAACAACGTACATATAGAGGAAAAGAACCATAAAAACCCTAACAATTAACCTAATACGACTAAAAGACTAATTACTCTAATATAATAATAATTATAGAAACCGAACGGAAGTTGGTTTCTATCATTAGCTCATTCTTCCCCAATACTGGCCATGCAACATCTAGGGATGTCAATCCAACCCGTAACCATGGGTACCCTACCCGACCGTAACCGGTCAACGAGGGTAATTACCCGCTTTGACGGGCTAAGGGGCGGGTACGGGTAATACCCGGTTTCAAAATAAAGGGTAGGGTACGGGTATGGTAATCGATAATACCCGCCCCGTTATACCCGCCCCGCTAACCAAAGGGTCAATTTCCCTTGAGAAAATTATTTTTGCTTAAGAAATTGAGTTTAGCTACCATTATTGATGATGAAGATGTAGACGATTATTATGTTTGTGTGGATTGTAGAAGAAAGAACAATTGTTATGTATTTGCTGTTTTTATTTGTGTGGATTGTTGAAGCTAGAACAGTTACAAGTATTGAGAATTTTTAATGGACAACAGTATGTATGTGCATATATGTGTATAAGTTCATAGTTTAGGATTCGTACCCATGGTTACCCGAATACCCGTGGTTACCCGGTGGGTAGGGTATGGTTATATAATTTTCATACCCGGTGGTTATTTGGTCGGGTATTTTAGAAAGCTCTACCCGGCGGGTTAGGAGTTGGTATAGGGTAAACCCGCACCCGACATTACCCATTGCCATCCCTAGCAACATCGTCATACTTGACAAATAGATAAGTGCAGGATAAGCACCATACCTTGGCCATGGTATCTCATAAGACTCAACAGAATGTACATGTGAAACATGATCATCATAGTCATTCGAATAACCACTAGTACTTGAACCTCCACGGTCTCTAGAACCACCATATCCACCATATTCTCCTGAACTATCATAGCCTCCATGCCCGCTATCATCTCCTCCGTATTCTCCTTAATAACCACATCATTTATAGCCTCTGAACTACCAATAACATAATCATACCCGCCTCTTATATAACTACCGTGGTGGTGAAAAAGTTGCACCATCATGATAGTTATAACTCCTCCATGCTCAACCATCTCATCAAACTCAACATACACCTTAGACATCCCGAGTTTATTTTCAAACTGCAAAATCATACAAATTCTATCATTGTCATACATGACCAATTCTTCGTATATTGGACCATACTCTCTACTCTCTAGTATTTGGCAACCGGTAAGTCATTTTTCATTTTCTCCGATGACCCCTATGTAACATAATTTCTCATAATTTGTGAGAGATCTTGCCACGCTATTTGTGTAGACACAAAATCTCACATGTGTAAACCCTATCATGAAGCCTATTGGGGGGAAGTGACCACACATAAATTGCTTTAGATAGAAACGATTTATCCTACATCACTTCATGCAGCCACGATTAACATTAATTGTTTGTTATTGCCTCTATTTTCTTTCTTTAGTCAATATCATTCAAAGCAATTAATATTGTCCAATTTATATTAAACACTACTTTCTTCGGTGATCTGCTTGCTAAATTATTGAAAACTGCAATGATCCAACCCAAACTTATGTATATTGGGACTTGTTAAAAGTTTTGTATTGTGGAAAATCTTTTTAACAACGACTGTATTTTAGAAAAATCCCATTAGTGGGAAGGCAAATTTTAGGAAGAAAATTGTGATTGTATTCCTTATTTTGTGGGTGGCCTATTACTTCTCAGAGGAATGTTGAACACAAACACAAGTCATACTTTTATAGTTAAGAAGGTTATTTTTTATTTGATTTATCTTCTACTCAGTATTGATCTGAACACTCATTGTCTATATGTTACTCTCTAGAGAGATGTGTTTGGTGGGAAGATAATGAGTGGCTATTCAGGCTCTTTTTGGCTTGGATAGCCAAAAAAAGTTGGCATTGGGATTGGACGTGCTTATGTGAGGTCTCTATGGCCTAGATTATCGTGTGATAAATGAGCAAGAGATAGACACCTCTAGTGTAATTACATAGTTGTGTTGGGTGATCCTATTGGGCTTGTCAAGTTAGGTGTTGGGTGCCTCTCCTAATTGGGTGTTCACGAATAACACACTTTTCTGTATAACATGTTAAGAGATCTCCATGGGTGTTCTAGGTTTCATATCTCGTGGTCAAATGTTGTGAGTGGAGTACTCAATGTGAGAGTGTTCTTCAATACCATAACACAAAATAATACTCGGAATTGATCCCTAAGTGTGCCACATATGTTGGGCTGAGGTATGTCTCCAGCCTCTAGGGTGTTATATTTGTGTTTGTTTATACTTTCTCCCAACCTTTATTATGTGCAATGGTTGAGAGATGACTAAACATAACATTCAACCTTTAAGTGCGATTGTGAGAATTAAACCCCTCTTTAGCCTTTAGCAAATGAAACGTTTGTTGTAGATTTACATTAACAAATAACAATAGGAATAAAACAGTTTGGTAACAGTTAAACATGTTAAATAGACTATAATATCCAAATCGTTAACTTTCCGTCAGAGTCCTGCATAATATCATCCTAGACATATTTAAGATTTACTTTTTGGGACATACTACAATCATCATAGATGCAAACATGGAAGCCTATTGCTTTAGGGAGTTTGTCTCGTCATTGTGCCTTTGTCAACGTCGAGCCACACGACAGTCTTATACACTTCGACGAGGCAAAGATTGAGGGGAGTAGATCGAATGTGTTGCTGAGTGCTTTTGTGGTTCCCCAGTTGTTGGCAATCAACTATAGTGTTCAGTTTTTACCCTTTTCTACGCCTGTAATATGAACTATAATGTGTTGCACCCAATTTTCGGTTACACTTGGACGAGTTATACGATTTAGTTTATGATTTAACTGAAAAACCGTGATCGAATTCTCACCCCTATTGTTTTATGTAGAGCTATCAACAAGTAGGAATTCAGGCAACTTCAAAAATTTTAACCTAAAAAGTCAAACAAATATTGTTTGTAATCTCAAATTCAGTCAACCAAACAATCACCAACAATGGGTAAAAAGTTTTGACCAACCATCGTTAGTGACAGGTTCAATATCTTATCAAACAGTGACTAGCGATAGTGAGTGCTCAGTGAGTGATCGGAGGCGACAATGGTGGATACTTGAGGGTTTGTTTGGGAGAGAGAGTTTGAAAACGGGAATTTTTTTTTTGTGAAGTGTTAGAAATAGGTATATCCATATATAAATGAAGAGTTTTGTTTTAGTTGTTAAAAATAAAATGACGAGTTTCACCAATTTTTTTTAATAAAACGACGAGTAAGTCATATTTAGAGTATGCCTCTAAAATATTAGTTTCTGATGATTGGGATGACAAATTGGATCCTCCTCGTTGGATTTACTTGACCGATCTCACGATGGGACGAATTTTACCCGACATGTTTCTTAACAGTGCAGATCATGGGGGACAGGTTACAGTGATTAATACAAAAGTAGTAATCACCGTGGTTACTAAGGGTAAATTGGGTATGGAAAAAAAATTATATTAATTAATTTTTTAATAAATTACATTTTAGATAGCTACAAAAATCTATTAATTAAAATTCTCTCTTTCTCTCACTTCCGTAATCTCCAGCCAGATTTCCTTTCTTTATTTTTCTCAATCTTTCTACAAAAAAAATCACGAAATTAGTACCAATCCATTAGACAAACACTACCACTTTGAAAAACATCAATACCATTGCAGAAATAAATCTATACCATTACACGAAAACTATCATTGCATAAATAAATCTATATCATTACACGAAAACTACCAATATAAACAATCTATACCATAAACAATCAATACCATTGCAGAAATAAATCTATATCATTACACGAAAACTACCAATATAACCAATCTATACCATAAACAATCAATACCATTGCAGAAATAAATTCATACCATTACACGAAAACTACCAATATAAACAATCTATACCATTGCATATAGTAACCAATACCACTGCACATTGAATCAATAAACAAAAAATTACTAGATCTAGGTTTTTATGTCTATTATGGTTGTATATGGTTGCTACTGTCCGCCAAAATCATATCTTTGGTATGTATGTTGTAATGGTAGAGAGAAAGAAAGAGAGCAGAGAGAGCAGAGAGAGAGAGAGAGAGAGAGAGAGAGAGAGAGAGAGTACTGGCACAGCGGGGAGGGAGGCCACTGCAGTGGCCGAGGGTGGTCGGGGTTGCTGCCAGCGGTGCGACGGGAGTGGTACGTGGAGGCGGCAGCGACGGGTTTGGTTGGAGGGAGGATAGAACTAGGGTTTGGGTAGATTATATAGAATAATCAGGTGTGATCACTTTTTAATTTCCAAAATTACCCTAAAAGAATCTTGACCGTAAGATTAAAAAAGAAGGGAAAATAATTAATCAAATGGTATATAAAGAGGTTGTCATCGTGATTACTAAAAAATAAGTAATCACCCTAACCCATTCCGGCAGATATGCCTCGGCCTATGAGAAGAATAAGGTGGATATTGATAGTATTGATAGACGAAACACTATTTAGATAGATAAAATTGAACACGAATTTGGTGATACCCGTCTTCTTTCTTTCAGACTAGTTGTCATCACTAGTGATGACTGACAAACCTTGTCAGCATATCTGGCCCGTATTATATAGTAGGGATGGCAATTTACCCACCCATGGGTAATTTTGCCCAAACCCAAGTAGACCCATTTATTATGGGTAAGGTTTGGGTGATGTGTATCTGAGTTTGGGGTTTGTATATGAATTTGGGTTAGATATGGATATTATCTAAATGGGTATGGGTTGGATATGGATATCCATTTACTTGAGGGTGTTTTAACTACACATACAAAGATTGAACCTATTTGTAAAAACTTGAAAAGTTTAGGCACCAAAATGTGAGACAAAAAAATTTTAGGTACTAAAATGTAATTTTTCATCGATATTTTGAGGACTTATATGCAAAAAAAATTAAATTTAGGTACTAAATATGCATAACTATTAAGGTTGGATAGTAAAATACACATGGGTATGGGTAATATTGATGAAAGTCCTCAAACCCAAATCCATATGTTAAAAACCCAAATCCATATGTTAAAATACACTTGGTACCTAGCCCAAGTAAATGGGTATGAGTACAAACTCATCAAACTCTACTCATCTAATATCTATTTGAATTCTATACCCAACCCAATTGGGTTGGATAGTAAAATACACATGAGTATGAGTATGAGTAATATTGTCATCACTATAATATATTGCATTTGAACCGGGAAGGACATCTCAACCAGTGAAATAGTTTGCCACCTGGAACCGCTAATCAGAGTCGGGCCAACGGTAGACAAGATAAACTCTCAGCTAAATAAAACCTGGCCCGACAAATTTGACCAGGCCCAGAATGGCTCGACCGAGAAGCTTGAGGCCCACAGTCCCACATTAGCCATTAGGTCACGAGGGCCATATAAAATGGGATAGCTAGGGTTTTGGTACTTTCTCTGCTATACCTCGACGGCTAGAACAGGAGGGAAGTGGTTTCTCTCTCGATCGGCAGGACGCAGGCGGCGCGAGGCAAACTTCCTGAAGCAACATGGTCAGTAATCGCTTTAGATCTTTGATCTGTTTGTATGAACTGGTTCGCTTTTGGTTTCTCTCTTTTGTTTCTGATAGTAGCCTAAATTTTTGGCGTTTTTTTTTTATGTAAACAGGCGAGAGGACTGAAGAAGCACCTGAAAAGGCTCAATGCGCCGAAGCATTGGATGTTGGACAAGCTCGGCGGGGCATTCGTGAGTCGCTGGACTTAATATTTGAATGATCTAGATGCACCCTTCTCGGGTCTGAAGAGTTAGCCGCTTCCTTTTGGATTGATGTATCTCCTCTGTTTGATATCCGCAGGCACCCAAGCCGTCCTCTGGCCCGCACAAGTCTAGGGAATGCCTTCCTTTGGTGCTTATTCTCAGGAACAGGCTGAAGTATGCTCTAACTTATAGCGAAGTCCAGGCCATATTGATGCAGCGACATGTTATGGTTGACAACAAGGTCCGGACTGATAAGACCTTCCCTGCTGGTTTTATGGGTAAGCCGAAACTTCTCCTTACCTTGTTTCATAATCTCTGTTTCCGTTCGAATTCAGTGGGTTGGTGGCATCAGTGCTAGATTTGTATGTATCCATAGTTGCAATTTCTTGTACAAGAACAAAGAAATGGTATCTGAGAATGTTAATTGTTGGACTTAGAGATATCTATTAGATTGCAGATAGTTAAAGTCTTGGGTTTTTCATGATGTTTAATTAGCTTGTATGTATACCACACCTTCATGCCATTGATGCCCTTCTTTTATGGCCTTGTCGCTCACGGTAGCCATCTATGGTTTTTCAAAACTGTCATTTACTGTATTTTACCAGTTGGGATCTCTTTGTTTGCATGTTTGGCATCTTCAGTTGGACTTGCACTTATATTATGGTATTTTGATTTTACATTGGTTACTCTGTTCTGTTGACTTAGATGTTGTCTCCATCCCCAAAACCAATGAGAACTTCCGCCTGCTGTATGATACCAAGGGGAGGTTCAGACTGCACTCTCTCCGTGATGAGGAGGCAAAGGTATGTGTTATATACTTATATGTACATTTATAATGGCTAGTTTATACAAGACTTGAGGGTTTCTTGGGGAAAGGTTTAATGCTTGCCTGTGGATTCCATTGTGGGGTTTCTTGTTGCAGTTCAAGCTTTGCAAGGTCCGGACGATTCAATTTGGCCAGAAAGGTATCCCTTACCTGAATACTTATGATGGCCGGACCATCCGCTATCCAGACCCACTGATTAAGCCGAACGATACAATTAAGCTGGACTTGGAGACCAGCAAGATTGTTGATTTCATCAAGTTTGATGTTGGAAACGTGGTCATGGTTACCGGAGGCAGGAACAGAGGCCGAGTTGGAGTTATCAAGAACAGGGAGAAGCATAAGGGAAGCTTTGAGACCGTGCACATCCAAGATTCACAGGGCCATGAATTTGCCACTCGTCTGGGCAATGTGTTCACTATTGGGAAGGGTACCAAGCCATGGGTGTCTCTGCCCAAGGGCAAGGGTATCAAGCTCACTATCATCGAGGAGGCAAAGAGGAGGATTGCTGCTGCTCAGGCAGCTGCTTAAGGAATTTGGAAGTAAAACGGATGTGTCTGCTGTTTTACATTATCGTAGGATGAATGTTTGTCCTTCATAGCCCTTTTCAAGACTTGACATAGTTTTGGTTTATTTATCAAATTTTGAGTTGGTCTCTGAGGAATTTTGTGAGTTGTGGCATTTGCTTGAACATATTTAAGCTGGGTTGTCGTTCTTAGAATTTCACTTGTTGGTGTAGGTCCTTCAGCCTTATGCCATCTTGTTTAGTCTATTGCGTCTTTTAAAAAGTTTTGTTTTCATGTCAAAAGGTTTCCAATGGGGTGCAAATGTGCTTATTTGGAGAATTTACTTTGAAGCAAACATAAACCAAACATTTCAGTCATGTTGAAATCTGAAATTATAATGTGGGCTAGAATTTCTGTCCGTTGCAAGTAGCGAGTATAAATTCTACTTGCATATCGTAACAGGCTAAAAATGTTTTGTGAAGACTTCTTACAAATCTTACAGTCTTGGGAAGGAAGGGAGGGGTAGAATGAGATGGACGAGTTTTAAGGAGATGAGGGTTTCCTTAAATTTGCCGACTGGAATTCTGTAAGAGTGGTTGCAAGTTACCCAATTATAAACCCCAATTCCTCCTATTGGCTTTTGATATTATTCGTGGCAATCTGAATTTTAGTCGCTTGCCACTTGTGAGTCAATTACACTAGTTTGGAATAGTTAAATAGTTGTTGTGGCACAAATACAACATTATGCATTACGTTTTTGTGTTGATTCATTGTTGAATACAACGTTTGATATTTTTTTTTTGGCAAAATACACTTGTATAGCCATAACTTTCACACTTTTGACAAATATAGCCATTACTATTCGAAAACCTCAAATAGCCTAAAAATTGGATCATATGTGATAAATCTAGCCATTTTTGTTAGAAACTTTGACGGTGTTAGAAACTCCGTCAGTTAGGTTAACGTTAGGCTGACTAAGATGCCAAATCATCGCACACGTCAGCGACCAGTCAGCATATCATTGCCACATCATTTTAAATTATTAAAATAATTAATTTAAAATTAAAAAAAAACAAAAAAAATCTTCACTAAAATTTTCCCTACCCCTTCCACTTTCCCTCATCGCCGCCCCTCAAGCCTGCAAACCTTCATCGATCTCCCCGATTCACCCATCCCTACCGATGCCGCAGATACCACGAGCTTCCCGGTGGTGGGATTGAAGTCGAGCTCCGCCAACAACAATTGAATCCCAATCAAAAGACCCCTAACCACCACTAACAATGGCGGCAGCACCTCCTGGCCCCTGCTTCTTCTCAATTCAAGCTCGGCGGCTATCTAGGAAACGGGAAGCGAAATCGATTGACTATCGATTCGTCGCCAACTCTGCAAGACCCTTCCCCTTCCTCCCTTTGCTTCGTCATCATCACGACCGGAGATTCTTCGCCTCTGTCGACGGCGGTTTTCTTTCCTTCCATCTCTCCCCGTCTGAAACTTCTCCTTCGACGCTCTCTCGTCGCCAGCGGTAACAAACTGTGGCCAAGGTGAAGCTGGGCGGCAAGCCAAGGATTAAAAAGATCGAGAACTCTAGCAAACAATTGGCTGATTCGAAGAACGAATCCATTTCAACTTCGGTGCGCATCTCGAATTTCCCACCATTTTCTCTATCTCCATTCAGCTACAGCGACAACCAAAACTGCTGGAGTGAAGAAAGTCTTTCGCCGCCGCCGCCAGAAATATGACCCCCTGAAGAGGTTCTGACTTCCGAGGAGTTCTATAGCCTTTCGCCGCCGCCATCCTCATCATCGCCTGCGTCAAACACCTTCGTCACCGTCGTCCTCAATTACCGGCGTTCTTTTCTTCTCGTCATTTTCAGAAAGGGAGAGAGAGAGAGAGAGAGAGAGAGAGAGAGAGAGAGAGAGAGCAGATCGGCGCTAGTTGGGGAAGAACAGGGGCCGATCGAGAAATGGAAGGATGAGAAGATCGAGAGAGACGAGCTCATCGACTTCATCTGTATTCTTACTCTTCTTTTTTGTTGGTTTTCCAGAAAGAATAAGAGAGAATGAGGGAGATAAGGTTTGTGCGGCTAGGGTTTTTAAGGTTTTTTTTTTTTTTTGTAATATGGGTTTTTTTCTTTTATATTTTACTAAATAAAAAAATTATTTTTTTGTTTTTTTGTTAATCCACGTGTCTGACGAGAAATTGCCAGCTCATCATTTCCGTCTGTACAGTCAGATTGTTAAGTAACACCGTTAAAGAGATGGACGGAAGTGGCTATTTGTGGTTTTCGAATAATAATGGCTATATTTGTCAAAAGTGTGAAAGTTATGGCTATACAGATGTATTTTGCCTTTTTTTTTTCTTTGAATTATCTTTGTGGTCTTTTTTGTGTTGATTCATTGTTGAATACAACGTTTGATATGTTTTTTTTATTTCTTTGAATTATCTTTGTGGTCTTTTGTGTGTTTTGGATGTCGGAGATCGCTTCTCCCATGCCTACCCCTTTCACCAATCGTCCATCGTTCATTCCTAATCCGGTAATTTTGTTTTGCTCTCCTTATCTTTACCCCATAGTACAATGTCATACTTAAGTGTGCGGGGTGTTGGTGCTCCATTGTAATCGGGTGTGATGAATGATGCATTTGTGCTTGTCTTAGAGCCTAGTCCATTGTCCAAAATTTTCAAGGGTTCCAAGTACATTGTTTCTTGCAATTATTATCTCATTGTGATTGCTAGATCCACGGTAGTATGCAATCTAAGGAGACTAATGTAACTCTATGGAGGTTGTTGGGGCATTAGATGTTTTTCGTCTACTTCATACTATGTTGGTTGATGTGTAGAATAGTCTTGTTAGGACTTGTGATTTGTGCAGTGAATTGTTGATAACTCTCACTTGTTTGTGGACTTCAAAAATATTTTAAAGGTAAAAGGGTGCTCTTAATCAGATTCGACCCATGACATGTGCTGGCAGGCCTCCCAGCTAGGGCTGCAAATGAGCCAAGCCGCTCGCGAGCAACTCGGCGTTCGAATCGAAAAAAACTCGTTCGACACTCGACTCGTTGTTTAACAAGCCGGCTCGCGAGCTGGCTCGTTAGTAAACGAGCCAAGCTTGAGCTAGGCCATGCTCGACTTGATAAGCTCGTGAGCTAGCTTGTCTCGGTGGCTTGTTGAGCTAAGCTCGCGAGCTGGCTTGTTTAAAGCTTGTGAAAGGATTAATTACTTTTCTGAACATGAAAATTATCTTGTTAATAAGGATGTGTATGGAAGTTAGATGTTATTTTTAATTTTTAGTGTTGTTTTTATCATTTTTAATTTCTAATGTTCTTATTTGTACACATTTTTCAGCAAGAATGGTTTCAAATCGAGCTTATCTTGAGCCGAGCTTGTACTCAGCTTGACAAGCTGTGTTAATGAGCATTTACCGAGCTTTATCGAGCCGAGCTCGAGCTGGATTATTTTTAATCGAGTCAAGCTCGAGCTCGATGATGAAAATTCGAGTTCGAGCCGAGCTCGAGCTAAAAAATTTATAAACGAACCGAGCTCAAACTAAGCAAAAACTCGACTCGGCTCGTTTGCAGCCCTACTCCCAGCACAGGGTCTAATAGAGGGCTTTAAAAAAATGTGAGCTTAAATATTATGGATCTTCTCCAACTTGTCAAATTATTAAACTGGGTTTTATTGCCTTTAGCCTATTGTAAATTGGGTTTTAGTAGGTTGTAAGGTTTTTCTATCGTTGGGCCCTTGTTCCCTTGAGTATGCCAATAAGTAATTAATATCTGAGTCATTATTCCAAAGAGGTCAAGACAGGCTAAAAGTTACAATAATTTTTTTTGATAAACTAACGTTATCTCTTTTTATACAAATGAATAAAAAGTTACGTGATCCCAATGGCGTAGCGCTTTAAATGGATTGGGGTTCTTAAAAAATTTATAACACTAAATCCTATGTATTTAATGGGATTTGAGTTGATTGGGGTCCTTAGTTCCCCCCTCCCAAGAAATGTCAATAGAGAGAACTATAAAATCTACCCAAAATCCTCCCAACCTATTACATCAATGAAGCCACCCAACAAAGTCGAAAGAACATAACTCAAGAGGAGAAAGTAACAGGGCTTTCTGCGCCATTCTATGGGCAACCCTGTTAGCAGTCCGAGGAACTGCCCTAAACTTTAAGGAGACAGAGACTGAAGATAGGAGAAGGAAGCAATCCCGAAGCACCGGTCCTCCAAGGGAATCAGAAGAAACCCCCTGACGAAGCTGACGAATCACCACTTCTGAATCACCTTCGATGATGACACGAGGAATTTGGAGACCAACAGGGAGACGACATCCCTAGCCGCAAGAAGTTCCGCGAGGTAGGGATCAGCAATGCCGAGGTGCTGAAACCTTACTGCCAAAGCTACATGCCCATCTGTTCCACGAACTACTAGACCAGACGAACAACCAGAAACACGAACCACAACATCAAAGTTGATCTTCAGAAAACCATCAGGAGGAGTGACCCAAGAGGGGAGGCGAGGACTCGGGGGCTGACGGGGAGGGGCAGGCGCAGGAGGTAGAGAGGAAGAGACTTCACGAACTTGGAAAAAACATTGGCGAGCTAAAGACTGGGCATGAGGTTGAAAATTCTCAAATACCACCTTATTTTGAGACTTCCAGATTCTCCACAATACGCAGACGTACATGAGAACATGGGTTTGGGGGTTCTCAGAAAGCATAACATGTCGCCACCAGAGACTGAAATTCACAGTCGGGGTCGAGGCAATGAAGTCGTTTAGGCCCATAAGCGAAAGTATCAGCGAAGTCATTTAGGGGGTCCTTAGTTACAACAAGTATCGGCGAAAGTATGAGGTCATGTATTTACATATTCGCACCAAAGTATATTTATCTGAAGGATTTTTCTCCCAAAATTATGCCAAGTGTGGTCCTTGGACCTCTCTCCTCTTGCCTTCCCTCCGCTACTGTGTGATCCCATAACCGGTGAAAGTACATGTGTAGAAGCAATCATCAAAACCAATTTACAATATACATATGGTGTCTTTTACGGTACCCCTGGTGAAATTCGGGGTACCGCATACCTTGAGTATGAAAATGCTATTTAGAACTCGAATTAGCAAGATTTTTTGGCATGATACCCTAACCTTAATGAGTGAACCTTAGATCCTAATTATCTAAATCATAAACTATATACCCTAAGATGGTGCATTGAATTTTTTGCCTATATTTGGACGAAATCATCGATTATTGTTTCTAATTAAATTGATCTTGGGGTATAAGATTTAGAGAATTAAGACCTAGATTTTGATCTTTAAGGGTTAGAGTATAATATCATGTCCGAAAGATCAGTCAATTCAAGTTCTGGATAGCGTTTTCTTACTTAAGGTATGCGGTACCCTCGATTTCACTCTGGGTACCGTAGAACTCCCCATATATATTAATGGTAAATTACTATAAGTTGCTTGAAATTACAGATAGTTATCAAACTTTGCATTTATTATATTATTATATGTGTCAGAACAGAAGCGTGCAATCGATATTCCAAAGCAACACAAACTAACACAAATTTAACGTGGTTCACTAACATAATGTGTGCTAGCTAATCCACGGGCAGGGGAGAACAAATTTCACTGATTTGAGGAGAGTACAGGTTACAAACCAAATTCCGGAACGGACAAACCAAACAAACTAACCTGACTGACCTTACTACAAACTAGGGTGAAGAAGAGTATTTATAGAACTCTTCTCCTAATCCCAAACAGAACCAAATACATTTTCCCAAACATACAAGGAAGAAGGCCAAAACAAAGCCCAAACACAAACCCAAACAAAATAGGCCCAAAACACAAAACAAACCTTGACTTGAATTCTCTCTCAAATACCAGATGTACCAGACGCAACCAAAGTTGCCAGATGTACCCAAACACGATCCATATCGCCATATTTACTCAAAATGCGATCCAAATCGCCAGATATCCAGATGTGATCGAAATCACGAAACTCAAACGCTATGCAAATCGCCAAACTCAGATGTAATCAGAATTGCCAGAAGTACTAACTCATCCAAATCAGTTGTACCAGAATCTCCCCTGCCTGCAAATGCCCCTAAGGGCGGTCAACAACTCAAATCATTCGGCAAATCCAATCCATATTGAGACTTGTCATTTAGAACCAACTTGCTGCACTTATCACCAACAGAACATGTCAAAACAGAACCTTGTAGATTATACAAGGCACCACGCTTGACACATTTCAAAATCACCTTAGAACCTTTATAGACAGACAACACTCCACCTTCACCTTTGAAACTGAAACCCTTGCTGTCGAGTAGACTCAAAGATATCAGATTCTTAGTCATCTCTGGAATATGCCTAACATTGTTCAAGGTGCGAACAGAACCATCATGTGTCCTCATCCTGATGGAGCCTCTTCCAACAATCTTATAGATAGCACCATTGGCCATAGAAACATGCCCTCCATCTATCTGCTCATAAGTTGAAAAACACTCTCTGCTTGGACACATATGATAATCAACTGCAGTATCCAAATACCACACGTCCTGATGATGTACCTGTTCATTCACTGCTAAGGCTAAACCATCTTCATAATCAGAGTTAGTTTCTTCCGCCACAGTAGCAGATGATTCCTTCTTCTCCTGATATTTCTTCAGTTTAGGACAATCAAATTTCCAATGTCCTTTCTCCTTGCAGTAATGACAGAAATCATCCTTCAAACCGGCAGAATTCGAATTTGTATTCGCCTTCCTATTACCAGATTGTTGTCTCCTACTTCCCGTAGCAGCCAACCCTGATGCCTGATTTTCCGAACCTGAACCAGACACCTTATGTCGAACCTCTCTAGTATGTAGAGCAGATCTGACATCTTCCAAAGACAAACTATCTTTCCCAGCAATAAAAGAATCCACAAAATTCTCATATGACTGTGGCAAAGATACTAACAAAATTAAGGCAACATCCTCATCATCTATTTTAACATCAATATTCCGCAGATCTAACAAGATGGTATTGAGTTGATCTAGATGATTCCTGAGAGGCGTACCTTCCTCCATACGCAAACTGAACAAACGTTGCTTCATATGCAACTTATTGGTTAAAGACTTTGTCATGTATAGACTTTTAAGCTTCAACCACAAGCCCGCAATAGTCTTCTCAGCAGCAACCTCAGTGATGATGTCATCAGCCAAACAAAGCAAGATTGTAGAGTGAGCTCTCTCCTCCAAAGTAATCCACTCTTCTTCATCTATACTTTCCTTCTTCGATCTTCCAGACAATGGAGCCGACAAACCCTGTTGTTTCAACAGTGCTTGCATCTTGATCTGCCACAAACTGAAACTATTTCTCTCAGTGAACTTATCAATCTTCATACTGATAGCCGCCATTCTTACTATCAAACAAACTCCAACCAAACTTCTCACCAAAAAAGCGAGACCAAAACACAACTACCCAAAGTCAACTTCAAAGCGATTCCTCCACCGAACCAAGCTGAAGAATTGAAAGCTACCTCCACAAAGCAAAACTTCAGTCCAACTCCAAATTCCCAAAACCGCAACCAAAGGCTCTGATACCACTTGTCAGAACAGAAGCGTGCAATCGATATTCCAAAGCAACACAAACTAACACAAATTTAACGTGGTTCACTAACACAATGTGTGCTAGCTAATCCACGGGCAGGGGAGAACAAATTTCACTGATTTGAGGAGAGTACAGGTTACAAATCAAATTCCGGAACGGACAAACCAAACAAACTAACCTGATTGACCTTACTACAGACTAGGGTGAAGAAGAGTAATTATAGAACTCTTCTCCTAATCCCAAACAGAAAACCAAATACATTTTCCCAAACATACAAGGAAAAAGGCCAAAACAAAGTCCAAACACAAACCCAAACAAAATAGGCTCAAAACACAAAACAAACCCAAATCAAATTCAAGTCATATTCTAACAATATGTATGAATTTTTAGATTATGTACAAAACAGGCTAAAGCGAGCTAAACCTATCAACCAATCCATTAACCTTTCACCCACTTCTTTTTTTTTTTTTTTTTTTTGGTTGACAAATAACCTTTCACCCACTTGTTGTACCGGACCAACGTGCAAAATGGGATTGACAAACTTGTGACTGGCTGAGCTAAAAGCTAGAAGCCCTTGTTTCAATCCAGCTGACTGCATTTATGCCCTTTGGTTTTCAAAAGTTTAATCAATGAAGCATCTCTCTCATCGCATCAACCACAAGGGTTGAGCAAATAACCTCTCTTTCCCTTATTCCTATTTTAGGCTAGAAGTTAGAACTCTTATTAAACAGAGCTCTCTTCTCTCTGCCTTATAGGGAACGGCCAGACCAGCGCACAGCTCACAGCCCATACCAAGTTAAAATCTTCATCAGGGGACATGCACAATTAATGCAACAGAAATAGGGCCCGGGGCAAGTAGGAAACGGACACATAATGCACAAATTTTTTAGGTTAAAACTTTTAAGCGCCTGTTCCCCCTGTTTTTCTTTACTGCACTTCTTTCTTTCATTCATCTCTATGATAGCTGTACCTGTACATCATCTCTTGTTTGTTTCTCCTTTTTTTTTTTTTTTTTACCACCACTCTGAAAAAACATGTGCCTACAACTCTGCTTTCCTTCTTTTCCTCTTCCTTTTTTTACCCATCAGAAAAATTTGAAGCAAAGCAACATAGTTCCAACTAGAGACTAACTACATTTTTACTGCCTGCCTGCCTGCTCTAGCAATTAGCAGCTGCACAAAAGACCCTAACTCGGCTACTCACTCCCTCCTTGTTAGCTCCTAAAAACCCTAACCAACTCTTCTTCAGCTTTACTTGGCAAAACTGCCCTCTCCCTCACTAACTACAAAACCCAGCTACTGCTACGTACTACTTCCCAATTTCAGTAAGTCAACACACCCTCTTTACAATTTCAGAACCCTCGCCCACGGCCAAGTCGCCTACTTTCTTGCAACCAAAACCCTACTCCTGCCAAAACCAGAAATTGCAGCAGCAGGCAGCCTTAATAAAGTCCTGCTGCTCTCTGCTCACCTCCAGCAGAGTTTGCTTTGGCATAAGGTGACTGCACGCTGTCTTCATCAGACTCGCTCCCAGATGAGCTCTCAGATCCTGATTCTGCACCCAAATACATCAATTTCTCATTTTCCTGCACATCTCATTATTCATTGCACAGTAATGGTCACCATCAACGACAAATAATACACATTCTGAGTTTTAAAAACAGCAAACAGTGCCAAAGGAACAAACCACTTGATGAGGAAGAACCGTTGCGGCTGCTACTCCTTGAATCACCAGAGCTGCTTGACTTGTCACTCCCACATCCAATCAAATCCTTCTCTATCTCCACCGGCGGATAATTCCCAACTGGACTCTCCTCTCCAATGTCCACTTCTTCCTCCACAATCATGTTCCTCCCCGTTTCAGGACTCATTTCCGGACCCTACACAAAAAACCCACATTCATAATATGAAACCCATCTAACCACAGATATAGTGAAGGAAACACAATTGCAGAACCGGAAATGAGTAAATGCACAGGATGACAATAGGGCAGTTTTTTGCTTGATACCATACCTGGGTGATGAATTTGTTTTCTTCAAGTTGGTTCTGCAGCTGCAACTGCTCCTGCCTCTTCATCTTGTTAAAGAGTTTCCTGTACTTGGTCACCAGTCTATCCAGTTCCCACAGCGTCTCCACATCCATGGCATCGAAATCAATCACAATTTCATCGTCCTCTTGTTCCAATCCCCCATTCCGCTTCCTCAGAATCTGCACTACCTGATCCATCTTATCAGGCGGCAGCCCTTGTAAATCCTTCCCTAACTTGTCCCTTTCTTCTACAGTCATTCGTCTCTTGATTGGATCCCGGGCTTTTGGCTTCGGCGGCTTCCCAACTCTCAAATGCTGCTGCTCCACCGTGGCAGCCTTGCCGACCTGCAAGTCCTGCTGCTCCTCTGTAACGGCCGCCGCAACCTCTTCAACATCTGTTTCCATGGCATCGATAACTGACTGATGAGACACCGCCGCTCTCTCCAGTAATGCAGGCTGAAATTTACCCACATCCTGACTCTGCCGTGAAATCTTACGCTGCTCAGCATCGAACTTCTTATTTGCAGGCTCAAACATATCGTCGAAAAACTTGAGCAGCTGCTTCGCGAATCCGTGCACTTCGTGCCCAATAGGGTTGTATGTCATCGCGTTTGCAAAAGTAAGCCTCACATCGCCTGCGAAATCAACGGGAGACTTGTAAAATCCATCGTCGAGATTGGATTTCACGGTACCCAGATCCATTGGCCTCTTGATTACCTGGTTATAATCGTACAACCGCATTCCCACCACATCGACCGGCTCGTTGAACCACACAGCAGATCTGTGCTTCATCACCTTACCCAGTATTTGCCGGCACCTTCTCATCATGCTCATCAGTACCTTGTCCCGTAGCGGACTAGTCCTGGGCTGCCGTTTGGGTTCCAACTCACGGGGCGACGGGGAGCTAGGTTTCGAGCCCTGACCCGGAACAAGAATTGGGAAATTCTTCTTGGATTTTTGCCCCTTCGAGTCGCGATTCTGTTGGCCGGCCTTCGTCCCGCTTGCAACCCGGTTGGTGAATTGGGGCTCGGGCAATGGCGGTGGATGTGCAGTGGAGAGCTGGAAACTAGGGTAAACTGGTCGAGGTTCAGAGTTCAGTCGGTCTAACCTCGTTCTCACGGCGCGGACCTGTTCGAGCTCCAATTGAAGGCGCCTCTTCAATTCTTTCAATTCTTGCCCTGAGTGCGCATCGAGATTGAACGTCACGTAACCGCCGTGGTAGGACTCCTTCACTTCGCCGTCGCCGGGAGCCACCCTCCACTTCGGCGAGCCAGCATCCGGATTCGGCAGTAGCATTCTGCCGACGCGGTGATCGCCAGACGGATTACGGATCTGGATTGAACTTTGTAAGAACCTTGGAGGTGGAACGGGACTCGGGTTCGGGTCACGGCCGGGGAAGAAATCGTCATGGCTGTGACTGACGCCGTTGCGGCTCTTATTTGCGTTGGTGGCGGCGGTAACGGAGGTGTATGTCCTCATGTACGTCTCACTGTCTCCCCAATGCGGGCCATTTTTGCTGGCTAGAACTGCCGATGCCATAAACGGAAAGTTAACCTAGACTCGGTACCGGCTAATCGCCGGCGAGGAAGGAGGAATGGAAATGGCGGGCGATCATGATTGAGCGAGCGGGAAAATCAGAGAGTAAAATTACTGGCTTCTAGAAAGAAAATGAAAAAAAAAAACGACTAGAGAGAGAGGGGAGAGAGAAGTCGGGGCGAGGGTTTTTTATGGGAGTTGCTAAAGGTCGCCCTTAAAATTGCTAAAGATCGCCCTAAAAAATATGAAAGTTACACTTTTAACCCTTTAGCTTCTTTATTTTCCCTTAGAAAACAAACGCCACTTAAACTAGGAAAAAAAAAACTATCCAATAAGAGGGAACGAAGAATCCACTTATTATTATATTTATATTATTATAAATTATAATACTAAATTTATATTTAAATAATTAATTAAATTACAGTTTATTATATATTTAAATAATTAATTACAAAAAAAAAATACCAACCGCGGTCAACGCACGATGTGACCGTCGGCCAACCGCAACCAACATGCGGTTGGTCCATAGGCCGACCGCGAGTTGACCGCGTTCAACCGATGGTGCAACCGCGCAATGACTGCGGTCGGCCGATGGACCAACCGCGCGTTGACCGCGGTTGTCCGATGGATCAACAACACTTCGACGGCGGTCAAGGTTCTCTGGCGACAACTGGCGCGCCGGTGGGAGAGCACATAGCCGGTGACGACGACGGACGACGGGAAAGGAGATAGGATGGCCGGCGACGTGCGTGGACGACGATGGTCTTTTAGCGGTTGGCCGACTGGTCGACTGGGGGCTCCGTGGACAAGTGGTTGGCGGCGGATTTTGCCTATGCTGGTCGTCTTCTTCGGCGACGTGGGAGGCCGACGACGAAAGGAGGGTGCGGTGGAGGTGGGTGTTGGGCTGTTGGCGGCGGGATGGACGTGGGCCATTAGTCATGGGAAGAGGTACGGACATCTAGGGTTTATTTAGGAGTTGTTTGTTTGTTTTAATTTTAAAATTTAAGTTAAGGGTATATTGGTAATTTAATCTTTAATTTAGGGCGATCAATAGCAATTTTAAGGGCGACGTTTAGCGATTCAGTTTTTTATCCCTCTACGCAACCATGGATGAGAGCACGGAAAGGGAAAGGCAACTTCCCTTCCTTCTTAAAGACGATCACGATCTACCCGTACTAGTCGCGGGCAGCTGTATCAGCCGTCGATATCTGATCAGACGGTTTATATATGTTTTGTACTTTTATTTTTTGCCTGCCCCAGCTCAATTTCCCGTGTCCATCTGGCACGAACGGTTATGATCGTAGAAACATACACGTGGGAATTTTTTAGCCTTTGGTTTCTCTCTCCCTAGTGTCTACCTTGGGCTCCTCAAACAATTTTTTGCGGTTTTTCTCGAGGATTAAAATACTGTCGGCGGTTTGACATGAAAAACCTCATACCATAAACAAATTTGGTAGACGGTATTTAGCGATATAATACGGTTGAACCATGATTAAACCACGATTTTAGCATAAAATACTCTACCGCTGATTTTTCCGGTACGACTTCCAGTACTGGTATTTCAATCAATGGTTTTTCTTTCTTTTTCGTAATTACTGTTTTTTTTTCAGAATTCCAACTCAATTAACTACAGTAACTAAGACTTCCTTCCAATGTAGTAAACATCACGCTTTAAAGTTTAACAACTTACGCTTTTACGTTTTTTGGGTCAGCAAAACGCTTCTACGCAAAATCATATTTTTTTATAGCTAATGTAGTTAAAAATGCGCTTTAAATCTTAAAAAATTATGATTTTACTCTTACAGATCACCAAAACGCTTCTATGTAGAAACGCGCTTTTGACTACATTGCTTCCTTCCAATAATTATTAAAGTTAATCAGTGAGTAAGAGGTTTGGAAAAGGAGGAGGAAATTAGGGATTGCACCGGAGGAATGAGTATGCAATAGGGAGGGTCTGAGACAAAAACGGTGGCGGTCGACAACAACAATGTTAGTGGTGTGATGCGGGAGTCGTTGGGGAGTGCTATTGGGATATGGCATCCGGAAAAATGTCAGCCACAAACCATTTGTAGGCGGTTGATGAAAAGACACAGATTGTGTTGTGTGTAGGCGAACAAATTTGCTTGGGTATTCATATACTTGCGGCACAATCAAGTTGGTCTTAGGGTTAGACATGAAGGCACGAACGCAGAGTTCTCGGAGGCAGATGAATTTGTTGCGATATCGGTAGAATCATGGTGACGACAAGGATGGAGGTGATTATGCTTGTTGGCTACCATAGATCTAGACATGTTCTTCTGTGGACATCGATCGATCTGCTCCATCATCAGCGCTCTCGTCGTTGTGCGACTAGTCAAGATATTCTTGACCCATGTTTTTTAGAGCTCTGACCTTTCGAGATGCTCTTCATCGGTGTTTGCCTCTATCATTTTCAATTGCTTGGTTTTGGGAAACAGTTTACTAACTTTCATCTCTCAAAAGAGGAAGCTAATATAATCAAGGTCGACCAGGAAGATGTGGATCTCATTGTGGAAAGTGTGGTTACCGAGTTGGGAGCCATTGGTCTCCTCCAAGGCCAAAAGAATCCAGGCCTGAAGTTTCGTAAGGAAACTTTAATGGCAGCTTGGAAGTTGAAGAAAGAGTGATATTCAGTATGATGAAGGTGGCAAGTACGCCTTTCAATTCTTCACTAAAGACGACACGAAAAAGTTCATGTATAGAGGGCCTTGTAATTTAGAAAATAATCTACTCATACAGATTATATGTCAACTGTCTCTTATGCAATGCTGGTGAATGCCCCCAAATCAGAGTTCTTTCATCCTAGTAGGGGATTTGCAGCAATGCGACCTCCTTTCTCCTTACTTGTCTTTCTTGTGCTCTGAGGGCCCTCTTTGTTTTAATGGATTGGTATGAGAAAAGAATACGAGTTCATGAAATAAAATTTTGGAATAAAGCTTCAATCATATCACATCTCTTATTTGTTGATGATTGTATTATGTTTGTTAGAGCGATTGTGGAGAAAGGAAGGAATATGAAAGCAATCCTCGAGGCTTATGAGAATGAGTATGGGCAAATGGTGAATTTTGACAAGTCTGAAGCTTTATTCAGCATGACATATCGACAGTTAGGAATGCAAGAATCTATAATGAATTGAACATCAAAGAAGTCGATAAAGTTACCAAATATCTTGGACTCCATACAATGGTTGAAAGATAAGAAGAAGTCGTCTCAACAATCTTAGAGACAGAGTTCGAAATAAACTCAGCAAATGGGTGAGAAAAATGTTTTCTAATGCGGGGAAATAGGTCCTTATTAAAAGCATTGCTCAACCACAATCGGCTTACGTGATGTTAGTCGTCAAACTTCCACATTGTATCATTGACGATCTCCACGTTTAATGAAAAACTTCTGGTGAGGGGGAAAAAGATTTAGATAGAAGAATTCATTGGAAGAGGTGAGAAAGATTATGCAGGTGAAAGGAGGATGAAGGGATGGGGTTCAGGAATCTCAGGTTGTTTAAGATTGACCAAAGCGAAATCTCGGGAGTCTTCACATCAAACCTAAATCTCTTGTAGCAAGACTGATCACAACAAAATATCACCTCAGATGCTCTATTTGGGAGGATAAGATTGGATGGCGACCAAACTACATTTGAAGAAGTCTCTAGAGCGTGCATGACTTACTAAATTTTGGTTGCAGATGAAAGATTGGACTGGGAGAAGATGTCATAATATGGGGGGATAAGTAGATGGCAGGTTTTGATAATTACTAGGTTGTTTCTTTTTGCCCATTCATGGAGTGGGATGCAAAGGTTTCATGCCTTATTGATCAAGAGTCCAGGACATGGAGGAAAGACCTTTCAGAGGTTATTTTTACCCGTGAGGACAGTACACTATTCTTGCCATTCAACTTTAGTTCTCGATTGAGAAAGTTTATAAGTGTTGGATAGCAGGGTCGGTGAATGGATTCCAGAGACCCAGTTTTGAAAAAAGAATTGAGGCCTAACGACAAAGGGGTAACGGGAAAAGAATTGAGGCCCTATTCATGGGCTACTTATACTAACAAGGTGAGCTTGACCTTGCATAAGCGGAGCCAGAAAAAACGTCCATAAAAAAGACGCTTACTGTCGGTTCTTCATTCAACGCACTTCCACTGGAGGGTCCTATTAGATATTGTTACTTTTTCTCGAACTATATGGGGATTATTTTGTGTCGTTAGCTTGCAACGACAAAGGGGTAACAGGAAGGGCCTTGTTAATTAGGCATATATTTACTTTTTTATACATTTTATGTGTTTGACGGTTGCTTTGCTCATTTTAATGGGTGGCTATTAATTCACTCTAACCCATGCATTTCATAAGGCCCGGGCATTTCATAAGCCTTAGTTAATACTACAGACTCATTTATGTATCTGATGGAGGCCCTAAAATCATGAGGCCCTGTGTTGCCGGGCCTGTCAACAGAGGTCCATAGCCAGGCCTGTTAGATAGGTAATGAATTATGAAAGTGGGCATTTTTTGGTCAAATATGGATATGCAATGGAACAAGAAAGATTATAAGCATAAAATGAAAGAGGTTTTGGTGGTCATAGGGGCGAAGAATTTAGTTGGAAGAAGCTTTAGATGCTCAATATTTCAGGTAAGTTGAAGGTATTCCTTTGGAAAGTGACTCGTAACATCCTGTCGGTTGGTGTGAAAATAAATAGGAGAGTCAAACCAAAGGGTGATGAGCCCCAACTATGGTACGAAAGAAATATTGTACGAAAGAAATATTTAAACACGGATTACTCGATTGTTGGTGGACGGGAAAGATCTGGAGTAAAACTCATATTTTTTATATGTCTTATAAAGTAGAGAATCTGAGTTGTAAAGAATGGAAAAAATTCTCCTTGCTCTAGTTCTTTCGGAAGGAGAGGAATAATTTCACTCGACAAAATCTTCATTTGGAATCTACACGCTGAACACTAATGTTGGTACTGTTAAAATCTAAAATGGGGAGGTGGGCCTTCACTGCATTTAAGGGATTGGAATGTGAAAGTGGTCTTCACAACAAACAAGCATGTTAAGATCCCTTGGCCACATGAAATTGCTGAAGGAATGACCATCCTTTATGGCATGCAGAAGGTTTTGGAGAAAGGGTACAACCCTGTCAAGGTGGAATCTAATTGTATGAAAGTAGTCATAATGCTAAAAGGGGAGCTTGATAGTCAATCGAAAATTTCAATTGTTTGCAGGGATATTCTGGAGTAGGCAGCTGCTGCAAATGTTGTTGAGTGGAAGTTCATTTTTAGAGAGGAAAACAATGTTTCTCATTTAATAGCTCATGTTGTGAAATGAGCTGATGTTGGGAAGTTTGTTTGAGATTTTAGTTGCCCTTCTTAGATTGTTGATGTTGTGCCCTTGAGACAACATATTGATTTCTAAGAAATTCCATCAAATAATTCTTAAAAAAAACCACAGTAACTTATTCCCAAATCAATTGTAACCTTAGGGATGGACAATGAACGGGTTATCCATTAAACCCACCCGAATCCACTCAATACGGTTTTGGATCGATATGATGGGCGATCTTTTTTGTGACCCATATAATTTCAGTGGGTGGCGGACAAGTAATTGGCCCATAAAATCATTTGATATATTGTACCGCTAATTTTCATTCTATAATGAATCAAATATTTTTCAATTATTAATCATGATTAATTCAATTAAATGATATATAAATTTTTCTTGACTTACAATATAACTTGTGCATTATTTTTTTTTTTAAGAATACGATAAATATCCATTAAATTTTTTCACAAATGAGATCATTGATGTCATATTATGCAATAAAATTCTCCTGAATTTTGTAGTTTCATTTGATATTCAATTAGTTTCTTATAAAATTTTAGGGTTATCACCCATAAATATCTTATTACTTGAAAAAATTTTTACCATCAAAATCGCCAAACCCAACCAACCCATCCATGACGATACAATGGATGGGTGTGAGTTATTTTTTCATCACCCACCAAAACCTTGGGTGGATGAATTTTAGCGCACAAATGTGTAGAAAGAAAAGCTCCTGCTAATCGAGCTTCCTTCTCCCCCACATCCCTCTAGAATTAACTTTAAAACCTACTTAACAGTAAACCTAAACTAAAACTAACTTGATCAACACCAGGAGCAACAAACAACAAGCATCTTTCCTTCTACCACCACCATTCCACTTTTGACCTTCTTATAGAGCCTCCCTTTTGTTGTTTCTCGACCTCAGTTGCCATTTGCACCAAACCCTCGATCTCTAATTAATGGTGAATCACAAACACATGTATGATTTCTCGATTGAGACCATTGAGATACCTAGCAATAGTCGCCTCTGTATCTTCATTGATGTGAGCTCGGATCATAAGGCCATCTCTTTGAAATAGTCATCCACACTCTTTGTACCTTGCCTTAACGCAAAGAAATTTTGGTGAAGCTCATGTCGATGGTGAATGTGAACAAATCGCTTGCTCATAACCGCCATCATCTCTTGACACGTTGCTATGGGTTCCTCCTCATGCATTCTCCTCGTGGCACACAACTGATCCCACCAAATATTCGCATAATCAGAGAACTCAAGGTCAATGATGGTTAGCTTCTTCCAATCAGAGTAGTCACGACACTCGAACATATACTCCATCTTCTGTTTGCATTCTAGGTAAGCTTCTAGGTCACTCCTCCCTTGAAACGAAGGAACTTTCACCTTCAGCCCCCTCATATCATCATCTCTGTGATGGGGAAACTCTTTTTCCTTGTCAAGCTCCTCGTAGTATCGAGCTTCTGGAGCCCTTCAAGACTGAGGTTGAGCACGATCTCCTCTACCTCAACCTCTTCCTCGTAAGGCTTCAGCTTGAGGGTTCCTCAAAGCTCGATACTGACCATCGCCGCCTAGGATTTGAAATTGTCTCCCTCGTGGTGGTGGTGGTGGTGCTTCTTCCTCGTATTGTTGTGAAGATTAATGGCTTGAGCCATCTCCTCGAGGGAATTATGAAGTTGATCATGTTGGGTTCGCATCATGCTTGTAATATGACCATCTAGGGCTTTCATTGTGGCTCAAGGAATTCCCTCCACATTCTGAATCTCCACTGCCTCGTCTTGTGCCTCACGAGTGTCAGCTTCTTTCCTGGCATGATGCTCAAACTCAAAACAAGGTAATATCTGTCAATTAAATTTAAGATTAATGGTACGAACAAAGTAAAGGACCTCACCAAATCACTCCCTCACATGTTTCACACGTTTGGAGATCACTCTTGTTCTTACCACTCGTGTATCACTAAAAACAATTGGCTTTTACCCCATCATGATCTCATGAAGCCTCTTTCCACTCTCGCTCTTGAAACCCTAGCAAGATTTCGAACAAGAACTAACAAGACTTGACCAAGAATCAACAAGTATCAATCAAGAACTAACAAGACTCGACCATGAATTAACAAACTCGATCAAGAAAGCAAACTTGCGTGATCTAGCCTTTGTAATTGCCTTTTGCGAGCTACTCTTTTGATATTTTATGCTCGTTTTTTGTATTGTCTAGAATGACTATTTCTAACAAATACGCGTTACAATCTAGAAAGAAATTAAACAACTCAAAAACGAAAATTAAAACCTTCTTGGAGATGTTTAAGAACTTAAAACCTGTTTGGTTGATTTTTCGTACAAGATATGAAGGATATGTATGCCACTGTGTTTGAATCGCAACTCGAATAGCACCTGATATAAGACGAGGTTCTAACTCTTAGACTTGAGCATTCAGAAACGCAACAAAGTTCGATTAGTAACACAACGACTAAAAAAGCTAACTCGAACCAAAATCATGATTGGATAGAGGGTGAAGTATACGAAGTGACTCCACAACTAGGATGATTGGATGGTTGATAACGTCAAGTTCTCCTTGTAGGCTTGATTACACGAATGGACAAGAAAGAAATCAATAGCTCAATAATGAACAATAAAAAACTAGGGTTTCAAATTGATAAAAACTTGTTCAGCTTATAGGCAAATCCTCTTATATTTATAAAGATTACTAAACAATGTATCTACTCGTAATTAACCAAAAATCCAACTCTTACTAGCTATAGAATCCAAATGGCATAAGGAAAAGGAAACAAGAGCAAAGACCCACCCAAAAGTTTCTCCATTCATCAAGAATGACTTAACCGTCAAGTAAACTACTTTCTTCATTCTGCCGAGTTGGGCTCTTCTTCTTGGACGTGGATGATGTTGATTTCTTGGCCAACGAACAACTCAGAATCCAATGATGGAAACCTCTTGGCCAAATAAGTTTGTAGTTGTGATTTGAGTGCTTTGATTTGACTTCGAGTAATTGAACAATTCTCTTGGACAGTCTCATCTCGCATCAACGTTGGAAGTGTAGCAGCCTTGGTGTTGATGCACTCATCAAAGGGAACCAAGCTTTTGATTGAAAAAATCGACTTGAATGAATTAAATTGAAAGCTATCATGTTACGATTAAAAGGTCTGGAAATACGTTGCTCTCTCCTTTCCTCTGCTTGTCTGAAAATATAGTTGCCTCGATTTTTTAATCTCTTATATTCGACATTGATTGTAACAAAGGCTTCTCTGACACTATAAACTAGTGTTTGTAAAACATACGATCCGATTACGAATAAACTTCTATCGGAGCCTAACCAATATGTGGGTTTTGACGATATAAAACAATTAAACCTTTAATAAATCACAATTTCAACATGTTGTTTCCAATATGATTTTTACATATCCTTGGACACTATAACCCACAGGAAAGTGAGCAACAACCAACAAGAAGAGAAGAAGCGAGCTGTTTATCCATTTTTCCATTTACACGAAACGCAGAGCAAAGAAAAGGACGATACGCAGAGTAGAGAAATTTCTGTCAGATGAACACACAAGTGTAAGCTTTGTCCTCGGTAAATGACAGGGATAGAAATACATATAGTGAAATCAAATTACACATGGCGGTGATTGGGTTGGGGAAGGAACTTAAATCACACTGATATGTGGACAGATCAAGTGAGGAAGATGATGGATGGGTCGCAGCAGCACTCGTCAATGAGGCAGCAGCAGCAAAGAGCAGCCAGACTTTGTCAAACCAGGTAACCAAAAACAGGGGAACTCATTCAGCCACCGGAAACAGAGGAAAAACGTAGACAAGGCTTTAAATAAATTTAAACAAAAACTTGATAGAATCGGAGCCCTAATGCTTACCATCCTTCAAGGAAGCCAGGCTGCTTCCTGGGCGGCGGAGCGGCGTACTGTGGTGGCGGCATCACCGGCGGCCCTTGATAGTACCCTGCAACCGTGTAACCAACACCAGATCAAAGCTTCAGAAAGTTAGTAAGAGAGAAACAGAAAGCGAAACAATAGAAAAGGCGGGTGAAGAAGCAATTGAGTGGAGGTGGAACCTTGAGCAGGGTAAGGTTGGGCGTACTTGGGATCGCTCATTTCTGTTGTTTCTTTTAAGGCTGAAGGATGAAGAAGAAGAAACGAAAGAAACAGTAGGGGAAATGGTGTATTTGGTTTCAATTGAGAAACAAGGCTGATTTATCTTTCTACTCTTATATGTAAAGAAGGAATAAAGAACCTTCCCAACCAAATCCACTTCTTCATTTATTAATTCTGCAGATTTCTAGCACCTTCTGATGCTACAACTTGCGTGTTCCTTTACAGGCAGTTGTTTGATCTAAGAAGTTAAGAATTTATTATCCCATATGACAAAAATAAAAAACAAAAAACAAATTTATTATCCCTTTCCCCCGTTTTCGATTTACTTAACTAACACAATTTTCTAGGGATTGCTAATTGTCGCCCTACTAGTATTATATCGCCCTGATTTTAAAATAAAAATGACCATTTTCTCCCTTTTTATTAAAAAAAAAAATTACCCAACAAAAATTCGGTTGAAAGCTGAAACTCTCTCTTCCCCTTTCTCCCCACCTCTCTTTCTATTCTCCCGATTTCCGCCTCTCATCTTTCCTTCCTATCTTCGAGACCTGCTGCTCAAGAGCACCATGGAGGATGAATTTCAGAAGGTGGTGAATGGAGCTAGACCACGATGTTGGTCTCCACTTCCTAGTCCTACCAGTGTTTTGCAGACTAATCAATCGTTTGCCGCTTTACAAGGACTAGGGGATAAGGAGATTACACAGTTGCAAGCTGCTCCAAAGAAGGGTGGTAGGAAGGGTGGGGGTTCTCTATCCTCCCCAGGATGAAGATTCTTTTCTGGAATGTTAGAGGGTTTAATAAACCCTCTAAGAGAAGGGACTTCTCACAAGTCCTACGTAGGCATAAGGTGGATGTGGTGGCTATTCTAGAAACAAGGGTTAGGAAAGCAAAGTCAGATAAAACTGTGGAGGACTTTTGTATAGGATGGAAGAAGTTTCTTAATTACTGTGACAGTGATCTAGGCAGGATTTGGTTATTCTGGAACTCGGATATTGAATTTAGGGTACTTGCTGCCAGGAAGAACTATGTGCACTGTCTGGCTAAAGAAGTGGGTGGAGCTAGTTGTTTCATCACAGCCGTTTATGTTTCTAATGAAGAGATAGAGAGAAGGGATACCTACAAGGACTTGTCTCAATTCAAGTTATCCACAGTCCCATGGATTGTAGGGGGGGACTTTAACTCTGTATTATCACCATTGGAAACCTCCAATATGACCATGATGACTAGCTGTATGTTGGAATTCAAGAGTTGGGTTGATGAAATGGAGCTGGTTGATCACAGATCAAGTGGGCCATTCTTTACATGGACGAATAGGCAACAGGAGAATCCAATTGCCAGGAAGCTTGATCGAGCATTGGTGAATGAGGCGTGGTTTGATAGTTTTCCTTACTGTAGTATTGAGGTTCTGGTGGGTACTTTCTCATATCACTGTGGGGTATGTGTTCATACACAGCCAGAACAGCAATCTCTCCCAAAGCCCTTTAGATACTTTGAGTTGTGGGCTGACCATCCTGATTTCTACCACATAGTTGAAGAAGGGTGGGCTACAACTGCTCAGGGAGACCTATTCCAGAAAATAAAAATCAAACTAAACGCAGTCAAGAATGGTTTGAAGAGGTTGAATAAAGAAGTCTATAACGACATCAGTGGACAGGTCAGGGACACTAAAAAGCAATTACTTGCTGCACAAGAAAGTGCTCTCTCTGATCCATCTGGTGCTCTTTTTGCTGTGGTTGAGGATCTGAATTCTAAGCTGGGACAACTTAAAAAGGATGAGGAAAGTTTTTACTGGCAGAAGGCTCGGGTTAACCATCTGAAGCTGGGGGATCAGAGCACCAGGTTTTTCCATCAGTCAGTTAAAATAAAGACTGCTAAAAAAGCTATAAGGAAGTTAGTGCTTGATGGGGGTGAGGAGATAGTGGAAATGGAGGATATTGCTGCTGAGGCAGTAAGGTTTTATAAGAGCCTATTTGGGTTTATTGACCCCGAGGTACACCCTGATAAGCAGTTCCTTGAGGGTCTGGTGTTACATAGATTGAGTGAGGAGCAGAAGGTCTTCCTTTGTCAGGCATTTACTGCAGATGATGTGCGACAGGTTGTTGCTGGTATGAGCTCTCACAGAGCCCCAGACCCTGATGGTTTCTCAGCAGGTTTTTACAAGAGGACATGGGGGATTGTGGGAGCAGACATTACTTCTGGGATCCTGGAGTTCTTCTCTACAGGTAAGCTCCCTAGTAGTATTAATTCGACTGCTGTGTCATTAATACCTAAAGTTGCCTCTGCCTGTAGATTGAAAGAGTTTAGGCCAATCTCTTGTGTGAACATAATATACAAAATTATTGCAAAACTGCTTGCAAATATATTGAAAAAGGTCCTGGCTACTGTTGTTAGTGGGAATCAGTCTGCTTTCATTGAGGGAAGAAGGATTGTTGATAATATTTTAATGGCCCAGGAGCTAGTTAGTGGATATCACAAGGTTACTTTATCTTCTAGATGTGCCATCAAGGTAGATCTAATGAAAGCATTTGATTCTGTTCATTGGGGATACTTATTCCTAATGATGGAAGTAATGGGTTTCCCTTCAAGATTCACCTATTGGATCAGGTTGTGCATTAAAACAGCAAAATTCAGTATATGTATAAATGGTGGGCTGTGTGGGTTTTTTGGAGCACAGAGGGGGGTGAGGCAGGGTGATCCCCTCTCACCCTACCTGTTTACAATCTCTATGGAAGGGCTTTCTCTTCTTTTGAATCGAGCTGCTGCAGAGGGTTCTCTGCCCTTTCATCCACAATGTAAGAGAGTTGGCCTGACACACTTGTGTTTTGCTGACGATCTACTCATCTTCACAGAAGGGTCAGGACAAGCTATACATAGGGTTCAGGGGATTTTGAAAGAGTTCCATTCCATTTCAGGGCTGAAGTGTAATCCAAGTAAATGTGAAGTTTACTTTGGTGGGAAGTCAGTACTGTTCAAGCAGGCAGCACTACAGATTTCAGGGTTTGCTGAAGGAGGTTTACCTGTCAGATACTTAGGAGTTCCCCTTCTTTCTGGTAAGCTGCCTTCTAGTGAGAAAGACAAAATAGTGGCCATCATCACGAAGAAAATCCAGTCTTGGAGGGCGAAAAAACTCAGCTATGCTGGGAGGTTGCAACTGATTTCTTCAGTTCTGATGGGGACATTACAATACTGGATGCAAATATTCATCTTACCTAAGAAAGTTATCAAGCAAGTTCAAATGTTGTGCTCTAGGTTTCTCTGGCATGGGGGAGAAGAGGGTCGTGCTAAGGTGAGTTGGGATAAGATGGCTAGGCCTCGAGTGGAAGGAGGACTGAGGTTGCGTGAATTATGTGCCTGGAATAGGGCTTGTACAGTCAGGTTCCTCTGGCTGTTCCTAATGAAGAGTGGGGCTATCTGGGTAGCATGGTTTCAACATTATAAGGTCAAAGATCGGTGTATCTGGACAGTTTCTGATTGTCCAAGCAGCTCCTGGGCCTGGAGAAAGATACTCAAGCTAAGAGGTATAATTCAGCCATTAATGATGCTTCATAATTCACAGATCATGTGGGAAAATAAGCCTATGCCTGTGTTCAAGGTGACTGTAGTCTGGAATACATTGAGAGTCAAGTATGTGGAGGTAGTTTGGGCTAAGCTTGTCTGGGGAAAGAATTACATCCCTCGAAACAGTTTTCTAGCCTGGATGATCATGTTGGATGTGGTGGTTACTAAGCAGAAGTTGTTGACGTGGGGGAAACAGACTGATGGATTATGTGTATTGTGTGGAAATGCAATTGAAACCCGTGAGCATTTGTTTTTTGCGTGTGGATTCTCAAGTCAAGTGGTAATGGAGTTACGGATGGGGGTGCTCTGTTGTGGATCTTGGGAGGATACTGTGACTGCAGGTCTAGCCTGTTGCAAAAAGCCGGGGATAAGCAGAGTAACTAGCTTAATATGGTGTCTCTGTTGTGCAGGGATATGGAAGGAACGATGTCGTCGGTTGTATGGCAATGTGAGGAAACAAGTGGATGTTTTAATCAGGGAACTTAAGAGTGACTTGATGGTCATTTGCGCGGATAATGAAGAGCTTCTGAAAGGTTTGCAGAGTCTTGGTTTGCAGGGGAGTATTGATTAGTGGTTGGTTTTGCAGTTTGTATTTCTGTGGAGGGTGTTGTAGGAAGTTGATAGTGCTGCGATTGTCTTTTAGGGCTGCTCTTCATGAGCTTTCCTTTCGTTGTATTTGATTCCATTTGTATCTTGCAAATGGATTTTCCTTTTGGTTTAATAAAAAGGGGAACAGATTCAACGAAAAAAGAAAAAAAATCAGCATTTCCCCTTCTATATAAACTCCCCTTCCTATAACAAGAAGCTTTATAAATTAAGAAGCTTTCAAACCATCTTCCAACTAGTTTAGAATATACACAATCAACATGCACCCTTCTTGTTCATTCTAGCCAACAAGTGATAAAAAAATAAACGTATGAAACCCTCAAGGAAGAGAGGCAGAGCAATGACATGAACATGATGACTAATCGGGATTGAGAGGAGGCCAAATGAGAATTATTTGGCAGAGATGGGTTTGGCAGGTTCTCAATGTTGACTTGAGTGGAGGATGCATATTAGATTGGGGTTAGATTATTGAGGACAAAGGGACTGATTGTGGAGATGGAGATGAAGAAATGAGCAGCGGAGTAGGGTTTGGAGAGGAATTGGGCGAAGTTTGGGGCTGATTGGCGATTGCTGCTAAACAAAAAATAAGGTTAGTTTAGGAATTTTATGTTTTAAGTTAGGGCAAAAAAAGTAAATTTAGGGCGATATTTAGCCATTCAGTTTCCTAGCTAGTGGCTAGCGGGCTAGTTTCACAGTGAATTTTTAGAAAAGTACCAAAAATACAATTGAATGTTTAACTAAAAAATTATCATGTAAAATTATTAAAAAAAAAATTATAATATAAAATATGAATAAAATTTTAAAAAAATAAAATGGATTTTTTTGGATTTCTAATATTATTTTATATTTATCTTATTTCCAAAATGAAAAATAAAATTATATTTTTCAAAATAAAATTAAAATAATGTAAGAATAATCTTGTATTTTCAAAACGGTTTTTCACAGGTCAAGAAATTAAGATAGAATGAGCCAAGAATGGGGTGGCACGAGGGAGGACGGGGTTCGCAGTACATACTCATGCC